GCAGTTGCTCTGCTGAAAGAGAAGAACATGTACAAAGAGATTGAGAACTTCCCCATGTGCTTCAAGGTGGGTTACTTTGTTTTTTTTTTTTATCTCGTTGAATTCTCTACGCACCTTAATCAAACTTAATATATCACCACACTCAGGTGGAATTTAATTTCCAGTACAGGTGATAGATGTTGTGGTGTCTCTGCAGGGTGTCTGAGATGAGCCTGATTTTAGTTTATTCCTCTCAGCAGCGTAAACACAGAACAGTTTGTTTGAGTATAAACTAAACATATTGAATATATGAACATATTTGTTGGAATATGTAAACAAAAGGTCCCTAGCAGATGTTAAGCAGCTGTTCTGTCGTCATCCTCTCACCTCCTGTGATTGGAAACTCATTACGTAGATTCTTTATTGTCCCTTCAAGGAAATTTGTTGCCCACAGTCTCCAGACATCCTCAAATAAATACATAGATACACAACATAACCGCGAGAAAGACATCTGATACACGGACGGTTACCGAGGTGTTTTGTTGAGCAGTGCTACGGCAGAAAGGACCAAAACTCCTGCCCTAGTGTGCCCGTTTCCAGGCCGAGGATCTGTGTCTGTTGAAGTCTGAGAGGTTGAGGGTGGGGAGAGGTAATCATTTTAGAGGTGCTGTGTGTTAAATGCACAAGTTTGTTCCTACTGGAGGCGATTAACATGCTGAAGAAACAGGGAAAACACAAGAAGAGGAGGTTGGAGCAGCAACAGAAAGAGCTTTAAGTCTTTGTCAACATCGAATAAATCATTATTTATAATGTGCATATTAATCCTCGACGTCGGTCTGTGCTCTTCACTCTTTAGAAAACAACTGCTCAAGTGCTGATTCATCTTCACAGAGGCGACTACGTGGCGGCTGATAAATGTGTCAGAGAAAGTTACAGGTATGTTTTTACTCACAGTGTCACTCCCTCGTGTTCCAACGCTTAATCTGAGCATCGTTACATGAACAAGTGTTTGCTTGGTCTCCGTCAGTCTGCCCGGCTACAGTGGAAGCGAAGATTGCATCGCCATGGAGACGCTACTGCAGGGCTACGACGAGCAGGACGAGGACCAGGTCTACCGTGTGTGCAACTCACCTTTACTGAAGTACATGGACAACGATGTGAGTACTGCCGACTGATCATTACAAACACATGTGGTTTATATGTACATATACTTCTTATTTAACCTTCAGTATCTCAGTGTTTTAGCTTCAGTTTGTTTAAAAACCTGTAGTATTTTATTTAAAGCCATATTTGTTTGTTTTTTAAGCTCCTGAATTGGACGTCTGTGAGCAAGCTGGTTCTGTTATTTTCCTTTTTATAATTAATACTTTGTTCTTTTGTGCAAATACCATCAAAACAATGCCAGTAACAACATTTTATTAGTTCATCTTGTGCGTGTATTATTTTAGAGAGCACATCAAGAGATCCTGAAGGTTTACCACTTCAGAGGGGGAGGTAGGAAATGAAATATTTGATGTGTTCGGAGATTTAAGTCAGCCTTCCGGGCAGTATTTTAACCATTATAGGATGTGGTCTGCAATAGCTGTGGACATTCTGCAGGGAAGAGAATAGCATCCTACCTGTAGCTGACATTAAATGAGTTTTTACAGGGTTTTGCTCCCCTGAAGGCTTTGATTTGTATTTATTTGTTTGATGTTGACATGTTTCTATCTTTCAGATTAGTGAGTTTATTTATTATTTGTAGAAGGACAAACTGCTCTTATGTGGGGAAACTTTAAAGTACAAGGTTGTTGCTCTGGATGAGATTTAAATTCAAGGAGGAATTTACCAAACAAACTGAGTATTTGCTGCTGTCGAACCGGGCTTTAATTATTATATATTAATGTTAAAAACTGGTTAACATAAACAAACAACCTTGAAACTCACATTTTAACTCATTTAACGTTCTAATGTTTGCATTGTACAGAAAGTGCACTCACTTACTTTATTACTTAACTCCACTGGTGATGTGATTGACGCACCAAAATATGACATCCCCTTTCCCCAGCAGAGCCCCGCCTGTGTCAAACTACTGTCACAAGCACAGACAGGCAGAAATCTCTCATGAATGAATCAAAACTGTTGTAACTTCTGCAGAAAACGTGTGTATTTAGGACACTCTCGGTCTCAGTAAGGGGCTGTAGATACATTTAAAATCTGAGAGCTGATGAGAGATCTTTAATCCCCGGCTGTTCACAGTACGCCAAGCTGGCCATTTCCCTGAGGGTACCCGGAGGTGGAGCAAAGAAGAAGAAGGCTGCTGCTGCTGCTCCACAAGCCGGTGCCGGTGGGGCGCCGGCCGGTGCCGACGATGAGGACGATTACGAGGGAGGGCTGTGTTAGCCTTCAGCCTCCAGAGTGCCGACTCGACCCGTCTGCTGCTCCACCATTACACCCCTCCGTGTGCGAGTTAAAAACCTTGACAAACCCTTTCCGCTCTGAACGCCCAGATGTCTGGCTGTTTGATCTTAATTGTGCAAAAAAATTAATTTTAAAAAAGCAAATTTAAAAACCTGCAACAGTTAAAGTTGGTGTTGCAGAAGATTCGTTTAAGCAGCAGTTTAATTTGTGTTTGTTTGAGGTGTAATGAAAAATCTTTAATGTTCAATAATGTATGAAAGCCTGTTGTATGTAAACGATTATTTGTCGTCTCGGTGAAGCTGTAAATTCTGCTGTTTATTGTTTGTGAGTAGAGTCTTAAAGATTGGTGCAGGTATATTAAAATCAGAAACGCTCTATATATATTCTCTAATGGGTTGATCAGTGTATAGGTGTTTATTTGTACAGAGTTAATTTATTCAGTATTCATGGCTGCGGCCTGTTGAAAAATGTTACCGGAACAATATATGCAATCAGTTTGTTAATGCATGTTTGGAATAATGGTGAATCAAAGAAAAAAACACATGAATTTGAATAATTAATGCTTAGAAATGACGAGCACTGTTGTCTGCAGCATTAGCATTAGCACTTATTCAAGTTATTCAGAAAAGGTGAAGTTCCTGATGGCACAGCTTTTATTTGTAGACTGTTTTCATTCGTTTACGTTGAGGTGTGTGTGTGTTACCTTCCACCTTTTAAACTGAAAAATAGTCTCGGCTGTGTCTTTATTTCCTTTTTCCACAGTACAATCCTCGAATAAAAGCAACTAAAACATAAAAAAAGGGACCTTGCAGTGATGTTTTTCACTGCATTGAATTCCTATTTAATGCGGAATTTGTGTATTTTGTGATTTTAGCTTATTGCTCATACTGTAAATCATTTACATGCCAATTAAATATTATTCTGACGCCACATAACTAAAGGTGATAAAGGGATTGTTTACATTTCTTTTTTTTATTATTTTGTGCTGTTGCCCACTTCTTGTATATTCCTAAAAAGCATATCTCCAAACTTTGCACATGCATCAATAAACATTTCCATTGTGTGGCATTTTATGGTCTCTGTACATTTTCTTAAACGAGTTAGCAGACACATTTTCCACATCAGTGAGACGAACAGCAGCTGCAGATGTCTGCACCAAAATGGCCCCTGACAGACATGTAATGACTGTGTAGCTTCCTAAGACGTATTTATCTTTGATGAGGCTAATGCTCTCTCCCTGTTAAGCGATATTTAATGCACACATCCATGCTACTTTTGTGATGCCTCTGTCCCGACTCCTCCTCCCTCCCTCCCTCCCTCCCTCCCCCCTTCTGAATGGCTCTGATGTATCTGCAGTAGAACTAACACTAGGTGTCAGTACCTCACATCCCTCTCTACTGAAAGACACAAAAGGCCTCCGCCTGTATGACAGAGTTGTTGACCCCCTATTCCTCCTCCCCGTCCTCCTATCTTCCAATTAATACCTTCTATCTGCCCCACGTAACACATTTTAAATCCAGAGGTGGCTGTACTTCGTCGGTTGTACTTCCTGATCCATCAGATGTGCTGATTTCATGATTTCCTTTAAGAAGAAGTGCTAAAAATGCACTTTTATAGGTTATCCTGTTTATACTTTACGTACGTATACGTTTGTTGTGTGTTATCTTTGTATGGAAGCGTGTGTATGTTTGTATACTTGTATTTTACATGTGTGTTTTTATCTGATATGTGAAGCACTTTGTAACCGTGTGTTTTAAAAGGTAAGAAATAAAGTTATTATTAAATATATTATTAAAAAGATCAAAACTGAACATAAACGTTGCCATAATCTGACATCATACAGCTGTTCACTTCTGTATTCATTCAAATCTGCTGTATCATAATTAAGGGGTTGAAACCTGACCCTCCCTCTTACAGCATATGGATTATGGGGACTTAATGAGCACTAAGACTCCAAAAGCCCAAATATATAAAGACGTGGAGTCGTGTAATTGTCCTTCCAATACAATGCAACCCATTCTACACACTAACTGATATTTCTTTTCTCCCTTTTGTCAAACACCTACAATGATTCCTTCTTTTGGAAAGAGGTGGTGGTTGCAGCCATAATGCTGCATGTTGGTGACTATATTTAAATGTAGTTTGATTTAATGTATCTCCAACAACACTAAGATTTATGTGATTAATCCACGACAATGTCCATTATTTTTATCCCCTTTTTATAATAGAATTTGTTTATTTTCCAAATGCAATTTTTCTTTCCTTATATTCTTTTCTACTTGACCTCTTTAAACCTTTATTTGCTGCTGCAGTAAGGTGAGCTCTACCAGGTGAGCTACCGGGCCCCGTTAGTTAGTTAACTAAAACTAAGAACTAAAAGTAGCTGTGAAAAAACATTTTAGTTAATTGAAATAAAAATGAAAACTATACTTTGAGTTTTAGTTTTAATGTCTTTAGAGACATTGGTGTTCATGTTTGTTGACACTGGGATGTCTACATGACTGTAAGTCAATGTGTTTGTATTATAATATCTATTCTGAACCGACACATGATTTTTGTATGTTAACTTTTTTTGTGTTCATTAACATTTATTGTTTTTTTGCCTTTTTAATGGAAAAAAAAGATTTGTCCCTAATAACCCACCCCTACATTATAATTAAAGAACTAACACAGAAACTAATAAAAACTAAACCTGAACTAAACATGTTTAAACAATAAAAACTTAAATGAACAAACACTGAAACTGATTTGAAAACAAAAAATAAAAATAAAAACTAATGAAAAATATAAAACAATAATGAACCAGGTCAGCTGCTGGTGTTGAAACACAGATTCTCCAGCTGCTCACTCGCCGTCAAACAGGAGCTGAAAGCAAAACTCGACACCTTTCCAGACGTTTTATTTGCAGATCTCTGGACCTCTATCATTCCACATTACCTTAACATACAGGTACAATTTCACATTTCATTCCACCCTGACCTGACCCCCTTAAACTCGTATGTACATGTAATGAAAATCGGTCATGACAATAATGAAGTTTTTCTATCATGCTACAATGTCCTCTAATACATAGTTTGGACCAAAGGGCTTTGTGTGTCAGCCCTTCACGTGAGGAATTTTTTTTTTTGTTGTTGTTGTCGCTAGTTTTCTTCCTGCACAGCTGTGGCGTGTTCACGAATGTTAAAAACAGCGAGAGGTTCATAAGTGATGTGTGCGAGAGTCTACCGCTTAATGCAACGTTACCCTGATACAGAAACAGCCCCTCTGCTGGTCTCGACTTTAGCCAACCGGTTAGATGATTCAGAACATGGATGGATTGGCAATTAATTTCATTCTCTGTGAAGAAAAAACAGTCCACAGCGATTTACTTTCTCAATACAGCCTCAAACGGTTTTCCCTGTGCAGTAAACACACTCGGTATCAATCCATCTGAACTATACCCACATTAAATTTCATGCCATTTAAATAGTTTTCATCTTTTCTACAATCTCATATTCTTTTAGATCCATCAAAGCCTACATATTGTAACATATAACTCATACAATGAATATCTGTGAAAACAGCTCTTCCTGAGAAAGATATGTAGTTGATAAGAGTTTCAGTTCTTCACATACAAACAAAATAAGGCAAGTATTGTTTGATTATGTTTTCTGCGTTGTGTCTCTGGGGGAGGCTCCCATGTGGCCTCTTAAAAAAAAAAAAAAAGGTGGTCTTTATGTTCATGTTCCCCTTTTTTTCCTCGGTTCGCATCCTTTTCGAAAACATGGAGGAACAAGAGCTCAATATTGCACAGTCCCAAGTTTCCAAACGTTCCAGTTGGAGAAAATATAAGATTGTGCTCATGTGGTCGTTATTGTGCACTAATTCGTTGGAGGGAAGCCCTTAAAAAGATTAATGTTGCATTCACTTTGAGCTTCTCTACGCCTACCTTGCAATTGTGAAAATGTTAGTACACAGGCGTGAAGAGCGATGAGGCCTCTGGGCGTTTGTGTTTAAAAACCTACCTTTAAACTAGGGATAGCACTTTATAACTTACGAGAATTGTCCTAAAGGATTTCTTCTAACTGAACACCAGTGGGCTTATTTTATCCACTGGGTGCCAAACTCAGCCAGGTTTTTGCGAGATAAATACAGCACCGGCAAATTTGTCCTCAATGTTTAACAATGTGACTGCAATTGATGTCGTTTTTCCATCCTTAAATAGTAGAAAATACCAGTTTATAACTCAAACAAAGTGTATTAGTGTGGAGCTAACAGTGAATCACTGCCGTCAGAGCTCAGTTGAAGAGGACAGAGTTGGTCCTCGGATGCTTTGCACTCCCTCAGCAGGTGAATGTGCTGAAATAGCTGCTCACACCAACAGAGCGACCACCCAGTTTCTCTGATTGAGCGGCTCCCGTCCTGAAAAGCTCCGGCTCACTCTCATTAGTTAAACGTCCCGTCAGCCAAGTTTCACTCAGTTTTCTCTCTGGTCCACTTGATCATAGTCTCTGGCGAGCGGTAGAGGAAGATGAGTTTGGCGTACATGTCCTCCTCCAGGTCCAGCTCCCCCGTCTCTCGCACCAGGAAGATGTCGGTGCACAGCTTGAGGATGCGGTCCACGTTGGGCAGCTCCTCGAACATGATGGTGTGGGAAATGCCGCTGAAGAACTCGCGCACGAACTTGCCGATGACCAGAACCACAGAGGCGTACAAGCCCATGATCCTAGAGAGGAAGAGAGACAGAAAATTAGACCTCTACCTCCACCATCTTCCACCACTCTCTGACTGTTCTGTATCATAGTTCTCAGCATTATTTTGTTATAAAAAGTTACTATTTAGATTTTTTGGTGCTCCCGCTTTTCCCCTAAATCTTTCTTGTGTGCATCCAGTTCCATTTATACTCCGATTACACTCAACATCCCCATTATTAACTGGTCCTGGAGACATCTCATCAGCAGATGGAGTTTGCTCATTCCAGTTTTTATCACAAGATCTACTTCAGAGTTTCCAGTAATATGAAACCACATCCCGGCTTTCAAATGTGGATGAAAACATCTGGACGTGCTGCACAGGTCATCACTTCTCATCAAACATTATTTTTCTGTACACTATATCTCCTTACCACCGACAACTGCTCTGTTTAGAGTCGTGTTGGGTTGGAAACACATGTTTAAAGGTCCACTGTGTATCATTTATGAGGCTCTATAGGCAAAAATGGAATATTCATAGGTATGTTTTCATTAGTGATTTGATACCCTAAAATGAGCAGAAGGAACAAACCAAACACTGGCTGTAGACAGGGTTGTCAAATACAGTGTTCAGTTAGATGATGCCACTAAATTCTCCATGCTGGTCCTTTAAAACAGGTGTTGTTACTTTGATTCATATGTGCTGAAAGAACTTGAGGATGGTAACCTCATAAGTCTGATATATATATATATATATTTTCTATATACGCGTCGATTTTTAAGCTGAGTGGTTTGTGACCCTTTAAAGGACCAGTGTGTACAACATAGTGGCATCTAGTGGTGAAGTTGCAGATTGCAACCATTTGAATACCACTCGCCTCCCAAGTGTGTACGAAAACCTACGGTTGTTGCGAAACAAATGCAAGATTTGATTAAGTTAAGTTTTTGTTCAACTAAATATTCAAACTGTTATAAATACTTTGCAGGAGTCTGAAGATGCAAAATGATCCAGTAATTACAAGAAAATATGTAAAAAATGATGATTAATTACTTTCCTTCTCTGTTAATCACCTTGCGACCCTTCAGATTTATCTCACAATTGTTCCCGTAACAAGTGTAGGTTGAAATCACCATGGTGATGAAGGGAATACCCACCAAATCTTTGGATAACAACATCAGATAGTAACTAAAATGTGAAACATTTCCTGAATGTAAACACATCACCACGTACCCATATCCAGCCAGAAAGCCCAAACTGGGCGGGCTGACTTGGTCGCTGAATACGTAGACCTCCAGTCCTGCCTCATTCTTATTTTTTTCAGACCGCTTTGATATCGGGGCGGGCTCTGTCTGACTGACTGTCCACCATTCCTGGATTTCATCCCGGGCCCCAGTCGTTCGATTCAGTATCAAAGTTATGTTTAACAGCTCTTCACCTGCATATATAAAGAAAGAAATGATGTGATTTCCTCATAATAAATCAGATAAAAAGAACACACATTCTCTGTCTCCCATCCACAGAACCAAAACATTTTCTGTAAACAGGAAAACTTATTCAATCAAAACAAGACATTTTAGAGGAAATGAATGAAAAGAAGTCAGATTTCTACTTTATTAAGAAATATTATGCATTCATTTTGAAACATTTTTAAAAAACAACTATTTCTTTAAAGCCACTATATGTAGAATCTTATTATAATTTTAACATATTTCAGATGACTCTAATACAAAAAGAAAAGGAAAAGTTAGAAATCTTAAAATTATATAAATGTAGTGGCTTTAAATAATCCTACAAAGATGACTTAATAAGCACTTTAAAATTGGTGTCAGTTTATTGATGTTTTCACATTAAACAGAGGCTCCTGTGTTTCCTTTGCTTTCATCAAATCAAATAACAACTACACAAAAAGATGTTCACCGTGCATAAGCTCCTTAACAGGTTTGGCATCTGAGTCACTGGGGGCCCGAAGATAACGGGGGAAGATGTCCTTTAGGATCCTGCAGAGGAAAACACAGTTTGTGTTACTTAGTTTCTCAATATGTTGGAGCGAAACAATAAAAAGATAAACTATTTTGTCTCAGAGACTGTTACAGAGTTTTATATTATAGTATATTTTGTTTTCATATTTACTGTCGTCCTGTTTAATGGTGTATAAAATCCACTCTACCAATTATCTTTGAGAACTTTGTTCTCTCCAAAGTTCAAATATGCCTCTAAAGCTGTAAATATAACTCTAAAGCTCACTGATTAATAATTAGTAACAATAACTATGTATATAACATTTCTATTTGTGTACGGATTAAACAAACAAGACACATTGGTGTTGATCAGTGAACTTTAGAGGTGTTTTCAGTCCTAACAGTAAACCAGCGGTGCTCAAACCTTTTCTGTCACACCACCTACAAAAACAGATTTCATTTTTATGAATCATTCACAAGTCAAATCGAATCCAAGTGTCCTTGGGCAAGATAATGAGCCCCAAATAGATCCCAATGGCTGCTCTGTCGGTGTGAGTGTGTGTTTATGGGTCAGCTTAGTATCATCATCATCGAGCTGATATACTCACACATGTGATTTGCTATCGTTCTTTTTCAGGAGCTGTATGAGTTGTTTTCTTGTTTTCTCGTCAAGTTTTGTCACGTGTTTTCCAGAGGCTACTTCAGCCTTGGCACCGAGAGTAAGGTTTCTGAAATCACAACAAGAAATTGTTTAAAATACGAACTTAATTATTTATTTGATTCACTGATTTGGCCATATGAAGGACAGTTCATTTTCAAGATCAATGTATCATTTATTTACATTTTACAACACATGGACAGAACAGAATAAAATAAATATACAACAATACATACACACACTTATATCCATATATACTGTAATTATACATGTATACTGAGAAAGTACAGTATATGCAATGTCAGTGTAAAGATCCATTTATTTAGGTATAATAAATATAATACAGTTATATTTAGGGCCCAGTTCAACGGTAGCAGGAAACAATGGCGGCTGCCCTGGTCACACACTTAAAAACTACATTAAAATGTGTTTCTGAAAAGATTTTAGGCGAGAAACCGGCAATGCAGAGACAGACTCTTGATTCATATTTAAACAGCACTGCACTAAATGGGACCAAAATTTACAAAATGAACATGTTGGTTGTTTGGAAAAACACTTGAAACTAGTGACTTTGTCCACTAATTAAATACCGTCATTGGTTAAAAGATACAAACGTTTGTGGTGAACGGACAAGAAGAAGAGAGGATATTTCATAACATTTTGTCACTGCGTACCTTTGCACGGACCAGGACACGGTGACGGGGAATTCATCGTCAACATTTCCCAACATCTCTATCAGGTTTTTTCTGCTGGGTGGACTGATGGTCCACAGAGAGTTGGAGCTGCCTTTCAGCTCTGCGATGGTCAGGTCATTGTGTACGTAGCTCTCCAGCCACTGCAGGGCATCCTAACAGCGGGCGACAAAAACCACATATTAGGAACAGAACGTAGCAGAATTTCACATCAGCTAATTCGTATTTAAAACACTAAATTGTTTAGGTTAAAGCCACTATTGTGTAGAAATCTATGTGGGTCAGTCCTCCACTTTGGTTCAATGTGTATTTAATGGATTGCTTTTAAATTTGTTCCCTGTCTTTTCAGCATCAGTTCAATACTTAGTTTTTGTTTGTTTACTTTTAGTAGAATCAATTAGTTGACTGACTGAGTGGACGACTACTATTATAATAATCAATTAGTCACTTTTCAGACAAAACTGCTGAGCATTCCCTGGTTCCAGCATCTGAATTGTGAGGATTTGTTATTTTTCTTTGTCCTATTTGATTTATAAACGCAAAGATTACAGATAATAAATGTATGTTTGCAGCTAATTAGCGTTAAGTGAGTACTCGGCTGGAACGAGTATCCAGTACAGATGATGTACTTTTTGTAACGTGTGTCAATATCCGTTTTCTAATAAACAACACATAGCACCTTTTATTAAAAGATCAAGAACATTATTCTTAGGCTAATTTCTGAGGCTGTTCTGTAAATAGTTGTATAATAAAACTCCTGATCAACACATATATCAATGTGAGGCTTAAATAAACCACTTCTACACTACAAACACAGATAGTTTAGTTGGTTGAACGGATACAGATAATGGTGTACTCGCTCTTCCATAGTAAGTTTTTTTAAATTTTTAAATCTTACACATACAGACTTTAAAACTTACAGAGGGTTTAAAAGTGAATACACAAACTAGATCTTCTAGAGGAATATAACAAGTAAAAAACTATTCTTCTCCGGTGTATTCACTGCCTGGTCTAAAACTTGGTCGTACAACTTGTATGATGTAATCAATGTATTCTCCATTACTCTTTTTCAATATAGTGAATTATCCAAAATTATAAACACGACTGACATTTTGTATTTGTGTTGTATTTCTTGTACTTACCTCACGATGATTATATATCTTCATAAAATCTGAAAACTCTCCCGCTGAGACATCCTTCAGTTGGTTTTGCTGAGCGCTCATGGTGAAGATGGGCTGTGAGAAGAGGACATTGTTTTGGGAAAATTAGCGATAGTCTTAAGGCTATAAAAGTCTTGAGACTACAAAAACTTGTAATGTTTGTGAGTAGGTGAGTTAGGTGTTACTGGAAAAATAAATCTATGCCATTATCAGATTGCACTGAATCACAATCAAACATTAAACCCTGCAGCCAGAAAACTCACACAGCCTAAAAAATGTGACCACAATCTTCTGGCTTCTCTCTCCCCTCAACGATCACCAGCAATCACACAAACTAGGGATGCACTGATACCGATATGAGTACTTAATAAAACCCTTACAGTTCTAAAAATGACTTTGAAAACATATTTTATTCTCATCAGATGTTCTGACTGTAACAAATGTAGATGTTTTTGTAAAAGTCATCTGTAAATCATCTCCAAACTGCTGACATTGCTTCTCGCCCGTCTACCTGCTCAAGTAACGAGAGGTTACAGAACACCAAGCTGCCTAAAAAGTGCCACTTCAAGACATTTAAATAAACATCTGGTTTAACCTTAGAATGAATCACAGATTTATTTACTTCTTCAAGAGCTACTTCTACTCAGAGAAGGCAGGATTTAATTTCATTTTGAAATGTTTTGGCTTTAGGCATCTCTTTGTTCCTCAGTGAGGATTGTTTGGGCCTCAGATGATTTGATAAAATGTCCACACCTGAAAGCCAGCCAGGGTGATTTCAAGCGAAACATCCAGCGGCGTGTTGACGACTCCAGCTACAGACTTCACAAGGGACATGAAGAGCAGCGGGAACCAGACGATACAGATCAGCAGCATTACAATCATCCCTCCCATCCCGTACTTCACCACCTTCTTCTTCTTCTGGCCTCGCGGCTGGGGATACCTCTGCAGAAGGATGCGATAAAGGACAGTGAAATGTATTATTTTCATCAGCAGGCAGTTGTTGTTTTTACATTACAGTGCAGTGTTTTCATTGTTCCATCTTTACTCCAGATAATCTGATGCAGAGGTAATGGCTACGTGTTTTCTACGCCTGGACTCGGGGGCGGTTATAAAAGTAAAGATGGAACAAAAACTTTCAGGACAGGAGGTACTTGCAGACTGATTCAGGAAAGACTGCCAGAGTGCATTATTTACTATAGTGAGACATTGAATGCAAGTATTTTTAGTGCACTTTTGGGAATATTAGGCACCACAGACACAATATATCTAATATAACTAATATACAGTTCATTGCAGAAAATGAGAGCTGAGCCAGAATCTAATATTCACATAAAATCAACTTCAACAAATCACAAAAGTAAATCTCAGCTTGAATTCCAACATGACAGACTTTGGCTCTGAAACTGGTTCTTCTCACACTAGACTGATGCCACAATGATAAACACCTTCTCAGACTCTCTCCAGCATTTGAGGATAAAGATGTGAGCGTAGATATCCTCCACACAGATCCAGCTGGACAGAGACAGCGAGGTATCGGTCCAGACCCAGTCCATCACGGCTCGCAGCTCCGTCAGGAACGGCACCAGACGAAAACTGGAAATAACAAGAGTCTTAGTTAGTCAGAAATATCAAAATATCAAATATCTTTATTCGGAAAATCATCATTGTTAATTTTGTCCAAGAGAAGGGCATTGCTATACATATTTGTAGTAAAATAAACACTTAGATTTCTATATTTATTTTATTTTATTGTTTCTACTCAGAGGCCTAAACAGAGATAAAAAATTCTCTTATTTAAAATTATATCCAACATACAGTATATAGTAACAAACAGTCTGGAGATAAATATGGCAGAAAACACAATGGTATGTGGTGTTCATTAAACCCAAAAATATTAAATTATTTTTTTTTAATTAGATGATTTTACTTTAAAAGATATATAATAGTATAATAACTAGAGGTGTGGTTTCCAAATCTAAAACATATTACATGAATAATGAGCATTACATAGCATAACCATGGCATGACTAGGATTGCGATTATTTTCATTATCTATTGATTAATTAAGCCTATTGTCTACAAAGTGTCAGAAAATATTGTAAAGTCTTTTATCTAACCCACAGATCGAAACCCAAAGACAAACCATTTCTAATGCTACAGAAGCAGAGATCAGTAGTAACAGAGTACATGAGTAAAACAGTAGGAACGAGTACTTTTCATGTTCCTTTTAAAAAAACAATACTTCTACCCTTTACTCAAGTATATTTTTGAGCCAGTAATTTACTTTTTACTTCACTATATTTGCATTTACACCTTAGTAACATCTAGTCTGCTGTAAATGCGGGACTGAGTGTGCCGATGTCGAGAACAGGCAGCTTCCAGAGACAATATCTGGCCAAACTTTCTATACCTAAATCTGAAAAGTAACTCATAGTTTAGGTAATTTGTTAAGCTGGTACTCTATTTTTACTTGAGTAGGTTTCTCTTTCTTTTCAAAGGAGTAATTATACTTTTACTTAAGTACCGACCACTGTACAAAAGAGAGAAAAGAAGCATATCCTCACATTTGAGATGCTAGGAAGAGCAAATGTTCTGTATTTTTGCTTGACAAGCACTATTCAGGACATTGAAAAAGCTTAATACTGCCGTTATCTCCTTTGACAAAAAACTTGTTTACACACTTTAGACACAATCAACTCTAGGTATAATCTACTCCGTCTCCTTTCATTCTTCCAACAGCAGCTAGACACGAGCAGAGCCTCGGACCTGTTTGCCCAGCTGGAAGAAATGATACTTTCCCAGCATAACTCACCCTTGAAACAGGAAGAGGTTGACATAATTGTAGCTCTTGGTGAGGAAGTTTCCCAAAACGCGGGTGGGGTAACCACAGCGGATCTGATAGGCTGACAGTCCGAAGTAGATGCACTTGACAAAATACCACATCTGGGCAACCATGTTCTCGCTGAAACGCCTACGAAGGAAAGAGAAGCGAGACAGTTTGTAAGACTTAAGAATTTTTCCATTTATAGGCAGAACAAAGACTCAAACATTAAGATCTCTTTTAAAGTTCCTTTCAGCTGTAAAACATTAATATTAAAACTTAAAGATATTTTAAGCATGTTTTTCTTTATCTGAATAGACAGAAGAGACTAATAAATACATACATAGTTTGACACCTCAAAATATTAAACTTTAATCAAATTGATCAGGACACTTTTAGATCAAATATCAAACATATCTAATGTGAAGTACAGTTCTTACTTTTCTGTGACTCCTGGTAGGATAAAGAACATCCAGAAGTGGATGCCAAAGAGGAGGATGACCTGGAAGATGACCTTGCCCATGACAGACTTTCTGAGGTAGAGGGCCCGGTCCACCACCATGGTCCCAAACTGGATCAGGACCATGACCAGGAAAGGTCCCGGCACCTGATCCTCCGAAAGAGAGGACGTGATGTCTGCCACTGAGTGTTTCTAGAGGGGATACGCAGCAATGTTAATCTAGCGAGAAGTGATTTTGTTTGTGGTTTCAGGTGAAAAGAATAATTTTGATCTAAAACCTACACCAAAGGCCCAGAATCCAAACACAATGATGATGAAGTCGACCGTGTCGGCGAGGAACATCAGCACGTAGACGTCTGTGACCGCGCTGTACTCTGGATGGATCAAGTTATGGAAGAACTGCCTCATAGGAAGGTAGATCTCCATGAACCTACAGAGAAATAAGAAGAAATTATGTTACTAAAAAGTGAAAAGAAACAGGTCAAGGTACGTCATATATGCTCTGTAGAGTTCTTTAAGACTGCTCTGAACTGGGTTTAAGAGTTTTTATGCTCACTATGCTGGTATTTAAACTGTAAATTGTGGTCATTGCTACAGAAATCATTTCTTTTGGCTGCTGATGTTTTGGGATATTTTATAATCTTAATGTTATAATCTCAGTAAATTATTATTTGGATTGGCTTTAGTCATTTTTATGGTTCATGACAGGCTTTGGGTTGATTTAAGGGACAATTTAGGTTGTTTTTAGGATTTAATATTAGTATTAGAAATATTATTACTGCCCATCTTGGCCAGGAACTTCTTAAAAAAAAGAGATTTAACCTCAATCAGGTTAGATAAAGGTTGGAGAAATACACAAGTTGACAGACACCACTGGTTTTATTTTGAAAAAAACATAAATGATTGAATTATCTTCTCTTTGTGTTTCAGTTACTATTGTGGATGTAATATCTCAGAAACCACTTGTTCCACTGTGATTAAATTTAGAACAATAACAATAACAGCACTTACAAAAATTACAATGACTGGCCTAACGGGAATGCTGTAATTAAAGGTCTAAATTTAGACCTTTGAAAGGTTTTAGCTGCTGCATCACTGATATGATTTTCCACAATGCATCGTCCATTATTCGTCTAGAATTCTTGCTGAGCACAGTTCTCATCAATGCCCTCATAAAGTTACACGCTTTGTTGTATAATTACAGTCGGTAAGCAGCTGTGGGTGGAGATTAAAAGACAAAAAAACCCCGAGCTGCCTCAACTTTTATGACCCAGCTATGCTTCAGTGTACCGCTTTATGATGAAAGCTTTTCCTTTGAGGAGCTGCTCCCTCAGCTTCTCCATGATCATCTGTTTGCGGGTCTTCTGATGGACGCTGGCCTCGCTGCCATCCTTGCGGCTGCTGTTGTGGGAAGCGGTACTTCCTGTGGAAACAATTTACATTTCGAGTTGTAAATGAACCGTGACGAGGTCTTGAGTCACTGATACAGCAACAGAGTCCAAATCCAAAGGTCAAGGCTAGAGACCACAGGAAACTGAGTTTGTTGTGAGACAGAACCCAAACGATTCCTTCTGTTTATTATTGTTTAGAAGAGTCACTGCTTGTTACTCTCAAGGCTTTGTGTTAAGGGAGAGAGTGTTAATTGTTGATTTTCCCCATTCAGGCTCATGTTTTGAAGCAGTTGTCTAATTAGTAGGAGGCAGATGTGGGACCAACTCAAAGTTTTGCAAGTCACAAGTCCTAAACAAGTCATAATGCGCTCTTCACCAAATGTAATGCCATTTTAACAACAGAACAAACTAAACTAAATCTTTTTTTTCCCCAACTTTTTAACCTTTTTTAGTCTTCCAACCACTCAAAGCGCTTTACACTACATGTTATATTCACACAATCTGGGGTTCAGTATCTTGCTCAACATGCAGAGGGAGGAGCCAGAGATCAAACCGCCAACCTTTCGATTAGTGGATGACCCGCTGCTGTTGGACTGGTTCAAACAAAGTGGATCTGGGGAATTAAGTGTTGACTTGCTGGGAATAAATAATGTTCATGTTGGTTGTTTCAGCACATGAAGGGAAAAGTAAATTATTTGTGGCACACTTTTTAAAATAACATACCTTTCAACCTAGAATGAAGTATTTTCAAGTCACTTGTTTAAGTCAAGTCGAGTCATTAAATTTGTGAGTCTGACTCGAGTCCACACCTCTGGTAATAAGAAACAGACAAGATAAAATAGACTAGGATCTTCACCTCTCTTGGACCGTGCAGAAGAGTGGAGAGATCGGTGAGAGATGTGCGAACCTCCGCTGGAGCTCTTGCGGCGCTGGTAGGTCTGCTGTTGCGGGTAGTGCACCAGGACATGTCCGGAATCAATGGAGGTCCCAAAGTTTATGGATCTCAAGGTCTGGTTGGAGCCTCTCCTCTCGCTGATCAGTGAGGAGGCGGGTTCGGACTCTTTATCACTCTCCACCTTCTCTTTACCTTCGTCCTCTGACTCACTCTGACGAGAGGCTATTTTCCTCTCTTTGGGATCGTCTTCGTCCCACAGACCATGACACTGGAGACGGAAAGAGGAAGAGAAGAGACCACGTTGTATTTCATGCCCAAATGATTTGACAGTCTGGTCCAGTTGCATACAAATATCTGAACAGTCACAGTGTTTGTCCCATGAACAGCTAACAGTGCACAAGGTTCCCTGTCTGTGCAGCAGGGACACACACATCTACATCGGGTCAATACCTTTTAATCAATATTGGATATCAGCCAGGCTGTGTTGCGAAAAGCAAATGCGGTTCCTCCCTGACCACAGATACACAATCAATCAGAGGAATATAATATTCTTTGCATTTTACATATTCTTCATATTTTGGTTTTCTGTTGTCTGTAAATGTAATTAATCCTTAAGGAAACAATGTGTTGTAGAGTTTCCCTTCAGTTAAATAGATGTAACCACTTAAAAACCCACAAACATTCAATCAGTTGGTGAATGTTTGTGACGTTGTAGAAGCTTTCTGTCAGGAATACATTTTATGTTAACACACAGACTTGTTTTGAAATGTTGTGGCATGATTATAGATACTGAATATCAGCATAGGGTATTGAGTACATTGAGTATTATCACAGTGATTTACAAATATTGGCATCAGCTATAGGTTTGCAGAGACGTCTGTCTTAAAAAACAATATTCAGGTGTCCATAGGGACACAGAAAACAGGTTTTGCTTGCTGTGATGATTCCTCCTGCTCATACTGGCCATTTTGTCCCCCATCATGTAAAGGGATGGCCTCCTTTATATATAGAACAATTATATCTATGGGAAGCGCTAACTGGCTGATTGTGTTTAACAGATAAGGCTGACAATATTATAGATTCCTCTAGACCAAAACCAGCAATGTGTGAACACTTTCTGACTTCCACAACCTGTCTGCTGCACTCATCTCTAAGCCCATTTGTTTCTATTGAAGAGGTAAATCTTTAAAACTAAAGTACTAAAGTATAAAAAATACAAAGTAAACACCTGGGCACTTAATGCAACTAAAAAGTGCAGTTGCTGGAGACTGTTTTCAGCAACAGGTTAACACACATTTGGTGCTCTGTGAATATTTACAGCAGCAGGACAGTGTAAATAAACCACAGCGTGTGTTGTGTTCATGGTAATAAAGGAACATCTCACCCAATCCAACGGAAGTCTACGGCACAATATGTGTTTGTGGGATCAATTCATTTTTGTTTTGTTCTTTTAGTGGAATTTGGTCACCATATTACCCTATGCACATATTCAGGTTAACATTGTCTAAATAGTCTGTGTTTGAAGGCACCTTGAGAATGGATCTGTGGAAGAAGAGAGCCAGTAACTGGACCAGGTCATAGTGTACGTAACCGTCCTTCTTCTCCACACCAATGATATTGGGAGGGTGATATGGTTTATTCTTATCTATCTTGTTCTGGTTGAAGGGGAAGAAGCCAAACTGGAAGAAGTACTTGACGACAATGGTGACCTGGAGGGAAAACAAAACAGTGAAGCTGTCAGAACTATGTCAAAGTTTGTAGAAACATAAGAGACACAAATTCTGATCTTACTCTTAGGGCTACAATGTAATTAAGTGTGTAATAAATACATCAGTGCAAAAAATCGATGTCAAAAAGTGTCATACATAAAATGATCTTTATAAACTTCTTTTAACTTTCTGGCGTTCACATCAGAAACAATCTAGTCCAGTCCTGTACCAGAGGTTAATCTCCAAATGAAAAATACTGTCACCAACACTAATAAAACCCCCCAAAAATAATACAAAATCTACTTTGATTTGACTTTTCTGTAATTGTTTTTAGAAATGACATCTTCAGACCTCAGTATAGATAATGGCAGTCATCCAGTAGCGCTTGCTGGGCCGTGGCACTGACAGCATGGCCCAGAGGAAGATGGTGATGGGAAGGACCAAGGTGGCGCATGAGGCCGACACCATGTGGTTGATGATGATGACCAGGTAGCACACCATCTCTGAGTGAGCCACCAGCATGTTGTAGAGGGCGTAGCAGAGCTGGAGGATCAGAGGCTGCCTTGTGTAGAATGTATCTGACTGCTCCAGCTCCTCATCATAAAACATCCTGCACAGACACAGAGAGATAAATGAATGATTTGGTGTTTGATTATTTTTCTGGTTCTAAAACATTACAGAAACACAAAAGGGTTTATCATTTCCTTCGATTAAAAAAGATGTGACTTTGCTTTGCATTATTCTAAACTTGCAGATTATTCTTGATTTACAAAAGTGCCTGCAATCATGGATGAATTACTGAACACCCCTGGGCTTCACTTGCAAAATGTCACTGAAAGAGACACATAATGACCACAAAGAGATGCAAAACAACCATAAAGGAACTAAATATTACCACAAAGATAGGTAAAGACACAAAACAAATACAAAGAGAAAGAAAATGACCAAATAGACACACAAAATCAGCACAAAACGACCAAAAAGAGACAAAAAACAACCACAAAGAGACACAAAACAACTACGAAGAGATGGAAAATTCAGTTTTTTACAATTAAAACCATTTTTGTTACCATACAATCATGGTATACAAACCATACAATCATGGTGCCAAAATTAAATGGTGTAATAACATTTTGTGGAAGACAGCAAAGTTATGATTTAGTGGCAGCTTTGATAGTTTTTTATTCTGTATATATCAATACTCAGACCTGTGTGGATAACTTGTACCTGTTTTTTAAATTTAACAAGAGGAATCTGTAGTGAAGCATTTGAGACAAACAACTGTTGATTGTGATCCCTGTGAGGCTTCTTGTCTTTGGACTTACTTGTTGAGCAGCAGCTCGCTGGCGGTCAGCTCAGTGGTCATAGAGGGCAACATGATGTCTGACCTGCTGTCTGAGCGGCTGTCAGAGGTCATAACCATGCGCCTCTTCCTATCCATGTCGCTCTCATCATCGCTAACTTCCAGACGGTCAAAGCTGACCGCCTTGCTGTAGCTGGGAGGAACGTCAGCGTCAGACGTTTTGGAAGCATCTGTATCAGGGGTGTAGAGGAGCCCTGCTCGCCCCTCTGACTGCGTGAAGTCCTGCTGTCCTCCCCCATCCTCACTCTCTGTTGTGAAGTCCCTCTCCTGGGCAAAAGAGGCAGACTCCGCTTCCTCCGGCCTGAGGGAGGGGCCCTCATCTGGACCAAAGGACTCCCAGGGACCCTCTCCTCTCTCTTTGCTCTCCTGGTCCATTGGAACCTCTGCTTCCTCCTCACCCTCCAGTCCCTCCTGGCCCACACTCTCCTCCTTCTCTTTCTCCCTGGGTTCTCCGTCACTCCAGAGGCCGCCCTCGGCCCCATCGCTCTCGTCTACCTGCTGGAATTCCCAGGGAACCTCCTGCTTGTCTTCCCCTTGATCCTGCTCATCCTCCACTTCTTCTATGGTGTCTGTGGTGCCCTGTCTGGAGTAGAGCGTGACGCACTGGGTCGCTTCACTGAAGGGGGACAAATCAGCAGGGACCAGGTCAGTATGTGTTCAAGTCTATTTGCTTATATTGCTTACTAAATTAAAAAACTGGAAATAGAATCTCAATTTATACAGAATAAATTAAGATTTTCTCACTCATAATGTACCAACCCATATTTATTGAGGCCTTTTTATTTTTAACCATCCACTTGTTTGACTGGAATTGGATTTTCTATGCCACACTCTACTCATGGATGAGTGCATATGTCTTCCTTTTTAAAAAGGAAAGCATTTAAAAGCAGCATATAAAATACACATTTACTAAAGAAGATATAACAAAATTTTTAAGTATTTGTTAACAAGTATAACCCCTATAAGGACGTTTTATAAAATCATTGTGTTTTACAGTACTATATTGTCATTAATTATCTATGTTACAGACACACCTGAATAAACACTTGTATCTGCTTACAACTACATCATAGTGTCTTATAAATATATTAACTGCTTATGAATGCTAAGTAGGGGGGTAAGTAAGTAAAGTTTTACCAAAAAAAGTGAAATATGTACGACATAGTAAGTCTCAGCAAACACTGAAACAAGAAACGTGATATTTATTCCAACTTTAAATAACAGAAAGGCAATTACTGAGCAGGAAAAGACCACACGCTGTAACAGTGCGACATGCATTTTCCTGGTTATCTTTGTGTTTTTGACAGGATGTAGTAAACAAAAGGGTTGTAGAACAGTCATGCAATGAGCTGAGATGGAGTTAAAATAGACAAGTTGATAAACAAGTAATGATAAGTAACACAGGTTGTGTATATGGGTGATGCAGAGGCCAGGCACCTGGACATGAAGCTACTGCCACTGTCCATTGATGAATTGGACTGGTCCAGGCCGTACATCTTTCGCAGTTTGGGCCTGGCGCGCTCGCTGGTTTTGGGAATGCACTCTGGCATTCCATCGAGGTCTTCCAGGGTGGATTGGCGGGAAAACAGTGTGGTTGCCTCGGTGAAGGCGCTGAGAGGTGATGAGAGTGAGAGATGCAATGATCAATGATGATAAGGATGAGATGGTATCTAGGTTAGCTTACACAGAGAGAGGAGATCCCCCCCCCCCCCATATACTGTGTAATAAAAGCATTAAAAATGGAAATGATCTTCTTTATCTCGTCACATGGCCGTAAAAAGCATTAGACGCAGCAGAGAATGAGGATGAAATGGCTAAATGTGATGATAACCACATATTATTAAACAACTTCTTCCTTGATAATGAACAATTCCTCAACAAAATAACATGAATCTGAGGAATTGTGATGCAGGAAAACTGTAACAAAATCTTTACAAATACATGAAGATCATGAAAATTATTTCTCTCACGGATAAAAACTCCCAACAACATTTCACAATGGGGGACACATTTGGTCTCCCATGTTGCAACCACTCTCAGGCTCTGCTGTTTACCTGGATATGCTGTCTCTGGAGGCTGTGGAGTCCTGGCTCTCCATGCGGTAGCCTCCTCGCCTTCTTCGGACCCTGGTGGAGCCTGAGGCCGACCCGTCCTCGCTTAGCTGATCCATACTGGCCTGCCGGGACATGTTGAGCCTCATGGCCTTCTGGTAGTAGACATGGATGCTTTCTCTGGACGGGACGTTACCCTGGTAAGAGAAGAGGAGTTAATAATTTACTAGTTCTCACAAAAAATTTAACATATGAACTATTTTTAAAAATAAAGTAACTCGTCTTCTACACGCCAAAAGTCAATGTGGAGGTTCTCAGTACCTTTTTGACTTCTCTGGTCAGCATGCAGCGCTCTATACGCAGCACAGTGGAGATGTCAATGTACTCTCTGCACATTTCATTCATCCACTTGGTGAAGCTCTCCACGGTCGTCTGGAAGAGCACCCAGGTGAACTTTATGATGTTGAACACTCTCTTGATGATGTTGTCTGGGGAAAGGCGGCATACGGCACAAACGCTACAGTTTCTTACAATTTCAGTCACACAAAGGCTCCTAACATCAGTGAGAAAACTTTACTGAATTATTAAACGTAACAGCACAAAATCAAGTGAATCTTTGCTTTCAAGCTCTCATAAAACAGTTTTCCTGAGGAGAAACCAACCTGGACTACCAGACTTCTTGTTCTCCTCCTTTTTTTCTTGCCCGTCCGAGAGCTCACCAACCTCTATAGCCACATGACCTGCTGTAGTACACGAAAGACACCATTCATACTTGTTACTCTTTCAAAAAAGTAGTATTATTACTTTACTTATTACTCCCTGCAAACAATAATTACTTAGACAAGCAATATTATTACTAGTAATGCCTTACTGTGCAACACTGCTCATAACTAAAGTTAAAGCTTGTTTTTATTTCCAGAACTTGCTCACCTTTTTTCTTGCTTTTTCTGTATCTAACTCCTTTGGCGTATTTTTTCCAAAATTTGCGTTTCTCTTTGGCTCGTGCCTTCAGGGCAGCTTTGGGGTCTGTGATCCAGGCGTGATAAAGAAACTGGAGAACGGAGAGATGTAGTTTAGCATCAGTGAAGGACGTGAAGAAGAGGAGAGGAGTCACTGAGGTAATCATTATGCGAGAGCAACAACAAGCAAAAGGAAAAATAAACACCAATGCCAGGTGGTTTTAGTCTGTTAATCAATTACAAATTCATTACAGATCATTTTCAAAAACAATAACTTAACTTTTTTAAATTATTTGAACATAACATTCGAACGTAGCTCATATATTCAATGCTTCTCAGCAGCAGACTCTCACATAGCTTCATTGAACGTAACAAGAAACATTCAAAATTCAGTAAAAACGTGAGAAAAAAGTTGTCAGTGTTCAGTTCAAGCTGTGAAACATGCACAACCACTAGTGTATCACAAAACACAATGTCTTTCATCAGAGGCACAAACGCCAACTGCTAACCCTGCTGTTGCTTCACTGATCGTGACAACTCACAAATGCTCTAAGCTCAAAGCAGGAGAGCACACAAAAAAGATTAAAACACACAGGAAACACAACCAACACCACGTCAGAATAAAGCTCCAGTTCATGCAACACAACAAGCCAACAAGCCAGACAACAACAACACAGGTGATAGAATTTCCCTTCCAGTTCATATTGATGATTTATGCCAAATAAGTGTTCACTTGTGATATGGATAAAGTCATCTGCATGTTTGATATTTGTGCCGAAGCAGAGCACCGAACATGAGCTGGAAAGGCAGTTTGCTGTGGCGTTAGCTGTTACTTAAAGATGTTCATACAGAAAGCGAGCTGTGTTAGTTGTGGTGGTGAGTACCTTGCCTGCCTTGACTACATACTGCAGGATAGTTTTAGGCAGCTTAATGACAGACTTGGGCAAAGCCAGAAGAGCAGAGACAAACTTTCCAATAGCTCGCTACAGAGAGACAACAGAGTGGGAGAGGGTTAGTATGATCAGAAACAACGAAGGTTAACTCTGTAAGGGGGCAGTGAACAAGAAAGGATTTAGTAATCGAGGAAACTGTTCAGGTAGTTTATCACATTCTTCTACATGTTAGTATTAAACACCTTCACCTTCAAAAATAATCCATTCATAGTTATAAACTCTAAAATTTACTCAAGAAAACTAGAATTAAAAGCAAACTATGCACAGTACGAAAAGCAAAATTCACACAAGATATGTTGTGCAAGCAGTACTTCTAGTTAATTAGTTAATTAGTGAACATTTAGCATATAGAATTTAAATTTGCATGACACTAGCAACAACAAGCATTGGACACAGTCAGGGGTGGAAAGTACACTTCATTTCATACTTTTTACTCCACTACATTTATCAAACCGCTGCTATTACTAATCATTACTTTTCTTATTAAGAGAATAAAAAGCACATGTTTATAAAATACAACTCATTATTAGTGATAAAACCAATTGTTTGCAACCAAGTTAGGGTCCCTTGTCACATTACAGATGTCTGTGAGTTCCAACATCCGACATTTCTTCTCTAAACTTCTCATGTGATTTCCTTTTAAATAATGTTTGAGGCTCAAAGACGTAAAATTATCTAATATTTCACAAAAAATTATAAGAGAAATGTAAAAAAAATGCATTTAAACTTGTGTATCAGAACTTCTTCTTTCCTCTCCTATTAATCATCTCACAAGCCCTCAGATTTATCTTGTGACCCTTTGGAGGGGCCCGAACCTTAGGTTGGGAACCTCTGAACTAAACTAACTGAATATAAAGTAGTTAATACGCAGCTTAACCACAACCAGCCTTCTGATTACACATTAATGTATCTGTATTAACAATCTAATATAACAAAAAATATCACACATAATAATATTACAGGAGACATTTTACAGCAAAATCAATACTATTTATTAGTATTTTATGTAGTTTATGAGTATTTTTGTACTTTTACTTCCACAACAGGATACAGTAAATGTAATGGAGTAAAAAGTACAATATTTCCCTTTGAAGTATACAAAATGGAAATATTGAAGCAGAGTAGAGTACTTGAGTAAATATACTTTGTTATTATTTACCTCTGCTAAATGCAACATCCTAATTAATAACAAAAAGATGTAATCAATTGATTAAACTGTGACAGGGACAGAATTAAAATCTTGTTTCACACTGAAACCGATGGGAAAATGAGTCACTACTTGAAGTCACCTGAAACGCAGACTTCTTTGGCGGTTCTTCATCTTTTTTCTCCTCCTCCTCCTCTTCCTCCTCACTGTCAGTTTCAAACAAGTAATAGTCTCCACTTCTAACCACTGAAGGGGGTGCGGGGGGGCAGAGGGTAAAGTGTAGTTACATTCAGTCAAAATAGAGAATTCATTCATCGTTTTCACAACATTTAAATGAAGCTCAGAGAAGGTTCCCTCGCTGAAAGGAAGACGCACCAAACTCAAACCACTTACCTCTAAATTATATTTAATTTGCTACATATCAATAATTTAACCGAGTCTACAGTAAGTCACGATATTTCCACACTTTTAAAAACATAAGAGACATAAGAGGATGAAACAGAAAATGCAGAAAACACACACAACGCATCTAGAAATGTTAGTATGACTGATACAACTATGAGCACAAAGCACAATGGAGAATGTCAATTAAAGACTCTTATTCCAATAAGTTAATAACCTTTAAGATATTTGATAGAGCAAGTGACTCCTGTCTGCAGTAGTTAGAAGCAATGGGATAGACAAGGCTGACTTATGTCCTTGAACAGAACCACAGTGGGCGGGAGGTCAGGGAGGATGCTGGGATATGGAGATGAAACATCAAATGACAAAGAGATAAAATGGAGAAATAATTTGAAAATGTCATGTGGGGGTGGAGTACGATATGAGACATGAGTTCAAAACCAAACAGGCGACCACTGTATTGACTCATAAAGAGGCTGCTATTTCTTTCGTTTACCACAAAGAGACTGGAAATGTCGTCATTTTATATATTTCGATTGCTGGATCCAATTGTTCTTGCTGTGTTATTTTTCTCCTGGGTTACACCTGTTTGGTGATCATGTCTGCAGGCAAAGAATGAACAAACCCTTCATCCTTTATTCCAGTACTGAGAATAAAGGCAAGTCGACTTCATATCTTTGCATGAAAATGTTTTACAACAGAGCGATTCTCTACTGTGGGCTCCTTAGGTGAGACCGATGGTGACGTTTATGTTTTAAACAATGTCAAGTACAAACCTCCAGCCGTTAGTCATTTTCTCTTTCTTCATCGTGTCTATTTAAGGCAACCCTGCTCTGCTCCAATACTGACACGGTTTTATAGATCATCTTCAAGTGCCTCTCCACACACAGTATGCAGTTACATGAGAGCTGTAGGGTACAAGGGCCCTTAAATAGAGATAGAAAATGACTAAAGTCTGGATGGAGCAAGGCTACTGTGGGTTGGTGCCTTCAGAGCCCAGGGGCAGTATGGGAATCCTCAGCGTTCTGGTCAAGGACACAAGGGCCAATCAGAGTGGAGGAAGAGAAAAAAGGGGATTGGGGGTGGGGTCAACCTACTGGAAGCATGGTCAACCCACGGCCTCCACCACTGCTTTTTTTTGGTCTTGGCTTTCGTTCGCTGTGCTCCTAAAATGTCACAAATACAGCAATGCAACATTTCATAAGAAAATGATTTCGTTTTTTTGCAAACTTCAAAGCATTTTTTTTTAACTCTTTTTAAGCTGCTCTTCAAATAATGAAAACACATCATCACACAACATGTATTAATAAAATAGGCTGATTAGGCATTAATACACTCCCACCCATCGTCCTGGAGCACTACTAGCAATCACATAACCTCAACACCAATTTTCTATAACTTTGACTGCACAGAGAGACGCTGGCAGCTTTCATCATACCATCATCGTCATCCTCCTCGGGCTGGACGAGGGTCTGTCCTTCTCCAGACTCCTGCGCCAAGCTCAGCATCTTCTCCTTGCCCCTCTTAAACTTTTGCTGCCTCACCTTAATGCGCTCCATCCTGATTAGATCAGAGAGACAGTGAAGAGACACGAAGTATCGACACAGAGGAACATCACCGACGGCCCAACAGATTGACCATAAACATCTCCGGGCTTCATATGGAAATTAGTGTAGGCTATGTAACAGCGGAGTGCTCATTAGCGCGGGTGAGTGGATATTATCAGTGCTCATGAGTAACTCCTGAAGTAACTGTAAGTGGTGGAAATACATTGACTTTATGTAGTGTGATATACTGAGAGATGGCTTCCTGGAAACAGTAAAGACGGAGCCAGGAGTTGCTTTTAATCCAGGACGGCTCTTAAATGGCTTTCTGAATCATGTTTACTTACTTATGGGTTAAATTAGGCCTAATGTATATTAATCCGCTGCTGAAAATAGTCCCCAACCAATACGCTGTTTACACCAGTTTGAGTTACATTTGCTCAAATCAAGGAATTTGTTGACACCATGACGACTACGTCTCAAATTCAAACTTTAAAACTTCCCTTAATATTGCATTATTTGTACACAAAAATCCGAACCACAGCGCTACGCAACATGGAGTGAGTGAAATATTTGGAGTCTCACTGTCTCTTCAGCTGCTCCACAGATCTACGCTCTTCCTCCAGTCGGGCTCTCACCGCCTTCACTATAGTGGCCTGAAAAAGCTCCGCCCCCCTGAAACACACAGACGCACAATCAGTGACCAAACATCAAATGTTCAAAAACATCCAGTGTTTCCTCAACAGGTACATTGATTCCATATTTACGTATCTAACTAGGATTTAACTCCAGTGTACCAGGGAAGTGATTCTCAAAACGAGCCAACTTGAATTTTACTGAACTTCCTCTGTCATGAATGGCAAGTTTCTTCTCACGTATTTTTCTCATCAGTTTCTGTTGTGCAAATTAAAATTCTTACACAGAAAATGCACAAGCTTTCGCATTATGCTGACATTGAACTGTGCGTGAGTGTATTTTGGATTTGGCTGACGTGTTTGCTTGATCCACATCACCAGTTTTTCTTCTCTTCCCTGTCAATTGGACCGTCTTGTATTTGACATGTTGTTTGTTTTTGGAATAAATCATGAAAACCTGAATCCAGCCTCATAGCTTCCGAGTGCTCTTGTGCCTTCATCCTTCTCAATTCATAAACCTTTTTCACACATCAGGCTTTTTAACATATCATGGCAAGAAAAGGCCCTGCCACCCTGCTGTGACCTTTATAAATACTGTACAGTTTAATTATTTGTTCACACATCCCTCAAAGGCATAGAGTCACAACCCTACACGAGAAGAATCTGAATATGGGAGCAGCACCTCTGGGCCTCAGCCTCAGCAGCGTACCTGGATGCGAGGACCTGTGATGCTCTGATATCAGCCACCACGTGGAGGAAGTAGTAGCTCATGAAGACTCGTCTCTGCAGCAGCAGGAAGGCGAAGCAGATACTGTCCCAGATGATCCCAGCCTCGTTACTCGGAAGATCACATTTAGCTAGAATACACACACAACACGGTCATACATAATCTGATTTAATCCAATTAATTTGTAAAAAAAATTAGCTATTGACTTGTTTACACCACAATAATTAATCAGTGGAATCGGTCTTTAAATACAAGCAGCTAATGTGTATATGTGTGTTGATAATGTAAAAATATTACCATTACTGTCAGTGTGATAACCTCTAATGACAGGTCAAAGTGAGGACATTTATAATGCTCCAGGATGTTAATGTCAACTCTTTTCAGTAATTTCTGATTGTGGGTAATTATTTCACTGAGTATAGTGGTCGTGTTTTGTGTGCACTGTAAATCAGTTACCCAGTGGGATTACGTAAGATACAGGCTGCGCTAAACTAAACTGGCCTGAAACATAAATGGTTTAATGTCAGCTTCTTGGGAAACACACTCTTGGACGCACAGTCTGGTGTGTGCAATGTACGACTAATAGTTGTAGCCAAAAAGGGGGATTTATGCTCCTTCTGATACTGAAAGGGACATTTCACCTTCTTGTGAAATGTATTTTTTTTCCATAATAAAAAGAACTGAAATGTTGAGTCAACTCACTCTTGTCTGGCTTGATATTGTACTCGTTGATGGTGCAGGCCAGACTGAACAACTGGATCAACCAGCAACTGTTCTCAATCAGAGAGTTGATGTAGCCACAAGCCAGGATCTAAGAACAAAAACCCTTTGTCATATACTCGAATACAATAACTTATATTATATCTTTTCACATAACACAGAGAAGTTTAAAGTTTTCTAGTTTTTTGTCTATCATGCAGTTAGTTAAATAATTTAGATTTACAATTTGAGATACTCACAGACAAAATGTTCTTCATGGTGATTACAAAGATGTTGTACGCGATCAGGAAGTCCCAGTAGTGGAGGATCTTTTTGATTGGTTTTAACAACAGCTCACCGCCAAAGAGCAGGAAGTAGAAGCAGGCCACCAGGTAGCCCATGCAGAAGACGCTGATGCGTGTGGTCCCCGTGATGAAGATGATGGTGAGGACAAACCAGAACATGTAGCTAAACATGATGACCTTCAGCATGTCCAGGTAGGACCTAGAGGATAGTGGTGAAACCAATATGTCAGTGCTATTTTTTCAAAAGATATAGTTGTTTTGGAAGTCTTGGCAGCTGTCTCCAAAGGCAGATGAAGACCATGCTATCCGCCTGTTATTACATGACCAGAGCTCCATACTTCAGACAACAGAACCAACTCTATGTCGCCAATGAGAAAGTATTTAACATGGTCGAGAATTAACTTTTACACCCGCAATCAATTAGTGACCTGCAGCGTCTGTAGATAAAAACAGCTCATTTTAAGGTGACAAAAACAATTCTTATATTCAGGTGATTATACACTAACGATAACATACCTATGGATATTATATTCCATCTCTGCCCATAGATCTTCCTAAATGTTACACACTGGACCTTTAAGAAAATGTCTTGTTCATTTGACCCCGCACTGGAGCAGCAGGAAAGATTAGAGATGAGACAGGCTCATTTGAGTCACATGAAGTTGGAAGTAAACAGCATGGACCACGGCCAGCTGAGCTAAGTTGCTAATAAGGATGCATGTTTACCACATAATAAAAGTCAAAACAACATTTCAGTTCATTCTGCTGCTGTGTGCATAATCCACCCATCAATCACAGTTAGTGTATCACTTAGTGTCAGGACACCGGTAAGAGTCTGATCAATGAATGCGAACCAGAGCTGAAACCCGACTCCTGTCACTCAGCACAGGTATACTACTGCGTCTCCTGTGTGTGTCTCAACATGCTAAAAGCATGCGTCCTGCGTTGATCACCTGAGAGACCATTAATATGATGTGTGTGGAGTGAAAACATAGGAAGCAACGTGCACTAATTTGATGGAAAACATGGGACCACAACAACAGCTGCACTGTTTAGGAAGCAGCTCTGATGAAGTGGGTTTGGATCGGACGATGCGTTGATGGGCCGGAATAGCTGAGTGAGTGTCCTTCTTCATCAGGGGGAGAAAATACCTTTTCCATACTTAAAAGCTATTTATTGAGTTAGAGTACAGGGCAAAAGCGTCTGAGTCGCGGAGTGACGGACAGAGTGTTTTTGTGGATTATGGATTTCTCCCCCCCACTCCGTATCCGTAATTCGATCCTGGAGGGAAACGATGGAATAAGTGCAGAGCTGCTGTGGCGTGGACAGACGGGCTGTACAGCTCTCTTTCTCTCTACTAGGGCTTGTTGATGGACACAGAGTGCGTTAATAAAAGACTTGTCCACTTTGCGCATCAAAACAGTGGAATGTGAAGAGCACATAATCAATGACTGTGGACAGGTCAGGATGCTCTCGCTGTCTTTCTAACTCTCTATTTCCCTGCCTCTCAAAACCCTCTCTTCACTCTTTTTTTTGTGTGCAAAGTCAGTATCGAGCTCTGGATTCAAATATCGGACGACAGCCAAAATTCTGAATTATGTATACAGCGGGTATTCAATAACAGCTCTCCCTAAGCTACTGACATGAGCTACTGTCATCTGTCGGTTTTTTTTCTTACCTTTATTTATCTAGGATAAGAGATTTGCTGAGTGAGTGTGTTCTTATTCAGCACCACCCCACTTAAGATTTCTACAGTTACACAGTTAGCAGCCAAGTACAACAACAGTTTTTAACCGAGCTCTCTCTCTCTCTCTCTCTCTCTCTCTCTCTCTCTCTCTCTCTGTCTCTCTCTCAGCTGGAGAGGCTTGGATACACACCAAGTGTCTTACTCAACTATATCTCAGTGGTTGTTGCTGAAACTGGGAACAATGATACTTTACTTTTCTTATCCAAACTAGTGAGGGGACTCAAACCTGAAATCACCTTTTTACCAGCCTGTTTCTTGATCTATCTCAGCCCATCAGTGAGTTTAATGCTCTACTTGATAACTTGGCACAGCTTAACACGACGCTATGAGAGCAGAGAGGAACAACAAAGCTGCAGGTAGGATGTTAAACAATGAGCTGAATTTTAACAAACAAAACTGGACTTTAATCGTCGTAAGTCTGAATTTTGGGGACAAAAGGGGGGTAGCAGAAAAGTGATATAACTAGTACCGTAACTAATAAATGTTGGTAGGGAGTAATAAGTAAAGTAATAACATTACATAACAAAAGAATAATGAGTAATAAATTACATTTTTTGAGTAACAAGCCCAACACCGGTAGATCACTTCATCTGCCAAGATTTTTTACGTGCAGAGGTCAATTTACTTTTAAATTTAGGGGTGCCAAATTATGGAATACCTTTTCCCATCTGGCAAAAAACTCCATCTCTATAAAATGTTTCAAAATATGTCTAAAAGCCCATTTAACTGCTGTTTTATTTAATTCTAATTCACACACAAACACACTTTTATATTATGTTCATATTTTTGTTTTCATATTCTTATTTTGTTGTCATTATAACTTGTTGTTGATGTTATATATTCTTTTTCTCTATTATCAGTTTGTTATTACTTTATGTAGTTATAATATTCTCTGTATGTCAATTTTCTGTTCCTTATAACTATGACATTTTAGGTGGAGGCTTTAAATAAGCCCATCAGGGTTTTCTGCCTCTCCCTGCACTTTACACTATTTGTTATCGTTGTCGTTTTTTTAATCTGTGCAAAATAAAATAAAAAATAAAAAAAATAAAAAATCACAATGGATCTATGAACAGATCGCCTGTCAAGATAGTTTGTTTCATAATTTCCCGAAACCGTTATGAATAACAATACAGAATTTAAATGAGCATCTACCAAGGGTAGTCTGATGTTTCACACTTTCATGCTTAAATCCAAATTGCTGCTCTTACCTGATTTCTTTGGATGCCCATCCATAGTGTGGGATGTAATCCATATATGATACAAATAGGAACTGTTTTTAATAGTGCTGCTTGTTTTGAACACATTTCAATTTTGACTTAATTGTAGGAATCTAACATCATTAATCATCAATTAAGTTACTTCATTTCCTTTCCATTTTGGTGTCTTGTTGTCCTCCATGTTAATGCTGGTTCAGTCGAGCTCCAGTGGCACCAAAATTATGACAACCGTCTCAAGTGAATCTAATGTAAAATCTAATTTAAGTATGGGATCCATTGTCATATACTGTATCCACGGAGTCCTAATAGGAATACATACTTGGGTCCCTTCCTGCTGTGAACTCAGCACAATGTCAGTATGAGCTGCTTTACCTGCAGTGGATGAAGTCGGGGACGGGGTTGTGGACACTGAAAGAGGATGCGTCCAAGTCTCTGCAGATCTCCACGTTGTCTCCAGCCATTAGACGGATTGCCGCCTTGTTCTCATCTTCAAAGACCTGCCTCTGGAGAGAGGCACACAACAGCAACATAAAGTCATCTAGAAAAGAGGAGAGGAAGTCATCAGTATCACCAGTAATCACGATATATCTACTGATTAGAAAGATGTGGTTCAGACTCATCACGAGAGCTACACAGATACACCTACAGATGAGGAACGATGAGTTGGGTTTGGTGAGAAAATCTGGAATGTAGAGCCACTTGATCACATTGGAGTCTGTAGTAGAGTTGGGGAACCTCCAGGGATAGTCTGAAATTAAAACATGCCATTATCATCCATTATCATCAGACAAACGTATACACAACATGAAACAGGACCGACAACAAGAGCCTCGAACTAAAACAGGAAAAAGTACATCACAAAGACAGAGGGACAACAAATCTTTATATACGATGTTTTTGCAATAATATGAAACAATTAAAGCTCCTCAATGTTTGTGCGTCCTGAGATATCTTCATAAATCTTACGTTTTACATATATGACACAGATCTGTATTTTGTGAATAAACAAATGTTCATCCTACGACGTATTTTAAAAGTAACTTGGGGATGTCATTTTGACACAATATAGACAGTACAATCTAAACTGAACAAAAACACAGTATATAACACTTGTTTTTGCCCCCATTTTTCACAAGTTAAAATAAAAGATCAAAGACTTTTTCTATGCACACAAAAGACTTATTTCTCTAAAACTTTGTTGACAATTTCTTTTGTTAGTGAGCATTTCTCAGGTGTGACAGGTGTGTCATATGAAGATGTTGATTAAACAGCATGAAGATGAGACAGATGTGCCTTGGGTTGGTCACAATAAAAGGTTTCCATTAAAAATGTGCAGTTCTGTGTCATTCTTCCTGACCAACAGAGATATGTAAATACCTGGACACGCATTATGTGCATGGGCAGGAGGTGGAGGCATAATACCAATAAAGTCACATGTGTGACGTGGGTGGGCAACCTGATCTTCTCAACTAAACATGCAGGTCATGTATGTTGTTGTGTGCATTAGTTAGCATCAGTGCTTTTAACCCAGTAGCCTTGTCTGCGGGAGCTGCGTCATGTCAGAGGCTGCACAGCTGGTGCTTATCTCCGATGGAAACATTGGACTGTTTCAGGTAAGTAGCCACCTTTATTTCCTGCCTTGCTACCGCTCAGAGCCTCCACTTACAGCGGTTGAATCACTATTGTGTGCTGTATTAGCTTGTGGTTTTTCTACTGACCAGTATCCATAAGGGTTAGGGTTTCGGGTTTGTCTTCGCCTCGTTACAACGACTGTGTCAGCGGTTGTTTTTTTTTTACATGTTTTAACATTTGTTAACTGTAATCAAATGCAGTTAACGTTACCCCTACTATTTGACATTTTAATATCATTTATAATTAAATGATTACTCAATTGACTGTGAAAATAATGCTAGATTAGTCAATAATGACACAATCACTTTGCTGTGACTGTCTGGTTACTGTAAGTACAATCTGATAGAGTCGTTTCCACAAACCTTTGCAGGCTGCAGGTGGGATCCCGATGCAGACAAGGTACTGAAATGTCAACATGCAGGCCAGGAAGCAGCAGTACTTGGGCCAGATCTCAGCGATGGCTTTCCTCCTGCGTTTATACATGACTGCTATCAAGGCGAAGGCATGAAGCATAGCATAGAAGTCCATACGCTGCCCAATTACATTGACCACCAACAGCAGGCATGTCTGAGGGAAACATGAATTTGTACATGAGGTGATGAAGCTAACAGTTTTTAGATATATATATATATATGTATGTATTCTAACTTCTCTCTACCTCAAGTCCAAACTTGTAGAAGAAGTAGTTGATGAAGTATTTGATGCAGCTGATGATGCCAATGTCCAGATGCTGCCGTGTGATATCATGGAAGATGATCCTGGAAATGGGAGGTGACAGTTTGTTCCTCAGTCTGAAGTATTTCTGATGGCGGTAGATGGTCACCTCGAACAATAACAGAGCCAGCATCGAGAAGTTGTGCTGCACAGAGACAACAATTTCCTTTTGTTAAATACATGCAGACGGTTTAAATAACTGATTAGGGGATTGACAGAATATTGGAATTAATTTAGAGATTTATCAAATAAAAACAACACATTTTATCTTAACATTTTCACTTTATCAACACAATATTGGCCCTTTAAAATAGCCTTTTTGCAAATGCACTAGAGGACTTTGTGGTTTTCTGGGGGGAATTATGTGAGGGGCTGTTTCTTGGCCAGGCACAGTGACTTGCAAGACAAGTCCAAGACCAGGAATCCAAATCAAGACAGAGTCCAAATGAGAGAGACAGAAAAAAAAGAATGCTTTTGTCATTGAAAATGAGATGAGTTTTGGCAGCCAGGCACACAATTTTAAGTGACATTGATTGGCCGCCTGGCGTCCATGGTTAATGCCTAGTGGCCAAGATCGAGACAATAGAAAAAACTTCAGAGCGAGACCGGACTCGAGTACCACAGCGCTGCTTCCTGGAGTCATTATTGCCTTTTAAAACGACAAACTGATTGAACTGTTTTTACACTTTGGTTTGTAGAGGTTAAACAAACATGTTATTAAAGGAGCTTTAGAGTTTGTTACCTTTGGACAGACCCAGGCTAGTTGTTTGTCTTTGTGCTAAGCTAAGCTAACTGGCTGCCAGCTTCAGCTTCATATTTAACAAGTAGGTGTATTTCCCAAAATTTCAGAACTATTCCTCTCAATTACATCCTTTCAGTTGATGAATGTTTCCAGTCCTCACCCTGAGGTATTCCAGCGGGTCATCAGACAAAGACTTCCTCAGGCCCACCCAGTGTGCTGGTTCCACAGGTTCCTTATACAGCAGAGATTCCCTCATCTCTTTCACTTGGTCCTCTGTGTACTCACTTGGCTGTGGACAGAAAATATGTGTTGTTGACCATGAAATAGAATAATCTGGATGGAGTCAGGTCTGTGATGTATGTTTGTGCATACATTGTGCGTGTATGTGTTTTGCAATAAATATTGTTTTAGACAGAACTTGAAACATCTTGAAACAAGTTCTTGAGGTTGATGTTAAACAGTATGTAGTGAATACAACTAGGTTCAAAAACCTGGTTTTACTCACCATGTACACAGTGCAATTCTTGGAGTACGATACAGGGTCTATAGACTTCAGCTGGTACAACATTTTGCATACAATAATGACACACGTCCACACAGTGCAAACACTGGAGGCCAGGGGCCGATACTGGCTGTAGGGCAGTGCAAAGGCCCAGGATGCCAGGAACACATAGTTGAACAAAGACACCTGCAGAAGAGACAATACAGGCGATGAGGACAAAAAACAGCACATAAAACCTTTTTCCACTGACACCCTCCTTTTCCTCATCTTTTGTCCTTCTACAACTAAAAGCATCACTGTTGTTTTCTGTATTAATGTTTACACAGCACTGAAAATATGAGGTGATGAAAGTAAAGGAGGCAAAAACCATAAATAAAAGATCATTACATCACATAAAGTTAAGTCTATAAAAGTGAGTTTTAATAAGAATCTAGACGGACTAAGCCTGAGGAGCTTATCCAATCTAAACCCATCAGTTTTCTGCAAACTCAGAGAACCCTGTTCTGAATAAACTATTTTTTTTCTTACAGAAACTGTAACAGCTATTACAGTTTGCCCAAATACCTCCAGCTTATTATCTGGCTACTCTGTGGTGTAGTAGATAGTCCTGGTTCATTTCAAATTGGTTCAAATTGGCTCAGTGTTGCAAGATCAACTTATTTTAAACAGCGTCTGAGCATTAAAATAAACGAAGAAAGTCTTGAGCAATGCCCAGGGTAATTGTGATTATTAATATAACTTCACCTCTTAGAGGAAGATTATGTACAATAACAAATAAATGGCATCAGGATATTGCTAGATAGTCTGGCCACAACCAGAGATGGGAGGGTTACTTTCTGTTACTTCTAGATTACCTCAATACCAAATAATATGCAAATAAAGACAAGGAAAAGAAATATTAATAACATGACTTTTGCTAATTTTATAAGACAACAGAACAACGTAACCTTAGAAAATAAAACCAAGATTTTTGGCATAAAAAATGTGTCCTCTGCTCAGTGTGTTTCTTTCACTAGAGGTCACGATAATTAATAGGCAATTGTAAGATTAGCTGTGGTTTCACTCGTGAAGTGTTGTGTTGAAATGTGTGTGCAATATCTGAATCGTTTTTTATTTTAAAGCTTAATCTTATTACATCTTTTTCTCTCTAACTGTGATGATTTACAGTTACCTTTTTTTTTACGTAACTCCATCACATGTAATCCGTTACTGCCTGAGCCTGACCACAACCTACTACAAACGTTGAACACCACGTCTGGTTTACATTGTGGCAGTGTATGTAGCACATGGCATGACAATATGAAAAACACTCAAGAGCTTGATTTCTTGGATAAAATCCACTATGCAGAGTCAGAGTTTCTGGCACAACTTCCCCTTCTTGGAAAAGGAAACACTCACTTAAAAGGGTCAAGCTCCAGCAACTCTTTTAGTTTAAGGCCAATTTTATTCTCAGACCAAAAGTCGACTGTGAAGATCATAGAATCGTAAAAAAAAAAAAACCTTTTATTTACTGTTTAAACATAACTCACTACATCTAGCATGTGCCAAGTTAAAAGTGACATACAGACAATTAACTACTACTAATATGCAAAGTAAAACTGTCATACAGTAAGGATATTCATCTGTTTGAGGATAAATGGTAAACTTGGTCCTCCAAACTGGACTTAACAATGACATTAAACTCTTGAAAGCGTATTTCTATTAGAAATCTAAGAGAAAAGAGCATTATGCATTTGAATAGCCCCTGCCTTGTTACACAATTCATAGTTAAGATTTCCTTCATGATTTGAATGCAACAACTCGAGAGAAAATGAACTGCAGGAACATCTGGAAGTCTTAAAACGTTACCACCTCAGTAAGCGGACATGACTACCTGTTGTTGGAGATACTCGGTTTAGTCTCTAACTGTCTCTAACTGTACCTCTGCCTTTCATACCTCTTTGAGAGAGACCAGAACAATGTAGCAGGACACGATCTTGATGATGTGGATCTCCAGCAGCCACCAGATGAACAGCTGCAGTTTGTGGAAATACTCCAGGAACTTGAGGAAGAGCACAGTCAGACGGTCGACCACCAGGTGCCATTTATTCTTCAGATCTGAGGAAGAAGAGATAAAAACCAGATACACTTAAATGGAAAAAAAACAAGACTGAAGAGGTGCAAATGGAAAGTGTTTCCTGGTTTCACCTCTTAATTACAGCTGAGTGTCCTCTGTTTAAACACTATTATCCCTCTTAAAGCGCTTTCATTATGTGTCTTGGAACAGACTGATAATTCGATTCTCTCTTTACACTTCAGGAATAAGTCTGATGGTACAACCAATCACCTGAAAATACCAAATCATAGTGTTTTCTGTGTATCCAGAGCCTGATATAACCTAATGATTATTCATTACTATAACAGCCACAGTCATTTGCTCTTAATCAATCCCATACTGTACAATACACTGTCCAGCTGCCATAAATGTATATTAATACCCCAACATATGAACTATTTAGTCCTGTTTTTTCCATCCTTATTCATTAAATAGTCTCCTGGATGATTAGATTGTATTTCAACAGGTACTTTTGAATAAAAAATAATCACTAAAGGTCTTAACAAGCTACATTTAGAGGTTGCCAGACACACATTTAATCAGAGTAACAACAAAAGGGAAACACATTACATCTGAAATAACAATCGATTAGAGTATCAAGAGAAAATTGTCATTTTTAAACTCAAAGTCTCAAAAAATCAGTAATTCCATTTTCTCACATGTGATTTTTTTTGTCTTCTATTGTAGTAAACTTAATACCGTTGGGTTTTATAGTATTGGTTGAATAAAAAGAGACCTTTAAAAATGTCACCATGAGCTTCAGGAATCATCATTTGAAAACATTTTACGGGCCAAACAATTAATGTCTTGAATAAGAAATAATCTGGAGCTTATCTGATGATGGAAAAGATCATAAGCTGCAGCCCTACAAATCATCTCATAGGAGGCATTATTAAAGTACATTAAAAAATTAAACCAGCAAACATACAACATGCAAATAGGGAAGAAATCAGGTATTTACTGACGATGTTAAAGGATTCAAACGGATGTGGATATGAGTGACAAGTGGCATTTTAGTGAGGGAAAGAGACATTTCAAGGTGTATACCATTATAATCCCATGTGTAATAAGGGTCAGCATAACTTAAACATGTGTTTAAACATGTATTCTGAAACTGTAAAATGTTTATGTAATTTTTTGCCCCCATATGCAATATGTCAAGTTGTATGGAAACACGCCTGAAATACGCATTAGCGCACAAATTCTAAACAGTCGCCTTAATTATCTGAGAATGAAGACTTAATATTTGGTTTTATATTCTCACAAAGGATATAAAAGCTCCAGCCACAGTTTGGTGGTGGGTGTATGTTCTTACAAAAGCCATATTATCTGAGGTTTTAATAGAGGCCTCATTGTTTGGATAAGAAACTCTGAGAGAGCATATAGCTCGTATACCTTGCAGCTCATTATAAACTGAGAGGCCCTGCAGGGTTGTGTTTTATCACCTATTTTATTTTCTGTGTATATAAACAACATTTTAATTTAAGACCAGTGTGAGTGTCTGTGTAAATATGCTAATGGTGCAGTGTTAGTTGGCCATAGCAGGACGATGTAATGGGTGAAAGTGAGCACTTGAGCTACACGCTGTGTCAGACCAGAAAAACTGCAGGTAAATCTCACTGAACCCAGAAATCTGCAATACAACAGATTTTTACAGCTTTGCTTGGGGTGATTAATGAGTGTCTGGTGAGAGTGCAGGCAGCAGATACTTGGGGAAGCAGATTGGGCTTCTCTAAGAGAGCTTTGGCCTTTAAAGATTGTATGCTTCATACGTCTTTGGAGCAGACTGGAGAGCTACAGGCTGAGAGAGATCTGACAGAAAACACGGTCTCTACACTCATGACTGAAAGTGCTCTATTGCTACATAACAGCACAGGAGTCTCAGCTGTAAACACAGTAAGAAGGGTAAACATGGCCAGCAGTGATGGAAGCTTGAATACACTTTGGGAGACAAACTAAGCATCACACACAAAAGCTCACATGAGACGCTGTTTAAATACAACGGCCTCTAGATGAGCAGCTCAGCGATGACTTTGTTTTTATGTTTATCTCAGACATGATATATGTACATGCCAAGTAAACCATCAGGGGAAAGAGTAATGCATATTTTTTTTAAGTAGGCCACAACTTGACAATAGCATATTATTCAAACAGTGTACAGGGCGCTTTTCTGAACCACGCTGGAGGATATTGTTTGTTTTTTTTACCCAGCATGCTCAGTCACCATGGTCAAAACAAGGACAGCAAAACTAAAAGTAAAACAAAAAAATACCAATTCAAAAACACAAACATAACTGTTGTTCTTGTTATTGCAGACGTGCTGCATCTGCCATCTGCTTGTTCGTCTGTGACTGAGGAAGTGCTGGGCACGACTCTACATCAGAACTAGGGAGTTGAGTTTCTTATGTAGTTGAACACTGTAGATTTAAATCCCACTATGTGCTTTAAATAAAAAGCTTTACATCGTTACCATCAGAATCAAACTGATTTCTTGAATTGTACATCTGTAACACGGAGGCAGATGTTAACAGACGGTCCAACTGGTTGACAGAACAGTAGTTACTGAGGCGTATCACTGACGAAAGTGAAACTGGGATACTGACAGCTCTGGAAACCCCGTTAGAAAATATCTGCTTGTGGGAACGTCACGTCTGTATTTTGTGTTTTGATGCCAGTTCTCTGTATCTTACCAGTGAGTCTCAGCTTCTCCACACTGTTTTTTAATGCTTAAATTACACCAGATCTCCGTGAGCGTGAGAAGGAGGAACTACTATAGTACTAATATTAGATTGATCATCTGAGTCAAGCAGAAATGTCAAACTGGTTCCTCAGTATCTTCCCAAATATGGGATTTAAATATCATAAAGTGAATATCTTTGTGCCATGTGACAATAAAAATAATAGTTAGATGAGGTTCTGATTAACTGTATGTTGTGGACCCGCTCAGTACCTGAGCTCTGCTCGGTGCTCGGCTCTGGCTCCATCCCCACACTGCAGTGGTGGCTCTCCTCTGTGCTGGACTGCCTCGGGTCGGAAAAGCTCCTGGGCTTCTCGCCAGTCATGTCAGTGTCATACATCACCACCACAAGGGCCTGCTCCTTCTCCTTCTCCTCTGTCTGCCACTCTCCCTGCTCCTCCTGCTTCCCCTGCTCCTGCTGCACCTCCTGCTTCTCCTGCGGCTCCTGCTCCTCTCTGGGCAGCACCCCCTCCACCGAGCTGGCGCTGAGCATGGTGAGGTCTGCCAGGCTGCCATCTTGGTGCACCAGTCTGAAGACATGTGAGAAGTTATTACACACAAAGACACAGGCATGCAGACTCACACATACATCTGTATTTCCATACTTATGAGGACCATCAATTACTTTTTAAATGTTTTTTTTTAGGGGCATTTTAGTCTTTTTGACTAAAATCTCACCACAAATATCCATTTAGTGTTCTGGAGCCTTTTATCATATTAAACCATCTTCCTCAGCACAGCTACCTCAGTTGTCATGGAATCGTAGATGTTCAAATTTCCATTTTCCCAAGGATATTAAAGACTTCTCGTCCATGTTGGCTTTAAGGAGAGGAATGAATTTCATTCTCAGCCAAAAAGTAACACATTTGGATTCCACATCAGCCATTAAAGACAGAATTTATAGCAACAGAGTTTGTTTTAACGCCATCATTTTTGCTAAGTAATGGCAGCAAACCTGTTTTAATATACTGTTAGTCACAGCAAAATCATTTTCCAGGACTTTTCCAGGAGTCTTTCTTGACAACAGAAGACAGCACTTGCTCACAGACGGTTATATAATTTACCGGCTGCGGTAGACCTAGTGTTGACACATTTAACTCCAGTTTCATTCCTTTTTTAATGATACAGGACTCATGATGAAATGTCTCAGGTTCATTACAGGTAGGTGGTTAGTTTGTATTGGATGTTTGTTTGTTTTTTTACCCCCCATGTACCAAGACCTACCCTCTCTCACCATCACTCTTTGGCTCTAACTATCAATTAAAGGCAATAAAAGCCCCCAAAAAATATTAAAAGAAACAAAACAAATTCTTAAATTGACCCTGCTAGGATTTTTAAAGAATTTCAATTAAGTTTGAATCCTTTATTAGAGACCGTGGAAAGTTGATATCCAACAAAAGATGTGGTTCAAGGCATTATGTCCTCATAAGTATATAAATACAACACAAACTCATACACATGGTCCAGGTGATTCTCCAAAGGCTCCGATGCAAATGTTTGGATGGGAATCATCAACTCGGCGTCCGCAAACTGGACGGCAGTGCAGCGTTTCATCAGGCATTGTAATTGATAAGCAGTGCACATTCCTTCTGCATTCTTTAAAACAATCTGTGTTGTTGTTGTTTTTTGGTGTAGATAAATGGTAGCATCTGAAGGAAGGCATTAACCCTTTTTAATTCTTCTCAGGCAAAAATGGGGGACGAGGTCAAAGGTCAGGTTTGGCTTGCATGAACTGGCCGCATATCAAGGCAAGCATTTCATTATCCAGTTATACTTACTTGCTCTGTTGAGTGGAAATTTTTTGCTTGATGCTGCTCAGAACAACGAAGTTACACAGAGGTGAAGATGAACAGTGAGGAGAGAAACCGACAAAGACAGGCTGAAATTTCTACATAGTTTTACTAAAATACATGGGAAAAGGTCCAAAGGGCTCCTGTGGTTTGGGGTAGGCGAGCTTTTACAGGAAGGGGGTAATTTTCTGACGTTCAGTGCAGAAAAGGAGGTGTGGATCATAGGCAAGATACTGGAAAGGGAAGAACAGTTCTTTCAGATTCAAACATGCTTGTTTGACAGTTTGTGAAACCACTGGAGATAAGTAGAAGGGTTTTATTGGTGGGAAAGAGCCGGGTTGGGTTTGGAGGGGAGGTAAAGATCCAGAAAGATAACAGAGAACCCAAATAGAGAAGGCTACAGGCAAAATAATAAAATACAAAACCTGAAAACAAACACCATTCATGTCAGTAAAATACTTAAACTCGAGGAGTAAGATTTTTCAGAAGATCATCAATGTATCATCATTGGCAAAAACAGAGCAACAGGAACAAGTCAGTGTGGGGGGGGGAGGACGTATTGTAACAGGGAGAGGAAGTTGAGACTCAGAGGTGAAACGGGATGGTGGTGGATGCCACAGAAACCAAGCAGATACCCACCTATTCATGATCAGATAGACACGCCCATTGACTTTAGCGTGGCTGTGTGAAAAAGGGTGGCAGAGGAGAGATGGCAGCAGGTCACACAGAGAGAAGCAGAGCAGAAGCGAGCGGCGGCGAAACAATGGAGAAAAAAACACGACAATAAAGACACCACAGCACAGACTGTGAAAATGACACAGTGACAGATGGGTGATGAGAACAGTGGTTATAATGGGCGTTTAACAGAGTGTGTAAGTGTGACATGAAAAGGGATGAATGTTTTCACCTCACGCTCAACTAAGGTCATCGGGTTCAACATGTATCTATTGTCTTATAGTTGAATTCAGTGTTATTGTTCATCTACTTTTCAGTGGAATTGTGCTGATGAAGCACCAATTTGTGCCTCTCTTGTGTTATTACATTTGAATCACAGGGGGAAGCAGGTGAAAGTCGCTGTTATTATTTATTGCGGAGAAATAAGAATTTAAAAATTAGAAAAATTTTTTTTTGAAAAAAAAAGGTTTTTAAAAAAAAAAATTAATTTAATTAAAAAAAAAAAAAAAAAAAAAAAAAAAAAAAAAAAAAAAAAAAAAAAAAAAAAAAAAAATTTTTTTTTAAAATAAAAAAAAAAAAAAAAAAAAAAAAAAAAAAAAAAAAAAAAAAAAAAAAAAAAAAAAAAAAAAAAAAAAAAAAAAAAAAAAAAAAAAAAAAAAAAAAAAAAAAAAAAAAAAAAAAAAAAAAAAAAAAAAAAAAAAAAAAAAAAAAATGCTCCTGCTAAAGGTGTGTTTTTGTAGTATTTCTAAGAGTGATTATAAAGGGAAAAGACACAGAATATCCATGTTTCTTTATGAGCTTCTTGCATTATAAACATAACCAATGGATAACTGTAGTCTGGACTGTTCAGCCTTATGTTAGAATATTATTACTTCCTCAACGTGACGTGTTTTATTTTGAAACAGGATGTTTGGGTGTGACATTACAGTCGACATTGAGAGATTAAACCACAGTCGAACCAATGGTCCACTATTTACAGAGAGAAGAGGAGGAAAGAAATTTGATAAGAATGACAGGACTGTTAAAAATTCAATGAGTTTATTGACTGGACTTTTTAGATACACCCACCTGTGCAGCACAAGGTCGCCACTGAAGGTGGCACTGTGCACATTTCTCAGGATTTTTAACACCAAAGCGACTGGAATTTGTTCTGACAGGTTGTCTATGAACAACCTCCCTGTGGGGCATCTTACTTTTGTTCAATATACGCAGCTTGATTGAAAATCGGCTGTACAAACTTAAACCAAATACAAAAAAATATAAAAGTCAACTTCTCGACGGTGTCAAAACGTGTCTCACCTGTAGATAGTGCTCTCTTCTTTGGCCACTACAGCCTGGAGGTCGGTGAGGTCAAGGAAGCGGCCGTGAAAGTAGTGCAGGTGGAGAATACACACCAGCAGGAAGGAAGTGGGAATAAAAATCCTGGTGAATAGCTGGGGGACATCAAACCTCTTTAGGCCCAGGTCCTCTAAGCTGCATAGATGGAAAAAATGAGAGGAAACAGGAAAAACATGAGACTTTTTTGAGGTAGAAAAGGAAAATATCAGTATGTCTATAGTGTAGGTGTACAGAGAAGGAACTTGTTCTTCAGATTTAGCTCAACTAATCCAGCCTAAACATGCCGTTATCAGGCTGAAATGATGCTGTTAAATCCCATCCAGCTAATTTGATTCTCTGAACACAGTTTTGATGGTTGATTTCTAAATGCTGGATGAAGTTATCTTGAATACGTGTGCTCTTATTTTGAAATAAAGCTGGCATCCAAAGAGAGAAGAAAGTAAAGAGTGTAAGGTTGTCAATTTAAATGTACATTTAGTTTATAAACATATGATCCGAATGACAAATAATTTATTGCATTAATCCATGTATATCTTTCTGTACTTATATTGAACTTAATTATCTGCACTTACATTTTAGGGTTCAAATAACAAATCCCCATCTTAATATCATCATGATCATGAATGTCATGTTTCCTGGTTCCTTTGATTCTTTAGCTTTAGTTTAGGTCCTTTGTTTTTGTATATTATCCTACATATGTACTATACTGAACTTTTTAACTGACTTTATTACCATACCTTTAAAAACACGAGTTGTGTGTCTTAAAACGAGATACAAATGACTCCTTAAAAGGAAGCTTTTTCTTGCCACTGCTGGCAAGTGCTTGCTTATGGTTGGAACTGTTGGGTCACTTTATAAGGAGTACGGTCTAGACCTGCTCTATTTGAAAAGTGTCCTGAGATAACTTCTGTTATGATTTGGCATTTTATACAAATAAAACTGAATTAAACTGAATTTCTTTATAGGTATAAATATATATGTAAGTGTTCATGACCTTCTAACAAATGACAAATCCAGACCAAAGTGAAATCAACAAAAATCAAATCAAGCTAAGTCCAGGCACACAGATCAGGGCCTACAAGTTAGATATAAAAATAGATCATGTTTGATGACTAAGCTGTGGCAAAGTCCAGCCTGTAGCCAGTAGCCGGGAAATGAGACCAGCAGTGAGTCAGAACCTGCTTCTCCGACACGCCCAGCGGAGCTCACCCCTTTTCTTCCATCCCCGTCATGTTGGACCAGGAATTCCTAGTGCTTTCAAACTGATAGGTGTAGACCAGGACGAGGACCAGCATGGTGTAAACCACCACCGACATCCAGAAGTACTTGAGGATCCTTCGCCACCACTCAAAGTGCACCTAGACGAGAATAATTGTGATCATTGTGTCGACAGGGGGTTATGAATTCTCTGACATTAACAGCTGTAATGCATTAAATTAAACATGGTGCACAGAGGACATCTGGATTTAGGGTGACGGCTCTGTTTTATTGTGGAAGGGGGTTATAAAACAGTTGAGAATACACTGTGGGTTATAAGCCTGTACATGAACTTTATGACATACTAAAATCGTCAGCACCTTCTGTCTTTGGGAAATTGAATTTGGAAACTTTACAGCCTCTAACCCATATGAGTATAAGTTTTGAATACACACATAGAGTAGCACTTAGTAAACAGCATAATTAGTTTGGATTCAAGGGGCTTTATAAGCAAGCAAGAGGTCATCAAACTTTTTTGGACTGAAGATTTAAACAAATTAAAGAGAAATTTTATTTAATTTGGTCAAGATCCAAAATATTCAATGGATATTAAATATGTCTAAATTTCAAATAAATGTGTTCTGTATATTTGGAAATGCGTACAGATTTGACACATCAGAGCAGACATAAAAAGTTAAAAGTATTCAGGATTTCATTTAAGATCTTGTGTGTCTTCAATTGTACGCTTTGAATAATAAGATACAGAATATATTTTAAGAATATTATAAAACGCCTAACATTGAGAATTTGTGGCGAAAACATTAACACAACACAGCAATTAACCACAAGTAAGAAACAATGTACAAGGCACACAATCACCAGTGCGTCGTGGTACCTGATAGAGCGCCACACAGGAGAGGAACATCATCATGTAGATGATCTTGTACATGACCATGGTTCCCTCAAAGCTGACGATGAAGAACATCCCACCGCAGATGTAGATCCAGTATTTAACCAGCACAGCCATGACCATGTTGCCCAGAACTTGCATGGTGTCCTGCTCCCCTCCCTCCTCAGAGTCCTCTTCCTCTATAAAATATAGCAGTGAATCAGAAAACTGCACTAACAGATTAAGAACTAAAACACATGAGCACACATAAACAACATATAAGCACATAATTAAAAAAAACCTGTGCAGGAGCAAAGCAAGATAAACAGTAACATAACATTAACCTACCCTATTTACAAGCAGTATATAAACATTTAATAGATAATAATTCATTATCTGTTTATCTGTTTGAGGAACAAATAGAAGGTGAGAATGCTTTGGTACTTAAAGTATGAATGAATAAGAAGAGAAAAGGAACCTGCAGAACAGCCTCAGCTTTCTTCTCTCATTGTAAAAATAAACTAAAGAGTATAATGTGTGAAGTGTAAACACACTCAGATGGTCAGCTTTGTATGGCTTGGGTATTTAGAGCACATTCACTAACGATCTTCTAGAGTCGTGTCTATGTGTTATGTGTATCTTATGTGCATCTGTTCACATTTTCACATGATCACTGACATGTGTTATTTATGTTTTATTGCTTATTGCTGCTCTGCATGTGTCAGAAACGGTTATAATCAGAACTTCTTGGCTGTGTGTTGTAGCTTTGTGTTGCTTTCACTGCTGTGTGTACAGAATAGTGGATATTGTTGCTGCGTTACTGAACTAATGTTTTGCTGTTTCCTGTTGCTGTGCATGGCCTGTCTGTATTTTAACTGTCACCTCATTGGTTTCAAACCATCTCGCCAAAGGACTGCAGTTGGAAGAAAAAAAACACTGGCGCATTTACAGAAATGTTGATTATGTGTGTTGCCCTTGCGTGTAATTCAATGAAATGAAAAGAAATAAAGCTGAAGGCAAGAAACGTCCGTCTTTTCTACCGGCAACCAACAAAAACACCAGCCTAGAATTCATACATGCTCTGGTTAATGGTGGCGCTAGCAGCAAGTAATCTATATTATACAGTATTCCTACAATAATATAAAGAAAATCAGAGTCCAGGTCTTACCCTTCTTCTTCTGATCCTCCACATGAACTTCTGAGAGACCAGCACTGTCCTCCTTTTGTTTTTCCCATCTCTCTGTGAGCGTCTGTCTCAGCAGCAGCCAGAAGCTCAGCAGACACAGGACCTTCACACAATAAATAAAATGCTTAGACACAGATGACCAGCAACAAAAGGGGAAGATGAAGTAATAAATCATTTGCATTTACTGTAACTTGCTGAGATATATACGTATAACCCGTATAATTTCGAAACTTAAATTGGAATGTCTAAACTCTGCAGTCATCTGGCACTTAAAAGAAACTTTAAAAACACAGTTTGACTAATCTCCGTTCTCCGAAGGGACGAACATATGCACTGTTTAATAAAACAGTAGCACGGTTGATAAAGAATACATTAAGTTCTGCATGTCTGCAGTGGCCTACTGATGTATAAAATCTCTTTCTAGACACAATTAGGTCAGGCTCGGAACCTGCCAACATGAAAGTCTTTAAGCTATTCCAAAACATGTCAAAACACTGCAAACCTGACCTTCTCCTCCATCGTATGACTGCCCTCTCTCATTTAAGTAACTGACTATTAGAGAGACATAGTTTGACAGTGTTTAGTTTCAGAGCACATCTGTTGCATTAGAAATACATGAACATATTAAATAGTTTTCACATCACAGATTGTAACTCAATCTAAAGGTCAGTTTTAACGATTGACTCGATTTGTAGGGACAGAAAATAAGTGGTTTAATTTTAATTCCCAAACCTTGGATGAAAGTGAGTGGAAAGGGTTGTTCTTCTTGACAAAGAACCCGGGGACGGGTGAAATGTTCTCAAAAGTCCAAATGTACTGCAGCACTATCAGCAGGTTGCCGTAGGCCACCATGAAGGGAGAAGACAGCATGGCGTACCGCCTCCGGTCCCTCACCATCCACAGCATGCACGACCAGATGAGGAAGACAAATGTCAGCCAGCTGACGTATGTGATGCTCCACGCCTGAAGACGACAGATCACAGGGAATTAAGTAAAGTTTTATACAATTGTTTGGGTTTCTTGCCTGTACCAACACGTTTTAAATGCACAGTAAATATCTGTAAAGAATATGTTGTGTAAAGAGTTTCATGGATTTAGACAGTCCTATTGTTTTTATTTTTTCTATTTTGGTATCTATATTTACTGTTTTCTACAACTATAGCTCCCATCATGCTTTGGGTGAAACTGGTATTTAGTGTTGCTATTCAGTCAGAAAGTCTGCTGTTTACACTGCAATCATGGACTTATAAACAACTATCACCAGAATTACTTTTGATACAGAAAGCAAATTCTAAATTTGATCATTTGATTATTTTGAGATGAATTTGAGGAGCAACTACATTAAATAAAGAAACCCTTTCAATGAAATTCTTCTGAAAATCAGCTGCTTATAAGCACAACTAACTAAACTAATATAACTGTCTAAGAACTTTGCCTCAGTTTTCCCTACAATCACAACCACATCTATCAATTCATTCCAGGAAGCTTCAAAGGGAAATTATAAGGAAATTACAGTTAAATAAAGCGTGACATTCCTCAAAATTAAGGTCTAAATGTTGAAATCCTCTCCAGGCTGCAGAGAATAAAGTTTAGCTATAGAAATACTGGAAACTGATGGGAAAATAATCAGTCTTAAAATACTGGAATCTGCCTAAACATGTTTAAGTCTTTGATTATACAGTAATAGTTGCTTAAACTCTGACCCTTCCAGAAAAGTAACACAAACACGACCTCATTCTCACTAATGTTAACTTTTTAAAGCTCTTTTCTTACTTTTTACTACTTGTTTTGATTCCTGCAGTATGTGTACGACGTCTCTGTGTGCTGGAAGTGTATTTGAGGTGGAATTTGGGTGAAAGTATTAATTTGGTCTTCTTCCATATTTGTCTTTTGTAGCTATGTAAAGATGTAAACACTGTTATTTACTTTTATTATATACATTCATTTCATATAACACACACACACATGTTCACTAAGAGAAACATCAATACTGTCAAATGTCACTGTCAATATCCCATCTAATAAATTATAGTGTTTGTGTTCGGTCAAGCTACATAAAAGTTACTCAAATTTATTTAACTATGATTCATCCAGGAATGTTTAAATTGAGAACAGATGCTTTTTTTCCCCTTTTTTTTTTAAATCCTGCCACACAATCAGCCATAAAAGCTGCCCAGTAAAACCACAGTTTCCTCCTGTTGGTCAGCCAGCAGTTCCACTGGAGCAGAGAGGGATTCAGTGCCTTGCTCATGGGTATCGTATCGTAATCGATGCTGATCAAGGAGGCAGGAGTATTTGGCATCTACTAACCACACCAGCGTGTTTCCAGCAGGTCTGCGGGTTTAAACCTGTTACTTTCTGGTTATAATGCTGCGTTCATGTCATGTCATTGAACCACAGGCTGGAAAACAAAAGTCACATCTTCAGTGCAAAACGTTTTAAGAAGTGGGATGTGTTCTTTGGTCAATTCCATTCACACTAACAGAGCCAACTCTACTTAAAGAGAGTCAATTTTTATTGTCATTAAATTCACAAATCAAAGTGATTCTGGATGTTTTTCCTTTCTAACATCCAAATACATGACACATGATACAGCTAAAGCCAGCTTCTGTAACTCTGTAACACCATCTGTGGGAAGTATTGCTCACCATCATCGCTATGAGAGCACAGATGTAGCTCTGTTTCATGATGAAGTGGAAGATTTTAACCATCGCGCTGACTCCTCTTTTCTTTAACCCATCCTCTCCGTCCTCAGACTTCACCGCTCCTCCTTCCACCACCGAGTCCTCCGGGGGCAAACACACCTCATACACACACTCATCTTTCTTCTCTGGTTGAACACAGAAACACAACTCACTGTTACTAACAGTTATGGTACTTTGTGGCATTATTTAGGCAAGTAAAGCACAACTAGTCCATCTAGCAGCAGAGGCAAAACATTTTAAGTCTCCAAGCCCCAAATAAAATTACTCAAGTGAGTTATTTTCTCTCATAAAGTTCCCTTAGACATTAGGCAGCTGTATTCACAGGCTGTCAAATACCCCCCATGACTAGTAAATTGTCCATGACATGTAAAATCAGTGAAGTGCCCCTTTAAGACAATTCTGTAAAAGTAAAAAGTAAAAGTACAAAAACAATCAAAAAAGAGGTATTGTCTCATTGTGTCTATAGCAAACAAATTCAATGATTTGAAAATACAATGTCAAAATACAATAAAAATATTTATTTCAACATACAAAGAACCACATAACCCTTTGACGTAAGCTTAAACATTAAAATAACAATAATATTAAAAGGTTTCCATATGGCAGCAGTGCTAATTTGGGATGTAACCAGAGGCAAGGACTTCTCTCCGATACCTACATTTAGGACACGAAAGCAGCATAAGCCTGCTCTTCTAACTTAAAGTTACACCATCTGTAACCTGTGATTTTATTATTGTAAACAGTTTATTATTTTAAAGTCAGAGAGAGGAGGGTAGAGGGTTAACAGCTCACCTGTACCATCACTGGGCTGGTCCATTTTATACTGGGGGGTGGAGTACAAGTCCAGACAGACCGGTCCATTCTCAGTTGTGACAAAATCAAAGGACGTCCCGTTTGAAGTGGGTACCACCTGTAGATCGTCATCATAAATTACAAACACATTTCTGTAACTGAGGAACAGATTTGTTATGAGATCACACAACTGTAAAGCCTTCTGCCTCACAAACACAAACAGGAGTAACTGCTTTTATGTGATCGAATGATCTACTGGTTGGATATGGTACTTTTCCACCAGAAAAAGGAGATTACAGATGTGGCATTTCGTTAGTTTCAGTTAGTTTGTTGGTTAGTTACTACACTCTGGCTTTGTGGGGCAGTACAGGGAGATTGTTGTACTTTTCACACTGCACGTCCTTTAATTTAACTCGGCACAACCCGCCTTATAACCCAGAGCCAAAACGCATTTCAAAAGGTACTTTGATATTTACTCTACCATTTTGTGATAAAGGAAATATCTGAATACAAGCTACAGACTCATTTTTTTACCATTTTGATTCATAAAATTGTGACTTTTTACTGTCTTTAAATGACTATTTAATCCAAATCCACAGTAAAATAAAATCCTATATCATACACTGATCAACCATAACATTATGCCCTCCTGGGTACCCTGGTGGTCATAATCTTATGCAGCCATATACACAACAAACTGTTCTGACACCTTTCTATCAGGACCAGCACTTTTTCAGCAGTTTGAGCTACAGTAGCTCGTCTGTTGGATCGGACCACACAGGACCAGCATTCACTCCCCATGTGCATCAGTGAGCCTTGGCTGCACATAACCCTGTCTCTGGATCACTGCTTTTCCTTCTTTGGACCACTTTTGATACAGTCAATGGTACTGACCACTGCAGACCGGGAACACCCCACAAGAGCTGCAGTGTTGGAGATCTCTGACCCAGTCGTCTAACCACCACAATTTGGCCCTTTGTTAAAGTCGCTCAAATCCTCACGCTGCCCATTTTTCCTGCTTCTAACACATCAACTTTGAGGACAAAATGTTCACTTGCTGCCTGATATATCCCACCCACTGACAGGAGCCATGATAACCAGATAATCAGTGTTACTCGCTTCACCTGTCAGTGCTCATAATGTTATGGCTGTATCAGTATTCACTAGATATGCTTCCTTCAGCTTTAAGAGCATTTCCCGCAATGAAGCACAAACTCAGAAGCACTTGAGCACAGCGGCTGTATGATAACAGCTGTGCAGGTGTAGTGCTGTATATACAGAATATATTTAGGGCTGACAGGTGAGAAAAAGAGTTAAACTTGAACTTTCAAACACTGGTTAAAGACAACTCTGTTCAATGAGGGTGCAGTGTGAAAAGCACTTTGCAGTGATTCCTTTTCTTGCAGCAAGACTGATAATACACAGATTTAATCCAGAGCAACTCCCACCTCAGTTGTACTGATGCCATCCTGGGTGGAGAGGAGCTAGGAGGAGAAAAGAGCATACAAGGCACGGCGTGTTATCGATGAGCTGCTGAAGTCAAAGGCCTCCTTGTTCTTTATAGTCGCTGATAAGCAGGAACAAAGTCAAGCAGCACTACTCTGTAAATCGAGCCCATCACTCATCTGTGTCTGCACACCCTAAAAGCTTTTAAACCTCAGGAGGTGGCCGGTGGAGACAGACTACGGACCTTGATATAAGAACAAGGTCAGAATGTGTGTGTGTGTGTGTGTGTGTGTGTGTGTGTGTGTGTGTGTGTGTGTGTGTGTGTGTGTGTGTGTGTGTATTTCCAGCTGAAATATTTCCAGGGATGAGTATATTACGAAGGTGAAAGCTCAGGGTAAAACATTAAAGATGTAAACGTGTGAAAACAATCAACAACTACAGCTCGAGTTTACACTCTAACAAAGACACAGTTTCCTGTTTATTTTCACCACTGCTGCACTGAAACACTAAAGGATCCTTTCCCCTTCCGCTTTGTTATTGTTTAAAAGTTAAACTGAATCAAACGGCTTCAGGCCAACAGCAGTTATCAGTTGTGAGAATGCAACAAGGAAATGTGTTATTTGGGTTTTTAGCAGCAAAGCTTGTTGAAAGTTATGCTCAAGAAATATATTATAAACAGATCTTTGTGATATGTTCAAGGCTGTTTGGATTTCTCACATATTTTCCCATATCCTAAACAACACCACGTCTTAAGCGTGTATTCATGTTTTGTTTTTTTTACAATGGGATCCTGTGTACATATTGTGCAATGGTATGCTAACCTAAGGACGATTACTTCATGACCTGTCCAGTAATCAATACATTGTCAGTCATGTGTGTATTAACCCTGACGTACGTTTTTCTCATCTGTGCCTTGGCGCGATTCCCACCACATCTGCCTCTTCCTGTTGGCTGAGTTATTTGTTCTGTTTCCGTCCAGATCTTCCTCCTCGCACATATCGCTGTCCTTGTCGTCCTGGAAAAACAAAGATGGATAGTTTGGAAGATGCGAAACTTCACCACTGGACTTTGAAGTCAGGCCACTATTGTGCGACAGAGATTATTCTCTAAAGAATCACAGTTTAAATCAGGCTCTATTGAACACAGTGTAGGAGTGCAGTTTCTGAGGAGGAGTTGGATGAGATAATTATGTAGCATTACTGTAAATTATCAGCATTTCCTTCCATTGATTTTCTGTATTCACAACAGAGTAATTTGTATTAGTGTCCAGTGCCAAATATCACAAAAACTGCACAAGAACTAATTTACTTGCAGGATTTTCAGCCTTTTGAAAATAAAATTCCACTTGTTTCCTGCAGCGCTGTAAAAAAACAAGACTATCAAAAAATACTAAACAGGTTAAATTGAATAATATTATGGATAAATTACAGATTAATACCTGATTTTCTGCATTAAAAATAAAATTTCCAGAAGAATTTGACTTATTTTAGTGTGCAGTGTGCAACAATGGAAGAATTCCAGTTTTAATTATTGGTCGTTAGCTCAGTTATAGTCGTGTTTCTAGAGTTGGTTTTTAAATATGTTTTTCCTTAGAGATTAAAAAATGTCAATTACTCACTCACCAATAGTTTGTTAATAAAACCAACATGAAGCCCAGACTGCAAATGATTTGCTGTATAGCTTAATTATTACACTTAATACATTATTACACTGATTAAATTATTACACTTAATAAATTATTACACACTATTGTTGGTTTCAGAGTCTCATTCCTTTGGGTACTTTTCCAAAAATTAGATTGATTTATTCTGTTTTCACAGTTTTTTAACTGCAATGGATGAATCAAGCATTAAATTAACTGAGAAATTAACAAAGCATCTGGATTTTCATTTTATTATTATGAGGTCCATCATCATAATTTAGGATCTTCGCCATCAAACAAAACTGTCAGCTGCTGATTTATCTCGTAATCATGTTTTATTATTAGCCTTGTCTCAAGTGTAAGAGTAGGTAAAACCACACACACACACACTTCTCTGTGAAGAGATCAATAATGCATACAGTCCCGCAGGTTTACAGGGAGGTATTGACCCCTCTATAAAAACACTAATCTATAACTCCATTACAGGACAGAGGAGCTGAGCCTGGAGCTCTGAGGAGACGGGTTGAGATCAGGAGCGGGGGTCTTCAAGACATTAAAGTCGACCTCTTCCCACATTGCGTGACATTTTATTGAACTGCAGTGGTTCCACTTGAGTAGTCGGGATTGAATGTGTATCACATGAAGGTGGAGTCTTCAATAATGATTAGATATTACTTGTGACCGTTATTTTTTATCAAAAAAACCTATGACAACTTTTAATGATAGTGTTTTATCATTTGGGTGAACTGACCCTTTAAGTTCTGGTTTAAGTTTTGGTCATTCAGAGTAAAGAAAATTGACTTTTAATTAAAAACCACCTCATTAAGTAAATTAGTTAATCAGCAAATCACACACACACACACACACACACACACACACACACACACACACACACACACACACACACACGATCATTTGTACTCCATAAAACAGATTCAGATTTGTTTTAAGTCTGATTTAAAAGGGAAGAATGTGAACCTTTTCTTTAATGTTTTGGTCCACAGACTTTTATCCAGTAAAATTCATCCTGATGAAGGCTTAAGGGACAAAACATATTTAATAAACTGCCACCACTGATTGACGGTGTGTGGGATTTTATGTTGTTTCATAGTCTGTGTTTGTCTGATGCACAAGATTTTATATTAAAGACTTTTAATTAAAATTATAAATTTCTTTTTTAGGATATTTTAGGTACAGAGTAAGTTTAATTTGTAAACATTAGTATAATAATCACATTTGGACCAGTGTTATCCGAGTTATTAATTACATGTTGTTTTTTTTTACCCCTATAGAGCACTGTAACGCCGCGTTGTCAAAATTAGACCGACAGTGTCTCAGATAACACCTGAGCTACGGCGGACAGATCCAGCCAGCGATCGATCGTCCTGTAATCTTCCATCAATACCGTTTCTCTGATCACGAGGCCACCTGGCTGCCCATTTAATTCAATCTGTTTTCTATTTCAGTTCACTGTCTGGAATTTACTGAGGAGCCGCGTTGGAGGTGTTGTGTGCCGAATTCAACTAAACATCTTTGACACCCACCGACCGCCCGCATCCACCCTGTTTTACATTCACTGCTAAGTCCAGATTTCTCTCAGCAGGAGCTCATTGAAGTTTAACAACACAAATAAAAAGTTAAACCACACACTGTTTGTGAGAGAGAAGCAAAGAAAGGAAGGTTATTTTATCTGAAGGTGATAATCTACAAACATTCACTGCATTTCACTTTTCTGTGTCATTATATATTTTAGCTGTGGTTTAACTTTTAATGTACTCGTTGTTGCACACTTCTTGTCACTTAATTACTTTGCTGCATCTACCAGAATCCCTGTGCACAACGCCCATAAAGCAGCTGTGAACTTGGTGCATTCAGCTAAAAACTGAAGAGAGCAAGAGTGAAAGTTTAAAGGATGTTACTGATTGCTGAAACATTTTCTCTTTCAAGCTCCTGAAAATATATGTCGAACGCTGGCCATTTAGCTTTGGGAACAAAACAAAACATCAACATAAAACATCATAAAACATAAAATATTTCTAAAAATGTACAAATCATCAGAAAGTCATCATTTTAGGCTATATTTTTTATTATTTTTTACCCCTATTTTAAGATGTTTCACCTACATGAAATTATAATTAACCTATTTTGTTGTTTCATCTAATATAACGAACCTGTACGGCCAAATTATCAACATATTTTACAATAAATGTCATATTGCGGTGACATAAAAAGGCTTATTCTCATGTGTTTTCATTGCATGTCTGTCTGCTGTCCTCACCGTCAGCTGGTCGATGGGTTCCTGCAGCCAGAGGCGGATGAGCGTGGCCAGGGTGTAGTAGAGAATCAGCAGCATGATGGGATTGACAAAGTGGTACCACTTACGCTCCGGGTGCACAGTGAGCTTCCATGTGTAGGAGCAGTGGCTCTGAATAATGGGGGAGATGCCAAATACACTGCAGAGACAGACAGACAGGTATTTGAGGACAGGAACAATGTTGTATATACACAGATACAAAGATATTGACCACAAATAGAACTTAAAAGGTTGATAACTTTGATGTCAGCATGTCATTCTGGTCTGAAGGTGTGAATACTAAGCAAGATCATCCAACTTTATATGCGGAAAAGCATTGTTTGCGTAATTTTTCATGCAAAAAGCTCAAATGTTTGATGTTTCCAGGTTCTCAAATGTAATACAATGTGAACATAATTTGCTGCTTTTTTGGTCTTACATAATAGTAAAGTAAATATTTTGGGGGTTTGGACTCTTGGTCGGAAAAAATAAGACATTTTAAGAGGTAGAGAAGGAAATTGTGATGTGATCACAGTTGTATGATGTTTTACAGACCAAATGATTAATAGATGAATTGAGTAAATAACTGGCAGAAGAATAAATCATAAAAATAACTGCTATGTAAACCTTTCTCTGTTTTTCTCCCACAGTTTTACTCTCTATCCTAACCAATGAAGCTGATTTAGACTTTGTACCTTTGTTCCTTTAACTCATCTCTCAACAACGTGAGAGGATGCAAAAGCTCAAATCTTTTGTGAACTGGCCCAAAGTCATTAATCAGTGGATTCGATTGTTTCTCATTGAGATAAGTGTATTGTTGTCTAATCTATTACGCTCAATTCAGCGTAGGAGGCCTTGACTTCTCCATCTTTAAAACAAATTATCGATTCCAGAAACAAAGCCAGGATTGATGAGGTGAAGTAAACGATACAAAAGACTGAAGGAACTGCAGAGCTACGCTGTCTGTGCTGGGCGGTCTATACACTATATACTATCTGTGAGTCCCGACCTGGTGCTAGGATGGTTGAAGGGTTGAGAAACAAAACAATACATTTAATTTTATTAATTTTATTAATTTTATTAATTTTAAAGAACCTTGTGTCTACACTGAGCTCAGAAGCTGTGATGGGGGGGGTCACAAGTAAATATTTCTTCATTCAAAGGCGTCACAAACCAAAACGGTTGGAAACAAGCGTATCTTTCTTTCTATCTTTATCTATTATCAGATCAGGGTTGAGTGAGCAGGCGTCAGCAATAATGCAGGTGTTGTACCACATTGTTGTGGTAAAAGAGGGGGTCAGGCGATCTATAGTCCAACCCTCACCTATAGTCACAAGCTTTGGGTAGTGACCAAAAGACTGAGATCATGGATACAAGTGGCCAAAATTAGTCTACTACTTACTACTACTGGTATTTTATTAAGGCTCAGCCTTAAAAATAGGAGGGAGCTCGGACATCGCTGTCGCAGTAGCTGCCCCTTTGTGTCAAAAGGAGACATCTCATAAGGGAGGTTTTCTGGCCACGTCTAACTGGTACTGGATAACCCAGTTTCTGGCCACGTCTAACTGGTACTGGATAACCCAGAGTAGACCCAGAACGCAATGGAGAGATTATATATCTCATCAGGCTTGGGAATGCCTCAGGATCCCCCAGGAAGAGCTGGAGGACGCTGATGAGGAAAGGGATGTCTGGACTACCTGACTTAGCTTGCTGCCACCACGACAAGCCCCCTGGATATGTGGCTGAAAGTCTAATTCTAAGTGTAAGTGTAATTCTTAGAACCTTGATATATACCATAATGTATTACAATGGTCAAAACTATGCTACACTGGAAATATCCATTGGGAAAGTTAAACAACTAAATAATACATAAAGTAAATGTCTGACTTTCAGCGAGATGTCATTCCTCCTAGACAGAAGACAATCTCCCTCTACGCCCTAACCTTGGAATCTGAAAAATGCACTGAGGCTAAAAATCTTGTTTGTACCACAAAGGATGCCATATGATTCACTCCTTTTCCTCTGAGCAGAATAAAGGTCATCTGCTCAACAGGAACTGCACTGACGTATTCCAGTGACAACCACACAGATTTAGATGCCTCCTGAGTCTTTTTCTTTCTGTGCCATGTGGAGGAGTGAACACCCCCCCCGACCCCATCACACTTCCTGAACGGTTTCTTGTTGCAGCTGGGAAAGGCCCACTGGTCACATGACTAGGGACTTCCATTGTAAGGAGGGGAGGCAGGAAGTGGAGTGGAAGCCAGGCCTGTCAACAGTCTCACTCACCACCCGGCCGACAGCAAGGCCAAGTCACTGTCAACAAGAACAATTAGGGCAGGCACTAAGGTGGCCTATTGTCCAATGGGGGCTGCACGTATTTACGGCCGTAGGAGTTTCCCTCTGACCGCCTGAGAGTGTGCAGAGAGGAAACAGTTCAGATCAGAGGAGGACGGGTTACTTTTATCATCACATTGGGCCTCAGTTTCCACGCAGCAGCAGACAGAAATACCTCAGCGCTGTGGAAAGTCAACATGAACGCAATGTGGAGACGGCGGATGATGAAATAGTTGGCCTGTTCACGTGAAGATCTATCAAAGAAGAATCCGTGCCATCATTAACTTTCCAAATTTAGGACTTCAAATACACAAATAAAAAAGCTTCTTTCCAGAATGAGTGCACTGTTTGACAAAGTTACACCCACTCTCACATATTTACTGCTGGAAACTAAATGAAGAAAGTTTACACAGTATTAGGAAGTAAGTTTTGAAGTTTAGAATCATCTTCGGTGATATTTGGCTTTTTTGGTAATATTTATGTTACCAAGTAGTTTGGATCGACGGTTTCCAACCTTTTGTTGGTCTGAGGAGGTGACGTTCCAGTATTCACAGGCCCAAAGAGGCAAAAACATAACTTTTCCCCAGATTTTAAGGATCTTTAGAGCTCTGAAGAGGTGAAAGTATCCAGAATTTTACTTCAAGGGCCGCTAGAGGCCGGAAATAGTGGAAGTATCCAGTATTTTACAAGCTTTAAATATTTGTAGAGGCCTGAAGAGGTAAAAGCACCAAGTACCAAGAAAAAAAGCAAACATTTTCTATAAAAAAATCACTAATCATTTGATGAACCCTCCGAGTTATCTTAGGGCCCTCTGAGGGTCTTGACAACAAGGTTATAAACCACAGACTTAGACGCTACTCCTACTATACAAGTACTACAGCACATACAGTTTAAATAGACTATTATTGACCGTGCAGATGGTGTAACACAGGGTCCATTCATTCTGATGAGTTTGTTTTCTAATGAGAAGCCCATCAATGCAGCGCTGTAATCACACCTTATCTGCCATCTGAACCAGGAGAGGGATGAGGAGGAGAACACAAGGTTTGTCCAAGGCAGTTTCAGCTATACATAGCTGTAAATAGCCTCGGTCCTGACACATAGCAGCACAGCTTTCAAATGAGAAACCGTGAGATCAATAAAACCCTGCAACACCAAGGGCACTGAGAACAGCTACAGTGCTACTGGTCGGGTTTAACAGACACCATTATCAAAGGACTCAGACGAGGTTAATGGAACTACTGAGAAGCATCGCTGTGTTTTGCATTTTTTTGAGACTTTGTTTGAATGTTTTGTGAATTATTTGCTGTCTGACAGTTGGCAGTGAGTAAATAAATCTTACCGTTGTTGCCTTAGCACTTCTGTTTTTTGTCCCATTTGGTTTCCTTAGCTGGCATTTCTCAAAACTGTCTTACAAGCTTTGAATAAAATATGGTGGAGAAGAAGGAATGTGCTGTAAAATTAGGTTTTTATGTAGATGCAGAATTTTAAAAATTATTTTATAATGGGCATCCTGGTAATTGAGTGGTTAAAGATGCATACTATGTAACTGGTTGGATTCACACCAGGAATCTTTATTGAATGCCTTATTGCATTGGACTCTCTGCGCTATCTTCCTGTCAGAATAAAGGCGAATGCCATTAAAAATAAATGTAATAATAATGTGAGATGGGAAATGTCATCTTTGTATATTAATTTCCTCATGAGCATACTATATATGTATTCTTATTCATTGTGTGTATTTATAAGAAGAATCAGACCAAAATAGAATTAAATATTGTCTATTACAATAATATAAAGTTAAGAGGATTATTACAGATATTTAGTATTTATTAAGTATTTTTTGCGCCATATTTTCTCAGTGAGACTTTCATGCCAAAATAAAGGTAAAAAAAAATATACTATTATCTGTTTTAACAGGGAATGAATTAAATGTTCCTCCTTTCCTGCTATAGCAGATACTCACTGTTTTGTCAAATATCTAGGGCCTTGATGTGTAATGTTTTACTAATTAGTAAACAAACAGCTTTCTTTGCATTGCAGGTTGTCAGTCAAACACAATGAGCTCAGGGACTTGAGGTACTTTCTGCCACAGAGTCCGTATTCATTACAACAGTGACTAACGTATAATGGCAAGATGTGCAACAATGTGGCTTTACTCCAACCACAACGTTTCACCGCTGCAGCCACAGACAGCTGATTGTCTCCCTTCTCATGCATAATAAAACAACACTGCTTGTAGCGAAGAGCCTAAAAGCTCGGCTTCTGATATTGATGTGCTGTGAGTAGGAGTTTGATATATCTCTCCTCCAGCTGGGTTTGCCTTTTTTCCTTTGCCTTCTTGTTTGTAACAATAGTAAATATTTATTAATGTTTAAACAAACTTGCCTTGGGCGCAATAAATATCGTCAAGCCAGAGGAGCTCTAGCCGCTGAGCTCTGTCATCACGTCATGTATTTTCACATTATTAAGGAGCCAGACAGCATTAGTATGGGCGTTTGCTGTTTAACTAGAGAAATACCATCTCAGCAATTCATCAAATGGGCAGTAAATCTAATGCTGGTTAGTTTAACTTTCTCTAAATTGAGCCATCACTCACTGCTGCGTGGGAGACAGTTTGTATTTTGTTCTTTGATTCATCTCCTTCTGTCAGCAGAACAGCAAGTGTACCAACAAAAGTTTAAACTGAGAACATAATCCAAACCTACTGCATCCTAATAAGCAGATATATTGAACATACTAACTATTTATCTATTAAGTAACGGGGTCTGACCGGGAGTAGCTGTCGCCTGGTGGGATGGACTCCTGGAAGAACTGGAACTGGTAGAGGTAGAGGACAACGATGTGTCCAGCACTAAAAATGGCCATCAGGACACACATGCAGCTGAAGATGAGCGTGTCGAAGGTCCGGCAGAGGGACCACCAGGTGCACAGGAACAGAAAGATGAAGAAGTAAACAGCCGAGGTCAACGAGGGCAGCATGATGCCTGCAAACACAAAAACAGAGGATATAAAATCAGAGGACTGTGGTTTAATTATCTGCTCAGGATTATAATTATCAGCCCTTGTTTTGACCCAAATAGTCATCAAAACACTCCAGTAAATGTCAGGTAAACAGGTAAATATGAGAAATGTTGACTGAATCATTCACTCACATATAAAGTTCAAACAACAGTTAAGAATTATTTCTAAATACGGTTTGACTCAGATTTGTTTGTTATCCATCAAGCTGGTTTTGCATGTTTTAGGCAGTTAACTACAATTCAAATATGCTTTGCACTACTGCACCCTGATTACAACCATTTATAAAATCTTATCTGGGGTTCTGGACATCCCTAGAGGTGTTGCAAGATAAATCTGCAAGACTAGATTAAGATGATAGGAAAGCAAAAAAACATGTGGTACTTAAAACTGTATTTACTTTTTTGCAGACATTCATCAAATCAAACATTTTTTTCTTGTGTATTAGTGGATCATTTTACACCAGAACCAGACTTTTAAATACAATCACTGAGATATGCAACCAGCCAAGGGAGGAAGTAATCAAGTACAAATACTTTGTTACTGTGCTTAAATAGTTTCTTCTGGTATCTGTACTTTACTTTTTACAAATATCTGTACTTTCTACTCCTTACATCTTCAAAACAAGTTCCTTACATTAGTTTTAAGCTTGATTGCACGCCTTCCCAACGTCAATACTGGTGCATATCAGAGACTACATTTTTCCTTTATATTAATAGTGTATGTACTTCTAACTGAGGAAAGAATGTGTGTAGTTTTACCACCTCTGGCAATCATTGATGGAAGGTCACAAGTACACATTGTCTTGTTTTAAGGCGTTACAAAGATTTAGTGTGAGTTATTTTGAGATAAGATAATGTTACTTTCACTTCTGTAGCTGCAGCTGACTCTCATATTTCAACTGAAGACTTTTTAAAACATAAAGTACAGTAACTGTCTTTCTAAAGCAAATTGTTTTCATAGAACAATGATATATTATTTTTACTTTATCTGTCTGGTTGTTAGAGAATCAATAAATCATCCAAATATTCAGATGCTATGAGATGAAGATGCAAAGCTGCTGACCTGTCATGCCCAACAAGATGGTGACCACCACCTTCCCAGCAGTGGTGATCAAGTTCCCGATAATCTCCTTCAACTTGGACGCAACCTGCCCCACGTGCCTCAGGACTTTCCTCTTCATGCTCTCCTTTGCCTCTTTCTCTTCCTCCTCCTCCTCCTCCTCCTCCTCTTCCTCCTCCTCCTCGTCCAGCTCCTCGTCCTCCTCGGCTTCATACCCCGCTTCGAAGTCCTCCTCCAGCAGGATGTTGTCCTCCAGGCTCAGCTTCTCCTCTTCTTCCTTGAAGGGGGATTACAGTGACACGTTTCAGTATTGAGTGATGAATGGTGCAGTGTGGAAGGTCAGAGCTCTCCATGGTGCTGAAAACTGTTTCCTGCAGGTAGCTGTTGCATAACAATGCATAACAATTCCTGTGCAGACTCCAGCTGGGAGTGTGTGTTTGAGCACGCTTAGCATGTAACACGGCATATTTAAACATACGTATATGTGGCTGCTTGAGACAGTATAACGACCCTTGGCAGATGTTTTCCTCTGGAACCACATGCTGGCTTCAGATCTGATCCAGTCAGTTCTTCTTTGGCTCTGACCAACTATGTGTCCCTCTTTTCCCACAGCCTCAATGAAATAGAGACATAATAACAAGTAAGCTGTTCACTGCGGTTTATATAGAACACATAAGGCACTAGACAAAGAAAGTAGCAGGTGGTGCGAACCCTGTTTCGAATCAAACAACAATCGCAGCTCAGATGGAAATAAAAGCCTGAACACAACGCAGGCTCTATAGATGAATTCCTGGTGTTTCTCAGTAATGGGAAGTGTTGCCATCTGTGCCAGCATGAGCAGCACAGTAGAAGTGAAAGTGAATGTGGATTTAATTAACACTGAGTCATAAAGAGAAGGGAGGATTTGCCAGGGGATTGAGGCTATATTCCAAGTCATCAACACTCACAGGGAACTCTCTATTCAAACTCCTGTTCCTGGTTTATGAAGCTTAGTGGACATTACGCACAGAGCAGGAGAAAAGACCATCCACTCTGCTCTGAATCTGGGCATTTATGACTCCCAAAAGGTGGCTGCATACATTAAATGCCAGTGGACACACATAAATATCATCCACTACTAATATGAACATGAACAGAAATCTGAAAATGAGTTTGTTTAAAGATGTTTACATTTGGATTTGTGGTCATCTCACGTGTTTGGAGAAAGTTACTCCAACCCAGTTGAGACATTTTCTCATCAAGGCTTTTTCTTTTACTTCTTCAGTTTAGTTTTATGGATGTAAAGGTTTGGTTTAACACAGTTTTTAGATGTTTAGCCAAATACACACCCGAAACTACATCTTTACATTCTTCACTTGTCTACTTCAAATTAGGGAAACAATTAATCTGTTGGTGCAACGGCTCCCAAACCTCTTTAAAACACAACACCCCCTTCATCATTATTTCTTTTACATGGCATCCTCCCTTTTGGCTTCTCTCCATTGCTTTCTCTGACGGTCACTATTTGCGACCGCTGTGCACCTGGAAAACAGCTGGAAACTGTGTTAAATTACCGCAAACTACCAACAGTGAGCTGTCACGTCACTAATCTTAGCCACAGCATAGAATTTGATTAATTTCATTATTGCCTTCTCCTGTTTCAACATGTGGCGAAACGTTACAATAAAAAAACATCTTGCATTAAACTGTCAGTTTAGTTTACTATCTTGTGAACTAAAATATGTTTTACTAAAGTAATTTATCAAGAAATTATAAAAAATTGTTCTGAAATTTTTTTGTTTTTGTTGCTTTTCTCTGATTCATTTTATTATAAATTGAATATGTTTGGGTTTTAGACTGTTGGTCAGACAAAATAAGTTAGTAGAAGACGTGGCCTGGCGTTGAGCTATGAGAAACTGAAATAGGCATTTGTCTGTAGATAGATAGATAGATAGATAGATAGATAGATAGATAGATAGATAGATAGATAGATAGATAGATAGATAGATAGATAGATAGATAGATAGATAGATAGATAGATAGATAGATAGATAGATAGATAGATAGATAGAGAGATAAAAGTCAGCCACAGTTTTCAGGACATCGCATGTCACCACAAATGAAACCCACTTGTTCCTCTGCATCAAAGTCGGCGTTGTACTGGGCCATGTCCTCAGGCGGCCTCTTCTGGACCAGACTGCGGCACAGCAGCCAGATGGCCAGGCCGACCACAAACATGCCGATGTCAGGGATGAACACTCGAATGCCATTGCCTGCATCTGCACCAATCACGCTGGGGACAAACAGAAAACAGAGGATACACGCTGACAGAAAGCAGACTCTCGTTTCCTGAGAGAAGGACGAATCCTAGAGTCTCCCCAAAATTGTGATTTGGTGCCATCTCGCAGGCTCAGATCACAACCAAATGATGGAAAATGGGAGAGAATATAACAAATCTAACTGTCCATGGACGATCACTGCTTATATGAAACAGTTTTTCTAAGAAATCTAAGGACTTGGTTGCTCCTTTAGTCCACTGTCGTGTTTGAATCTGCCTTGAGATATTTGTCACATATCACCTCCATCTGTCTCTCCCGATTGTTCACGTCTCTCCGGCTGTTAAAAAAAAAGCTAAAGTGGTTCAACAACTTTTAAAGTATACGTTTTATGCACTCGTATGGAGGGATAATGTTGTAGCAATTATATCTTTCAGAAAACACTACCTGTTCACATGAATGCATGGGAATCTGGAATCTTTTCCATGACTCAACTGTTCTTTTAATATGTGTTCTGTTGAATGCTTCAGCTTTTATATGGAGTACCACCCACTTTAATGAAATCAGGCTTGCCGGTTTTAAATGTATTGCTGTTAACAAGTGAGTGAAATTCCATTCAAACAAAAAGGCCATGAGAGAGTGTGGTATTTTTCTTTAACTGAGCTGTGAAAAACATGTTTACTCCCTTGAAAATTGCATCCTTTGTTCATAATAAGGTAGTGTGAACAATAAGCCCTCTTTTTCCTCATTAAACTGCATGAAATAAAGGATTCAAACGACTTTAGATATTTCAGATAATGTGTTACTTAAGGGCTGTGACGATGACACTATGTGAAGTCTCTTCACACCAAACAGTGTGTGCAGAGTATAATCATTTATAAATAATATTCATCCCAGTTCTGGTTTACGCCGTATGTGCTTTTCATTAATCCACTGAAATATGACATTGTTTGAAGTGTTGTGGTTATATCGCAGTCAGCAAACAAAGCTTTTGTAACATTTGTTATTTGATTAGTCTGCTCACCTTAACTAAATACCAAAAGGGTTGTTCAAACAGGAAGCTAAACATTGGCGAACGACTGTTACCATGACAGCTTCAGTAACTTCAGGCCTCAAATGATCCAGTGAGATGTATCTGTGCTGCTTGAGGACAAGTTTTATGAGGTGTCATGATTGCCAGTACAATTAAAGCAAATAAAAATTGTCCTTGAAATGGCTAACAGGTTTCAAAACCCTTAAAACTCCCTTTTATCATCCAAACCAATTTCTATTTCAGTTTAACAACAATCACACTGCATCCTGTGTTTGGCCACCAAAGGGTTTTCTTTACATTTCATGCTGAGCTGTGTAATTAAACTGTTTACAATAAACAAAACATACTGGTGATTCAGCAATGCAGGCTGGAGAGAAAAAGAGCTGACCAAATGTTTGGACTGAGTTATAAAGCAACTGGTCATTTCAAACAGAACCAATCTCCTTTTGGCCTTGAATGGATATAAAGCTTATAAAAGTTAACAAGTTGAAAACACAGTGCTAATCAACACGATGGAAAACGCACACTCAGATAAATAGTTGGGCATTTGGCTGCTGTTGGCAAGTTTAATCTAATCAAGGACGTCTGTTTCCATGTGCTTTATTGTTGTGAAGCTTTGTGCATCCTCACATGGATGAAAGAGATGGAAACCGTCTGAGCCAGACGGGGTTGAGCCAGCTACTTTAATGATTCCTACTTTCCCCTGCTTATCATGTGAGAGAATTACAATAACATTAGCAATGCTAAGACCTGTCCTGTCCTCAGGCTGCAGAGGGCATTACTTATGAGGCTTCAGTGAAAAACTACAAATACAAAGACTGCTAAATATGTTCTAAACCATATAAATATTTGGTATTTAAAAGGGATTTGAAAAGGTCAACCTTGAAGAAACTGAAGGAACTGTCTGGGTGAAAAGACACACAACAGCTGTGAACTCGTTTCAGACTCCTATACGTCTGACTTCAGCGCTGCATTTTCCTTTATACAAGCGGTAAAAGCGAGAGAGCATCAGCCTGTGCAGCAAATGCAGCTGTAAATATTGTATATACTGTATATGCTCCTCAACACAAACAGGTAAATGCAGGCGGGATAAAATGTTTATGGCTCTACTTCCGCCACTTACAGTATACTATCTACCGAGGGCTGTTGAGTACTGGAAAAAGGATGTGGCTGAGTTTGGACATTCCCGTACTTAGGAAACCGCATCTAACACGATCACGGGCGTGTGAGGAGATAAACACAGCGGCAAAAGCTTTGAAAAATAGGCCTGTCAACTGATTGTCAGACGTAACTGGGTTTAACGTTCATCAAGAATCCACACGGGGACAGGTTGGGAGCAATTATAAACTCTTGACAGATGACGAACCAGTGTGGCTAAATGCAAAAAGTCGTGTTTAATGTTATTGTGGGGTTGCTATATTTAGGACACTTTGCACAGAGAATCTGTGATCTTAATTTTAATTTTAATGGCTTTTGCTGTTGATTCTGAATAAAAAAACACACCTTTTTTCCTTTAAAAAATAAGCATGCTGTTCTTTTGCATAGTGTAAATGTTGTCATATGGTTGACCCTCCCTTTAATCAGTAAACAGGCACTGAGCTGAGTCCTGTCACTTCCTGAATAAAACATCTGGATTGCCCATCTGGTAGAAAACTCAGTTAAATAGAAAATCCACACTTGCATATTTTATGCTGCTGCACAATCATCAGGTGAAATGTGATTTACAAAACTCATCAAGCTCACCATACGAATCATAAAATACAATCAAGAAAATAAATATATTATCAAAAACAGCATCATTATTAGGTGTGTCATCATTATCTTACCTCTCAAAGCCAATTTGTCTTATGGATTTCTCCCACGTTGAACCTGGACAAAAACAAAAAGTCATTTAGTGAGCACTGATATTGTTTGGCAAAGAAATGCACTTTAACACCTTTAATAACGCTTTTATACAGTCATAAAAAACAAATGGTGGTGCTACAGGTGGTCAACGAGCTGTTGAGATGATGATTTCCATTACTGTATCCAGCATATATACAGCCAATAAATGCTGTTTAATATTCCCTATTATAGTATAAAGAATGAAGATCTAGTCTGTAAAAGAGCTGCCACTCTTTTTCAGCCTCTGACAGAACCATTAAAAGACAAAAAAAAAAAACAGCTTTGAATCATTTGTAAGAGCCAGAAAACTGTTTGTACATAACCTGCATGTAAAAAACAAGAAAATAAAAACATTTCATGCTGGCTTTGTTTCCACCGTTTGGACTGGTTGAAGTGTTCCTGAACGTCACACCAGCGCTCAGAGAGAGATTTCCAGGTATTCAACTGACACACTGAGAAGAACTGCCAAAGGTTGACCGGCCTTTGTTCTACTGCCAGAGAAAACATAACATCAGCTCGTGACTTGAGGATTTCGACTCAATGACATATCGACATATCCGGCTGTTTTGCCAGTGTATTAGGCGACTAATTAGGTGCTGAACTGCTGCGTCGCAGAAGTTTCTGGTTTATGGAGTCTAGTGGGGGAGAGTGAAGATGTTAAACACACTTCATTGAGTCAGACGAGCGTAAGACAAAGCACTTCTTCACCCGAATGACTTTATCTACCTGTGTGCTAAACTATACTTGCACTTTTCAGGAGGTTGTCAAACTTATAAAAATGTTTCTGCAGCAATTCTTGTTAAAACAGTACGTTAGAGCTGGGCAATAAATCCGTTGGAGCAGAATTTAAGTTTTACAACGATGCAAAATAATGGCTGAATCGTTAAAACTGAGATTTAAATTATGAATGGTATAATGTGGCGATAAACAGCTGCTAAGGACTCTGGGAAACAAACCCCAACCCACTCAAGTCACTCATCTACACAGAACTTCCCCATATGAGAAGAAGATGGGATGGCGTTTCATAATACCAAACATATGGTGACTTTTGTGGTTTGTTTTTAAGAAAAACAATTAAAGGTGAAAAGATCAGGGATTGTATTTTTAGGTCCTGCAGTACAATAAATGTTAAATTCTAAAGCGCCATATAAAAGAAAGACAGAAAACTAAACTGTAACTTTAGGATGATGCTTCTATAACATATTTTTATAACCTTGGTATCTATAGTTCTAAGCATTTAAAAGTGCAATCAATCTTTTGTGTCACTTTGAAAAGGTTAATTTGCAAATAGTAGTATGAAAAGATTTCTCATAAATGAAACACCAAGTATCCAGTAAAGGAATGAGTCACACTATTAGGCACTTTGTCAGAAACAGGAAACAGACTCTGAATTCCACTCAAGGTGAATAAAACGGTAATGGACTTTCAGCACAAAGCCTGTTGTTTATTTATTACTCATCAGTGATAAAAATAGCTTCACGGAATAGCTTCACTATCACAGATGTTATATGTGTTATGTGGTTGGGGTAGAGGAGGAGAGGTAGGAGGTCCAGTGGTCAGTGAGTATCATCTGTGATGGGAGGAGCCCACATGACTGACCCCTGACACGACCTCTGACATTAAACACTTCACCCATTGTTGAGACACTAGAAGGAATCTGTCCACCTCCACACGTCAACACCTCAAAAATAGAGAACAGTGACTAACCGAACTATGTTGCAACACAACACATGTCAAAGGCCAAAAAGACTAAACTAAAAAAATTGTATTATTCTGTGGGTAAAGCAATGAATTGGTTCTTCATTGCTAGGTTGTTTTGCATTGTTTGCTTAAACAAATGTCTTTAACTATTTTAATTAGGTAATTATTGTAGGTTATTTTAGGGAAATAAATAATAAAACTTAATCAATCAACTTTTGCTTAACTTAATATCTTCAATTTAACATTGAATCAAATGTAATAGGGTTGCTAGTAGTATCGATCCCACTGAGAATCAACACCTAACGTCAGTAAACAGCATTTAGTTGCTTTCAACTCATTGTTTTGGTGTGTGATAGTTTGACATAGACACATGGCTGGTTTCACTAACATTCAATCCCACATTACACCATTGGCAGTAAACAATATCTGATAAGCAATTAGCAAAATATGAGCTGGTGAGGATAGTTGAACATTTAGCTAGCAGACTAAAGACTCAAGTGTTTTTCTCAGGAGTCGGTGGCTAAAACCGAAATGTCACCAGAAATATGACTCCAATCAAATGGTCATATTGCTCTGAGTCTGCTGGACGTTTTAATAGTTAGCTGTTTGTTAACAGCACGATGCAGCTTTAATTTAGGGGGAATTTAATGTTAGGGCCATAATTAAAGAGGAAAACTTCAAACTAAACACACAGACATTAACAAGGTGGGTAATCGTAATACCAACCAGCCGGTGGTACATTATATTAACTCACTATACAGTGACCATACAGTTTTGGCCTGTAGTCTAATAAGCTAACTACTTAACATTTTGTGCCATTGACAAGTGAACATGGTGAGAGCTGTGCCAGAAACTTGCACAGGAGGAGGAGATGGGGTCTGCTGATGTTGTTGTAATCCCTAATAATCACCCACAGAGGTTGATAAAGGTCACAGATTACTTAATGCTCCATTTAAATCTTCAAATAGAAACTCTTGAGCTTAAAATGTCAGCCCAGTGACCACAGGAAAAACTGTTTGTGTTTCAGTGATTCCCAAGTGCAAACATCTGCAACACCTAACTTCACCCAGCCCAAACTGAGCTTACAGGTGTTAGAGGAAAGCCATCCTGTGTGTGATATCATGCATGAGGAATGCCAGAGGTGAAGTCAGGCCAGTCTGATCCATAGGGTGAGGAGAGGAATATTGTGTAATACAGTCTGAACTCAGCATGGAGACTTCTGGAAAAGAGTGTGAGAGCTTTTTGCGCATCCAGGCGAGGCCGCTTTCCACCCCAGCTGAGCACCAAAAATACCTGTCCTCAGACTTTATGTGAACATCATAAAACACCCTTTGTACTTGCTGGGCCGTTAACCTCTCAGCACAGCATTTCTTTTGCACACTCTCTTCTATCTCTGGGGCCTAATGCCAGTCGCCCTTTTCTGCAGAGACTGGTGATATGCAGCGTCAACATTTCAGCACGTCATAACTATAATCGGACAATCGGTAAGCGGAGGGAGAATACACTAAATGTTTGGGGAATAGTGGACAGGGCGTGTGTGGATACGGTGGGCGGCAAAGTTCAACAATTCTGTCTACAAGACTTAATGAAGACTATCCCCCCCGAGGAACTGGCCACAAAACAGCCATTCAACAGGCCGTTTACTCCTTATGAGCTGGTGAAGTGTTCATTGTCATCAGATATGGGCCAAATCAAACTTGTAAATCCTTTTTTATGGTTTACTTAGTTTGCCAGATGGGTGGGGGTTGCTTCTAAAGGACAATGACTGCCAAAAGGTTTTAGACAATCACAGGAAAGTAGGAGTTTTGAAAACCAGTGTAGAGTTTTTATTTTCTTTGTTCCTATCTGACAATTTAGTTGACATTATCTGAAATGAGGTGAGCTCAACACATCTGCTGCTCTTTGATGGTTGATACAAACACTCTGTTTGACTGTTTGTTAATGCAGTTCCCACCATGTCGAGTCAGCACAGAGGAATGACAGATGACTCCAAAGGAAGTCGGCCCCGGCTCATCTGGTGACCAGTCACTGACCTGCTCTAACAGCTGGAGGTGTTAGCTTTTTTGGAAAGGTTTTCTCATTCATACTCAACACAGTTTACTGCTCTAATGGTGTATTTGGCTACGAGGAACAGAGGAAATTGTATGAAGTTATCTGGAGGGAGTATAACCGCCTCACCGCAATGGAGGACTCCTTGTTTATACTTGGCTGCCAAAAGGAAAAGGGTGTCAAGGGGCTAAATGCCAGATATAGAAACCTGAGATAAGGCATTTGCTCAGAATGTAGGCGGCATATCAAGGGGACAAAGAGTAATGTCTGACTTCCTGTTGCATGTAGCCCAAAAGTTAAAATAGAACTAGAATGACATTAACTTCCGAAACTTCACAAATCATCACAGTGGGTGGAAAACCTACTGTTACTGTAAAACAAGGTTTCAGATATATGTGTCTGTAAAATATTGTGTGTGTTTTGTGATTGTTAACGACATTCTTTAGCTCCTTATGAAGTTTTCTTTATCATGTGAGTGTGTGATGTTATATTTCACCACCCTGTGGCTCATTAATTGTCAGATGACAGCCAGGATCCACCAGCTGTTCACTGAAAAGCAATTCCTGAGCAGCCCAGTGCTCATACAGGGACTTTTCTGTTAAATGTTGCAGATAATGACTCAAGATGCTGTTCATTCAACTGCCAATGGAGCTTAAAGATATATAATCTGAAACAAAACTCATTATACTTTGCCTCACCGGAGTCCATACTCAGCATGTTTACAACACCAGGACAATAGTGCTTATAGAAGATAGATACAATAGAAGATTGTATTGCCTGTATCTGATAACATAACAGCTGACAGGAAAGTGGGGAGAGAGTGAGGAAATCATATATAGCCAATGCCCGCAGGTTGGAATCGAACCCGGGACCCTGCAGGCCTCAGCTTTTGTAAATGGGGCGCATGTTCTCCCTAATGTCCACCATGTTCGCCATCTTAGTTTAGCGTGGTAGTGTGCTAATATTTGCCAATTAGCACAAAACACGAAGCTGAGAATGGTGGAAATATCATTAGTTTTGTGGCACGGTGGGTCAGTGGTTAACACTGTCGCCAGAGAAGGTATTAGATTCAAATCCCCGGCTGGGGTTGGTGGAGCTGTGTGGAGTTATTGTGGGTTTCCCCTGCCATTGAAACCTGTATGTAGTGCCATTGACCGGGCGCCGCATGGTGGCTGCCCACTGCTCCCAGTACTTAGGATGGGTCAAATGTCACTTAACACATCACTTAATGTGACCACATACCCTCAAATTAAAATTTTATGTGTCAGCCTAGACCAAAGTGGTTCATAAATATACAGTAGTACACTTTCATTATTTAAATGGTTTCCTATAACAGCTGAGCACTGCAGTGTTTAGCAAATTTTAATACACATTTGTTGGTCTGGTGAGTATTTACAGCAGCTGGACGGTGCGATTGACTAAAAATAAACTACACTGTATGATAATAAAGGAACATCTCACCCAGTGTAACACTGTGGCTCACTGATGTGTTTTTTAATAGTATTTGGGGAACAATGGAGCTCTATAGCACAGAGGAATAAGACATATTAGGTTTGGACAATATACGTTAGTAGGATCAGTTTATTGTTACACAGGAAAAATATATCAAAAAAATATAAAATATAACCAGACTTATCTATTTGTTGTGCTTTTCTCATTAAGTTATACATTAACAATATAGATGTTCTTATTTGTCATTATTTTTAATATATTTTGGTACCATTTTGGTAATAAGCGTTTCTCACTTTAACATGTTAACCACTGTTATCCACTGGATTCTGTATATTCTGATCCATACATAAAAATCAATGAACCAACCAAAACAATCAATTGGTTGACTGGCTGGTCTGAAATTAAAACCTTTCATAAAATTATGCTGAAAAGATTCATAAAAAATATATAATTTGTTTCACAATCCCGTTAATGGACGTAACCATTGTTAGAGATAATACAGAGTTAAATACAGTAGATGGATAAAAATGTATTGTCTCATCACACCGAGGGTTTGATCTGCCAAAAACTGCAGCCCTGGAGACCTCAGTAATAAAGATCTCCTTGAGTGAATATGAACGGCTCTGTGTGTTTCTGCCGGAGGCGATAAGGTCCGTTCTGCCCTGTGAGCGAAGTTGGCTGTACTTCTCCGTTGGAAAGCGACTTTACCTCCATTAGAAAGAAGTCATTAGAACACAAGGTCAGGGTCTGTCCCGTCTAGACACATTCAAATTTTACAGTTTGATACAGACTTTCATGAGAAGCCCAAGGCCAAACTATTAACACCTTCCTAACACTGAGTCAGTAGCTTACAGTGTTTGCTTTACGGGCAGCAAGAATCTCTTTTTCTTACGTCGCCATATGGCACAAGGAGACTAACTACACAGAGGAATGTGTTAGATTCATAAATCTTCATGATGTGACAAAACGTAATAAGAGTGAGGATATTTCTAGAAATTATGAATCATTATTAGAAAGTATATTTTACCTACTCCTGCAAATGGAGCATGTCTTCTCTTTTTCTGGATGGAAACTTTCCCCCTCCGACTACACCTCTGGTGATTTACAACTCTGTGACACTGCATCAATAGATCAGGTCAGAGTTTAAGCACAAACAGCCTGTGTGATGGATGGGACACACGTGTGAATCTATCAGATTACCATGGCCCAATAAGTAGAGATCTCACTGTTGCGGTCTTACATGAGTGCTCAGGGCGAGTAAATTGTTTTAGAGAAAGAGTTTTTGAGAAAGCCACTAATTACTATAACATTGTCGGGAATAAGAGGATTTGATTCCTGTTTGGGCCACCTAAAACTGCATTAACTCAGCTGTTATATACTTATTATACTGCAATAGCAAATACATTTGAAAGAAAAACTGAAGATTTCATGAATCTTCCTGCAAAATCTTCATACAACATATCTGTAAAAAAGTGACTGATTTGATTTCCCTAAAATATCCACTAACAGTAGCTTAATTATTGTTTTTACAGTTATGTTTAAGCTTAATTTATACTTCTGCCTTAATGGGTTATGCTTTACCTACTGCAGCCAAGTGCACAGGCTCCATAGGAATACTGTAGGCTAGCTGATTTGCACCTCTTAAAGATTTAACTACACACTGGGGCTATATGGTGGCTACAGTAACACCACGTGGGAACCAAAAGAACTGTGATTGATCAGGTTGGGCTGCTTGTGTTTTCCCTGACAAGTTTCACATGCAAGTAGAGATTGTCAAGAGAGCAGACGCATAATGCAAATAAAAAGCCATTTCTCAGCAAAACATACAGAACATGAATGCCGACTGCACAGACTCATATTTAGAACTAAAACAAGGCGGATCAGCCCAACCGTATCACAAAATAATAAAAGAATCACAGTCCAATTAATGTACACATCCGTCTATTGTTGCAGGGAGAAATCAGAACCTGAACAACCTACAACCTACAGCAGGACTTTCTCCATCCCCCTGCATTAAAAAGTATAAATCCAGTTTTCGGCTTTTTCTTACAGCTCTTGGTTTAGGTTTGGGAAAGACGCTATTAAATAACTGATCTGAAGCACAAGACTTGTTTTCTGCTTCAGATTTAAACAAGGATAACCAAAATCTCACCCAAACCTTAACCAAATTAGCCAATATTAAAAATTGAGTTTAAAGGACCAGTGTGTAACATTTATGAGGACCTATTGGCAGAAATGGAAAACAATATGCATAACTATGTTCTCGTTGTGTATAATCACCTTAATATAGGAGTTGTTATGTATAATTTTATCTTAGAATGAGATGTTTATATCGTCTCCAACATGTTGAATTGCCATGTTTCTACAGGAGCCCAGAAGGAACAAGCATTTTGTGGCTACCGTAGTTTCTCATTCGCTCTTGGAAGGGGAGAAAGAACCCACTAAATCCTAAACATTGGCTGATTGTGGCTTTATTAGTCAGTTAACATTTCTAAAGTGTCTTCTTGTATGTCTTTAAAAAGGTTTGCAGACAGCATAAAGTGAAAGAAACTCCATCAGTCAAGCCCACTCTGCAGCTTCTTTGTGGATTCTCGTCTTGTGAGTCGCTTTGATTTCAACACACACAACAAACCTCACCAGCTTCAGAGCCTTGACCATAAAGGCCGCAGTGTACTCACAGTTGAAGTCCGACCTGATGGAGTTCCCTGCCAGGAGGCTGTTGATGGTAATCTGATAGATGATGTGGAGCAGCAGGAAGGACATACTGGTGAAGCAGAGGGACTGCAGCAGACGCCCTGTGTGGCCTGGAGGAGGAGAACAGCTACAGTGAGTTCACCACCACAACCACTCATTTTAAGGACTTCCACATGTTATTACTGCTGTTTATGCACTGAACCTAGACAAATTCTCTTTGCTGGTAATTTTTTCTAGACCCAGAGACCATTGTCTAACACATTTTTAATATTTTTGTAACATTAAAAAGTGCCTGATATTTCTGAATTCTTGCACTCTTTAAGCCGAGGAAGGAGAACAACGATTCATATTCATGTGATCAGCTGTGAAGTCTGGAGCTGTTTTGAGCGTATTAGTTAAAAAAAAAAGGTGAATGTGACTGGGAGAGCACCCAAGGGGGATTTTATGTGGATCATGATACATATCCTAGTTAAGAACTGGCAACACTACCATAGAGCAAAGTTTATTTCTGCTGAAAAGTCAAATAAACATTCTGGTGGACCACAAGACCTCTAATTCTTTCTAAGTCTCAGAATTCAACACGGACCGGCCTTTATACCTGGTTTGATTCTTCGGTTTCTGGCTGTTCGTGTTCGCAAGAAAAAACTTGGCTGTCCGAGTAAGATCAACAGATACTGCAGGTGTTGACTGCCCCGGTGTCTTTCTTTAATGTAGGTAAATACTACAGCTGTCAGTGGACATTACTGATCCTCGGAGGGAAAGGATGAGAGCAGTCTGAGGAGCTGCCACAGCTGCTCCACACATGGTTATTTTATAGTGCACCTACAGGTATTTGGGATAATTTCAGGAGTTGTTATGGTGATAATTCTCTACCGTTAGGATTTTGTTTTGGACCCCCTCGTATTTGCGAAATAGAAAATGTTCTTCCTCAAGAAATAAACCAGCTTAATTGGACTCTTCTTCCTTGAGGAAGAGATGACAGTAATGCCCCCCCCCCCCCAAAGATTAAACTGTCCCATATATCTACACGGTTTGGTCCACTGGTTCCTCACAGGGCAACATCTCCAAATCATTATGTTTACTGCATCCTTTGCGGGGGGAAACACATAACAGTTTTATTACAGTGTATGGCACCAATACCTTGGCTAAGGTGAGACGCTACCGCTGAGCTTCAGGCAGTCGAGGGGTAACGTTATCAAATGTGTGCAACAACGAAACCACGACTGGCAAATTAAATGTTGAAGTGAAAACAATTTGTGCTAATTTCCCAATGCAATTCCCTGGGCTTTCACAAAGAGGGAAAAAAATGCTTGTAAATATGAGGAATGAGGACTGTGAGCGAGCTTCTGCGTCCAAATTGGTCCTGAAGCTCTGGACAACGCAACTGCTTTTGGCTCTGCCCTCCTTTTTTCCTATTTGTAACAGAGCATTTTTGTTGTGTGACGGCCATCTGTCTTGGTAGCCTGACGCTCATCTTGAATTAGTATTTCACTCCGCTTCATTATTCAGTCTCAAAGCAGCCGTCCCAAGAGTACTTTTTTAAAAAGGCTTCCAAAATAAAGGGCATTGTTCAGTTTTAACAGTTTTTCCCTAATCAATCAGAGGATCGTATCCATTTCACAGCTTTAAAAACCTGATTTAAACACATGGTTTTGCCAAATCATAGTTTTAGAGAGAGGTTTCCTCAATATAATCATTTGGTCTTTTTTTGAGTCCCTTCCAGACAATACAAAGGAGAAAAAAGTCTTAAAAAGCAATAATAAAGATGGATTTTGAAAGAAAAGCCAAACTAGTAGATGCGTTAAAGCCAGACACCCTCTGTTAGAAGTCAACTAGCTTAAACATAAACCTGATAAATCATCCATAACATCAAATATTTATACAAATTCAAGCAACAGTATTAAAAGACTTCCCCAGGGGGGGATTGTCATGTCAGTGCCCATTCAACAAGGCATATAGCACCCACTGTAAAGGCTCTTAAAGATGCCTGCTTACCCGTACGAGAGCAACAGTTTAGTTTTTGTTCACCTCCACTGAGAATTAAATGCCTTCGAGGGGATGTGGTGCCAAATACTGCAATTACGACATTAGAGAGTAAATCACAAACAACAACAACAAGTTGCATAAGATATTGTTTGTCTCCAGTTAGGATTGGAGTCTTGTATACTGACGTATCCTTGGGCACGCCACACTGCTGTGGCTTTTAAAGCAAATTACACCTAATGAATTATTCATGTATAACATTTGGTTTAAATTTACTTTACCAGTCTAACTGTCCTTTAAGATTCAACAGACAAAATGAAACAGACCATCAAAACAAAGCCCTGAATTTAGCTCAATCCCTTTCCTAATTCGCTCTAAAACAATAAAATCTCTTTTCTGCACAATGCAATGTTTAGAGTTTGTACTGTCAGTGTGTATTCAGGATATCTACATTAGGCTTTCATACAGTGATTAAGTGAACAATTTAAATGTAATATACCACAACCGAAAGGGAGGAAATAACTGTCAAGTTGTAACTAGATTAAGATTATCTGCTCAAGTTTATAATCATTACATAATTAATTCTTATTACCATGATTACTTTTATACAATCTGAAGTTAAATGGACAATTTATGATTAACAGTGCACATTAATTTTAGCACTGCTATCACAATCATCCTCCAACCAGCTGTTAAAAGGTATGTGGCTCCAAAACTAAATACTTTTTCCTTCAATAATCAGACAAATACTTACCTAGAATAACCTGTAATTATAGTTTCCAATAATTTTGTGATCAGCACAAAAGAAGCTCACTGAGACTTCCTCATACTGTGGTTCTTTCAGCCTGCTGACGGCAGACAGATGTTTACTGTGACAGGTGTTACACTAGAAGATTATCTCGTACTATTATCGGTGCCTGTGGCAATTGACATGTGTGATATTCACTTCTTTTGTTCCTGTGCTGCAGTACACGATCACTCTAATGTCTGGTTAAAGGTTACATAAATATAAGCTGGTAAAACATTTATAACATCAACTTAGGGCTGCACAGTTAATGGAAATATTATCAAATTCGCAGTGTGGTAATATATTTTTGATAAAGGTAGAATGTGTAACAAACAAGCATTATAATGAAGTACTGGTTGTTTGATACAGACCCAAACAAATGTCACATAATCATGATTTTAATCGATTTTTCAGTGAAAATGAAATTTGTAATCATATTGCAATCACAATATCTGTGAAAAATAATCAGAAGATTATATTTTTTATAATCTTGTGGCGCCTTAAATAAGCTTCAGTTCAGTTTTTTTACCTTGAGATCATTATTTAAAACCTGCTTCAACAACTTTTAGAGCTATTTTATTTCAGAAATATGAAACAATTCTAACGGCAAATAAGAAACATATAGCCAAATATGCCTAAAAGCTGTGAATAATAGTAATAAATTAATAACAAACAGCTTTTTTTAATAATTAGCAAACAGGGGTTGCTGTCTTTGAACACCTCTTTGAGGAAACATTAACTTGCTGCTCAGGATGCCCCTGCTGAGAGTACTTAAATCTGAATGATGATCTGCAAAATGTTTATGATAAATAAATTAATAAATGAATTCTGAACTCTCAAGAGACCGACCATGAACAGCTGTTTGCTTGAGAGACAAATGAGAGTCCTTTATGTCCGTTATTCAAAATGCATCTTATTATTATTACACTATACATCAAACTGTGGAAATAAGAGAACTAAATCACCAAACAAAAAACTAAAATTGGGACCAGAAATGTAAATAACATCACCAGTAGCTGTTCTAAAGAGATATTTAAATAGTAAATAGTATTTACATTATTGATAACATATGTAACTTACTTACTCACTGGAAGTTACTGATATGAATCAGAGGATCTCCAACTATTGTAATAACAACAGAGCTCAGAATGCAATCTTACTGAATAATGTGTCATATTATTTAAACAGTTTATCTCTGTTTAAGTCCATTTCCCTCCTTTTGTCACCTGCTTGTCAGATAAACCAAAGTTAAATAAAGCAGGTGCCTTCCCGAAGATTTTGTTTTAACCTTTTGCTCAAGTATTTTATTCACATAATTCCTGCAAGGGGGGGCATTGTTTTATGTGTTTTAGACTGTATTATATGTTGTTTGTACTCCATAAAATCAGATCTGAGAGGTATCAGTGGTGAAAGTGGTAAAATCATCAAGTGGTGGAATTGTTCTCCAACGGGAGAATGAATGGGGTAAATAACAGTTAAATAATAAGGTTACAACGGGATTATGTTCACAAGAATTGATGTGTTTGTGTATGTATATATGTTAACCTTTGAGTCTATAACTGAAAATGCCTTAAATAAAGTTGTTAAAACATCTTCAAATCTTGAGTTTTAATTCATAATTTCTTGTTGGTGTTAAAGTGTCTTTCATACATTATATATAATCTCAATTAGGCTCCTCTTGGTCCACTTAAAAGGAAAGTTTTCATTTTTTAGTCCATGTAAATTCTGACCTTACTGCCATACGCTGAACAGTCAACAGCTATCAGACACATGAACATTGATCTTTACTAGAAGATTCCTCTCTTTAACTATTGATGAGAGTGTAAGTGGTCCACTTTCTCTGCTCCCTCCTCTCCCGCTCTTCCTCCTTTATTTCCTGATTGTTATTTCAGCTGGAGACGCGCGGAGACAGCTCTCGGACTGGATGTTGTTCCCTCCCACCAAAATGGATTCATGTATTATTAAACGCTGCATGTGGTCTCCGACAGACACCCGGTCTTATGTATAGTATTTATAATATAGCTGAGGTTGGTGACCGCGAATCCCACATTCATCACCCGTAGAGAGAACAGCCACCTCAGTCACTTCTCATAAAACCTCCTGTTTGATTTATATTTCTTTGGAGGATAAGTTGCTGCTGTGTAGCTGTCGGAGGACGAGGTCAAAGCTAATTCACCGGCTTTAGGGGTTGGCTTTTATTTACTGAACTCTTTCTGAAAGCAAAGAGCTTAAATACCTCAACTTTCACATGGGATGAATTAACTAATAACACTTGTCAAATGCACGAAGATCGTGGTACTGCAGCATGAAACCCATCTAAAGAATCAGTGGAAGCCTTAGGAGCCACTTTTATATCCCCCTTTTGATAACTGAAGTTGTTAGTCATTATCAAAAACAGTCCTCATGTCAATTTTATTCTTCTTTCTCTGGTGGATATGTGTTTTTTTTACTCTCAGGGGTTTCTTTTTTCAACCCTAGAGCTTGTGTGTTCAGTTTTCTTCTCTTTCAAGTTTGGACATTATCTTTGAAAACGCTAAACATAAGTCTAAAATGTTCATTTTCATCAAGTGGACATCAGGTTTGGCCGTGATGGATCACGTCTTTCTGCCTCAGATCTGGCCATCCATGGATCATTTTTATTATTACAGATGGACTCATGCCCGCACTAACCGATATTACCTTTCATGGACCGAACTATGTGCCAAATCCATCCTCATCTCAAGGAAATTCAAGTCCCCTGGAGAAGGACTGGTTTACATTACAGAGAACAATATTGCAATTCAAACTGGAGGCTTTTGGGAAACAGTCAAGATTCTCCCGGCGACGGACAAAGCCAGAGCAAATCAAAACGTGTGAAGTTTTAAAGAAGAGTTGCGCAATAGTCTTACCCTGCATTGTTGTGCTTGTGGGCTCCGCGAAGAGTGGAATAAGCAGGAGGTAGATGAGGTAGACGAAGGACAGGGCATTGTACCTGAACAGGCAAGCTGCAGAAACAAACACACAAATGCAGATTGATCAGCAAATCCACCTTCAGGTCATAATAAACAACAACAAAACTGCATTCAAATACCATAAATTCAATAGCGTCTTTTATTGCTTTGTGTGCATTACGTAATGTTTAGCAGTAAATAAAGTACAGGAGCTGGCAGTGGCAACGAGCTGCCTGGTCAGGAGTCGTCACTGAGATAAACTAAACACAGATTCGAGAGGAACATGTGGTGAAACTCATTAAAATGTTCCTGGTGTAGAAAAAGCTGCTGGTAGTAATAAAAAAAAAAGCCAGAACATTCCTGTAACCAAACTTTACACTGAAAAAGCCTCATTATCTGTTCATCTGGGCTGCATCCCAAACAGAGACTGAGCTTAATTTAGTAATTCGAGGGAACCGTCGTTTGTTTTGAAGCACAATAATCACCCGATAGTCCTTGGGTGTTAAGAGAGTCGATTATCTGAGTGAGGCAGCCAGAGGTCAGCTCTGCCTTCACAATGTGCAGCTTTATATCATATGTGAAGATTTCATTTTGCAAGAATTCGATGGCATTTCATGGATTGTGAGCGTTATTGAAGCTGGATCCTTTTTCTTTTCTTTTTTTATGATAAAAAACTCTACAAAATAAAATCTCTGTGTGGCGTCACGCACCAAAAAACCCCTAAAATGCATGATGTACCTCTTGAGCTTTGAAAACAGGAAAACAGCTTTCGGTTGCCAAAACTTTAAAAGAAACAACGCCACATGGAGCGTGAAGAGAACGAAATGTCGTGAGCCCGTGTTTGGTTTTAGTCTTTTTGATCTAAAATGGACATTTGACAGCTAATGATTCATTTTCACTTAAATCTTTCATTTTTTACATTCTCTTAATCTCTTGAATTGAATTAAGTTAAATGTACATCAGTGATGCATGTTTAAAGATATAAATCAAATCAAAATAACTTTATTTATCTGTTAACTGTCAGTTCATATAAAACATATAACAGCACAGAGAACTAACAAAGAGGACACAACATACATTCAAGTGTGCCAAAGAATGTCCATAAATAAACATTAAATTGTGCCCAAACAAGTGCAGGAAATAAATAAATGAATAAAGAAAATAAAAAATACCATATGTTCTTTCTTTGGTGCTGCAACAATAAGCAGATTAATCACATCATTAATTAGCCAACTATAATGTAACTATAATAAAACAGTCACATGTTACAGCTTCTTAAATGTGAGTTTACAGAGTATTTGTTTAACAGATTATCTATAGAGTTTATGTGGGAGATGTTTTCTGTGTTACAAAACCACTGCACACGGTTTTACTTGTGCAGCAGGTGAAATGTTATAATATAATATAATAATACCAGATTATAGACCAAACAATAAACCGATCAACCAACAAAAATAATCATCAAATGAACCGATAATGGAAATAATCGTTAGCTGCAGCCCTACTCTACTTTAAATCAATTCAAGCTTGAGTTGAACGCACTGTTTCAGTATTTAGGATGTGTCACTACACATGACACTGAATTATGTAACTCCACACACACTCCTCACCCTTTTCCCGAACACACACACACACACACACACACACACATAAACATACCCCGCCGAGGCACATGAAGGAAGTCTTTTTGAGCTCATGATGAAAGTTAAAACGCTTAAGTGCAAACATGACTTCCAAAAACCATTAATTGACGTATTGATCCGTAACGCACCTCACTTCCCCGAGTCGGACTGACCATCTGCCCTAATCGGGGCTTTTACCAGTTAAACGTCTCACATCACCTGCTGACTGAACATCAATTAACGCATCCAAAATGAGCCACACTGCTGCAAACACTGAGGCCTGTATGCATGAAGGCTCACACTCTAAAGCCACAAATCTAAAGCCACAAATCTAAAGCCTTAAAAGTTAAAATACTATTTCACATTAACACAGTTTTTTTTCACAGTACATTCCCACCGTACATTTCTTTGAACGTTTTGTAGGTCCGGAGGCAGGGAGGGGAAGTACACAGTAACCTTGTGCAAAAAAAATGTGTGGACGCACACTGTCTGACCTCCCAGAATTTATCTTTGCAGGTTATATCAACAAGCGCAGAGTTTACAACCTGGTCGGCTGCGTGAGTTACCGTCTCAGTCGTAGAGATCGGCCCCCAGGTCTGGAGGCGGCCGCTGGTCTTGAACTACTGAAAAAATTACACTTAACTGCTGAAAATGGTGCTTTTATTTATCTTTGCACACTCAATGGACCTATTCATTGACATTTGACTTGGCTCTGGCGTTTCCCCTATGCTGCAGCCCTACAGTAAGTGAACCTCCTTGTTTTCCTCTGTGCTCAGATACAGACCAATGAAAACTAACAAATAAAAGTAAATAAACGCTGTCATCTTCGAGAAAACCACCGACAATCTGTAGATTATCTATGTTTTTTAAGCTTAAGCTTCAAGTATGCACAAACGCTTGACATGCACAGAAAAGCGCAAGAAACATTACCAAAAAAAAAATAACTTTATTATTACTGTTCATCGTTTTTTGATCCCTTTTTAAACTTTTCAAACAAACCTTAAGCCTCTATGCTGAATGAAGGAGGGAATGACTCACAATCTTTTTATTTTTTGGTCTCGCACTCTGCACCATTTCTATCCCCACCCACTTCATTTTATCTTTCATTAAATGTGGCGTTAAATCAGCTCTAAACTGGCCTTTTTTCTGCCCATGTTGGCAGTCTAACGGCCCTGCTTATAGCCCCTCTCCATTATTCATCTGCACAGAGTTAACAATCTATATAAGTTTCTCTCTTCTTTTTTTAAATCTATACAGTGAAGAGATACAGATGATCTATCTGCATCTGCATGGCTCTGCTCCCGCTTCTAGCCTGCAGACGCTTTGACCGCAGTCTTCCTGACCGTTTGCTCTGTATGACTCACCATCTGAGGATTTTTACACAGAGAATGAAAATAAACTGCCGTTGTTTTTCAGACATCAGATTACTGTAAAACAAAATTCCTCCATTCACGTCTGAATCGAGCTTTTGTCTCTCCCAGTAAAAAGCTATTATTACAGCCACACAAAGCCTCAACACGAGAGAAACCAAACCACGCAGACTTAAATGTAGAAAAAATCGAGGCCAACCGACTTCAGAGTTCGAGCACAAAAAACATAAACGTCATGAAACTTTTTTTAAAGATAAGGCGGTAGTAGTGCCAGGCCAGACCGAGTACTGTGAGATAACAAGAGGAATTTAAATCCCTCTGAAGAAAAATAATGAAGAACATACCACATGAAGTCTATAGCACCGCTGTGCAGAGGTTTACTGTTTTCATCAGAGCATTAAAGCGGAAACTAAGTAGTTGATGGACTCATAACAACATCCAGATCTTCAATCCAAATACTGATTTAACAACCACAAACTGTGCTCATTGAGTATGAAATAAACCTTTCAGGTAACATAACACGTCTTGGATTCATTCAGAGCTGCAACTAACTTCTGTTTTCATTATTAATCTATCCTTTTTTCTTTGTTTTGTCTATAAAATACCAACTAATTTTGAATATATGCCCTTTTTACCATCCAGTTAATAGTCCTAGCCCAAACATGCTCAGTTTACTTTCATTGAAGAGTAAAAACATTTAAAATATTAACTTTGGTACGTTAGACCTAAAATTTTAGGCAATTTTTTGCTTTTAAAATTACTTACCACTCTGCAAATTGATAAATAAAGTAGGTTAACTGGTTGTTGCGGTTAGTTTAATTAAACATTAGGCTAAAACGTCAGTTTGTTAGCTTGCTTAGCATCACTGGCTAACTGTTAACTAGCTAACTGCCGACTAACTGACGCTAGAGGCTAGGTGCTAGCTCATAGCCATTTAAACTAACAGTTAGTTAAATAAAACTGTGTAACCTTTGTTTAATAACAACCACTGTGGCCACAAATGACAGTTACTGTATAATATTAGTTTAATAATGTAGTAATAATAGCATTACATTAACAGAAGTACATTTAGAGACGGTTAACACAGTCAACTGACATTTAATTTAGCTAGCTACCGTTAGCTAGCATAAGCTAAGGCTGTTTTAGTGTTTTATTGTTTATGAATTAAACTTTTAATTAGTTTGAGGAATATTTCAGAAGTTACATTTAACATGAGCAGCTTGGATACATTAGCTACCAAACCATAAAGTTAATAAAGTTTGGTTAGTTTGAGTCTAATAAAACTAACGGCTAACGTTACAGACACGGGTTATTAGCACAATAATGCTAACACCATTTGTTTCACAGTAACCTAAAAAAAAAATCTTCTTTATCGATCATTTATATAAAACTCTCCTCTTTGTGTATTTCTCTTCTTATATCTGAACTTTAAATGTTGGTTTCTCACCATTTGTTCAGCGTACAACCTTAAAACTGATGGGTTTATAGACTTTAGTGAGTTGAAGTTAACCACTTAACGACCAGTTTTTACTCTTTTATATGTCTAAAATGAACTAAAGGACTAATTTATAACACTTTCTGAGAACATAATCTAGACTTATGATCCAGATTTATCCATTACTGATAATAAAAATGTGATATAAAATATAATCGACTGGGCTTGAAGGTTAAAGTTAAAATCCAACTCATTAACTAACATAAGATTTAAACAAAATACACAAAGTGATCTGTCAGCATGCACTGAAATATATATATATAAAAAAATAAGATGTTGGCTGTTAGGGTGGCGACGAGCTCTCTGTGGTTGCTGGGATGAAGGGAGCAGACCCAGGTTATGGTCAGGGATATAGGAAGGAGCCACTCTGTGTGTGTAATGTGGGATATAAATGTTTATTTTTATTTTGTTTACTTATTTACTGCCTTATGTAAGTATAGTGGCATTTAGAGAAAGACTCATTTGGGGAAGGGGGGGGAGGTCAACTTGGGGCTAGTTACTCAAAAAATATTATAACTCATTACTCTTTTCAAAAAGTGATATTATTACTTTGTGCCAACAGTAATTAGTTACACTACTAGTTATATTACTTTTATGCTCCTCCCCACAAAGTTAGTAACTGTGTCCTTTCTCCCCAAAATTGAGACTTAGAACGATTAAAATCCTGTTTTGTTTGTTAAAATTAAAGTAATGTGAATATTTAATGCTTAAGCAATTTCATCGGGATGTGATTGGATTGTAATATTATTAATGTAATATTATTACTAGTAATGAGTTACAGCCCTAATCCGTGGTTAGATGTATAGTTGTATGCTTTTTGTTGCATTACTGTATATTTTACTATCTTAGTCTTAATAGTATGACTCTATTGTGGCTAAAATGTTATGAATTCATGAATAAAAAGGAATAAAAAATACTTTATGTATTTACTTTAAGTACCACCGTTCCTCTGGACCATCATGGTGTGTGTGTGTGTGTGTGTGTGTGTGTGTGTGTGTGTGTGTGTGTGCTTTAAGATATTTGATTAAATAATCTATAGAACAAAGTTTGTACAGAGTAATTTGTTTTTTTAGTTATTCAGTTTTTTGCTCCCAGCAGCTGAGTAGTTATATGGATTATCTCTGAAGCTGAATCAACTGCTGTATCTCTTCAATAAGCAGCAATATTGTTGTTGTTGTTGTTGTTGTTGTTGTTTTAACTGTGTACCCTTATTATTAATGGTTATAACTTTATAACACAACAATTAATAACACAACTACACAACTATCCAACAAACACCTTGTTTCTTACTTGTGCAACAGAGCCTTTGAGATACTTGAATAATTTGAGTGTTTTATGTCAGTTTACAGTGTTTTTACAACAATCTTAAAGAAGCAGTGTGTAGCTAACTGAACACCACTCGCGTCTGTATTTGACAACCTGGGAATGAGAACAGGTGTTTGGTTTGTCCGTTCTGGGCTACTGTAGAAACATGGTGTACTCCGTAGAAGGCGACCTGTAGATAAAAACTGCTCATTCTGAGGTAACAGAAACACAACAATTCTTAAATTCAGATGATTAAACACTAATGAAAACATATTTATTAATATTATTTTACATTACTGCCAACAGATGGACCTTTACGGCTATTTTTAAATATTTTTTGTATATTGTTTTTACTACGTTTGCACAATAAAAATAGTTTTCATTCTGATTTCTTCATATATTATCATTTCATATAAACCTTTTAGTAGTAAAAGTAGTTAAATGTTTGTATATTCTATAGGCTGATAGTAGAATACACCATAACAAACCAATATAAAGGCAAAGAACAAATAAACTGTGAAACCACCAAAATCTTTAAAAAATACAGTGATTATCCTGCCCTCCTCAACACATCCAACCTGCTGCACCGTCTGTACATGTTTGATATCAGATGTCAGATATTTACTGCAAGTGCATGCTCATAATCATGTTCACACTCCAAACTCAGTAAACACATAAACAGCAGTGGGCCTGTTTGATCAGCAAAACTGTAGCTGTGTGTGTGTGTGTGTGTGTGTGTGTGTGTGTGTGTGTGTGTGTGTGTGTGTGTGTGTGTGTGTGTGTGTGTGGTAGGGGGCACTGTGTACACATGGGCCCAGCAGTTCTGTGCTTTTCAATAGAGGTGCTGTCAGATGGCCAACAGGAAACACAGACTATGTAACGTCAGCAGACACTGGGACACGAGATGTTACAATACTGGACATGTGCAGTAAAGGTTTTAATGCGGTGTGTTTGGAGTCAGATAACATCGGCTGTGCTGCAACCGAGAGGTCAAAATACATATAAGTTTGTTTGAAAACAACTGCGAGACGGAGAAAAAATAAAACTTAAAAATGATCTTCCAGCCATCTGTGCTGCTTTACACTGTTTGTGAGCTGATGGGTTGATGGTTATTGATTTACACTGTTCAGTTTTAATTAAGATCTTTTGACTGTCAAACAGGTCTTAGTCTTCAGATGATGCTGATGACAGAAATACCTTCTCTCATCCCCCTCACCTCTTAACGCCGTCTGTTCCTGTACACCTTCCCCTCTTTTTCTTTCCACTTTACATTTCCTCCATCCTGTCCGTTACTGTGTGCAGCCGCAGTGAATGACAAGTGCTCATTTGCACTTTGAAAAAACATAAAATATTAAAGGTATGTTTACGATAAAAGGGAAGGGAATTCTTCTCTCCCTCGCAAACCGCATTATTAATTCATACTGTTAAAACGACTTTCCACGAATTAATGGAGACAATGCATGGCCTCACAATTGCTTTTGGAAATAAAGGGGGGGGGGTTGTACGTCGGGCTGTCAAGTGATGCATTATGGCGGCACTGAGTGGGTCTTATCTATAGAAAGCATGCTGTTAGCTTTAAAAGTACCTCAGCCCTCATAAGTCTTACGCAGACACCACAGTGGAACCACAGTGGCAGTTTGACACTAATCATGTTTCACTTGTGGCCAACCACAGAATTAAAACACAGAGTAAACTGCATTTAATAGGTTCAAGGTGTGCCCATACCTCGACCTCCACTAACATCAGCATTTAAGGTGTGTGAAAACCAGTAATATCTGAGCAAAAGATGAGATTTTTCCTGTCTGTTTTAAAAAGCTGCTGAAAGTCCAAATAAACTGCCTAAGTGTTGACTGTAAGTCATCTTCAAAAATCTGCTCAGCAAAACGGTGAATCAAACAAAATGCAGCAACAATAACTTTGTGGAGCGCTTCTCTTAACAAAGTTATGAATGCTGTAAACAAACCAGCAACCTCCACCGCTGACTAAAACTCAGAGGAATGTGCAACAACACAGGACATGTAGCTCTTAACACTGTCAGTATAAATGTTAAATAACAGTATTAACAGTACAAATCTCCATTTGATGCAAGTTAATTAATCAATAACAGATGATTCATTAATAACCAAAGTTTACACTAGAAATGAATGTCTAATGCTATAATAACACACAGTTTGAGCCACGCAAGCAACATAACAGTGGGGAATTGTTTTATTCTGACAGTAAACTGGTTTCTAATTTGCTTATTTTAAGAAAAACTCTCAATATGTGTCTGTTTAAACATTTCTAGTCATACAAACCGAGACACAGACTCCAAAAAGGTTGCTTTTCGACGCACACTCTGCAGTGACTGGACGCTCTGTTGTCAGCTGTGTTTCCTTTACTAAATCCAATAAAAGGTGACAGCCAGGTGAGGAACAGTGCTGGCACACCACTGTTCTGGTTTGTAATTTATATCTAATGGCTGATGTGTGACTGTGCAGTCTATTGCTTCTTGTTTGTGCCCAGTGTTTGAGCACAGACCTCAGCAGCAATGAGCAGTGAACTGTGACCTCCAGCATCATGAGGTCAATCACAAATTAAAATAAAGAGGCAATTCTGTTTCAACTCATAAGATTCTGTTTATACATTTATTTTATATTTATATTTATGTACCTCTGATTTTTAATTAATGTCACACATTTTTATTACTATTTCAATGTTAAATATGAGCTCCAGCCTTCCTTAAACGTTACATTTAAATACAATAAACTGATTTATAGGATCATATCAGATGAACTATTAGATAAACTGTTAATTAATCAATCACCCAACCCCACCTGGCGCACACAGAGGTCAATTAAGATGCGTAAAACTGGGGATTAAAGAAAAAACCTCACCGGCTGCAAGACACACTGGCAGCAGTAACCTGAAGACCAGCCCGCACGCCACCTCAGAGGCCATGGCTCCGGGCATCCTGTGTTGAATCCAGGTAAAAATAGCCGAGGATTGTCTCTCTAAGGTTTCTCTTGCATCCCAAACTCCTGTGCTCTGTCAAATCCCCGCTGACATCAAACTGGTGCGCTCCTCCAAACGGCCACATCAGCTCTCCCTGATGACACCTGGACTCCGGTGGGTATTCCACAGTGAAAGGTTGCGCATTTACCAAGGTTCACCACAGCAGGCATGTCACCGGTAAGCACTGTCACACATTATAGTTTTAGTGGCTCAGATGCATTAAAGTCATGTTGACGCTGCACAAACGGAGCAACGGACTCAGGTGCGCAAACAGCTGCGCTGGCACAGCGCGTAAAAATGCCGGAGAAAGGAGCCAACAAGTCCTCAAGTCCAATTAACCTCCTTTTTTTAACTACAAAATCACATTAACGCGAAACGTTCAAAAAAACAAGAAGGTCTAGTTTCACTTCTTCTCTGTGAAGCTTGATAGGAGCCCTCAGAATGACCGGATAATTTACTCTTCCCGTTTAGTCCTCTTGGTGAAATTTGACTTTCTGACTTCTGGTGTGGATTGAACAGGAGGCTACAGGACGAGCCTGTGATTGACACCTGGCTCAACCAATCAGAAGTCTTCGCCTGGTAACCGGTCCAGCCCCCTGTGATAATTGGAAGCAAGAGGTGGGACGCGGAGGTGGATGCAAATACCACAAGTATTACAAGATAACGTGTCCCAAACCCACAGCTCTTGTGTCATTTTCACTAAAAATATGTTCTCGGGTTTCAGTATTTAGTCTGCATGTTCAAGCCAACAGACATTCAATAAGCACTTCCAGGAAGATTTCATAAATATCATGAGACTTTCACTGATCATCTCCTCAGGTCTGTTGTCCAGCTGTTTATTGGAGAGAAACAGCGACACCCACTGGTTTGAAACCGGCCTGCAACAGAGCAGCACCTCCACTTCAATATAATCCCTGTTACCACAAAACAGGCCTGTCAGATTTCTCCTTGCAGGCTGGAAAAATTATTTTAAACCAAAAATGTTTTCTTGAAATAATTAAGAACATTGTAGCAAAAACATTTTCTCTGATTACGTTTAATCCAGTTGTACGCTGAGTAAACAGAACATGTATCACGACTCAAACCTCAACCCCAAAGAGCTCAGATCTGTTTGTGAAAGTCCCTCCAAAATGTTGGGGACATTGTAAGTTGTTTTGCATCATTGTGGGGTTCAGATGTCGGCGGGATAACGCAACCAAAGTGTCTTTGAGCACGACACTGAACCCTTTCAGCTGCGTGGCTCCTGCTCTGCACCCGATGAATTATAATTTAGTTTAGGTTTAGGGTCCATTAAAACGCTCAAATCATATATGGCTGCTACTCCACCTCCTCGGCCAGTGCCTCGAGGAATGTGAGTATTAATATGATGAGAATGTCTTTGCTCTTCATATAATCTTCTGTTAAAGGACCTTTAGATATAAACGCCTTATTCTGAGGTAACAAAAACACAACAATTCCTATATTCAGGTGATTATACACTAATGAAAACATACCTATGAAGATTTTCTTACATCTCAATTATTGTCCATTGCCAAGTCCAAGTGTCCATATCTGTCCTCAATGACCCAATAGGCATTCAACTGGGTTGTGATCTGTTGATTGTGATATCATATCATTCACAAGACCACTCCCATCTGGATAGTTTCATTACAGGATCACTGAGCTTGTTTAATCTTGCTCCAAAGTCAAGGTCAATTGAGCCTGTGAAGCCTTTTCAGCGATGTCAGCTATGTTAGAGAGTTGGATGGACATTCAGGGTCCCCGGAGGATGAATGGTTGACATTTTTGGCTTTAACTGAAATGTCTCAACATTTTATTGATTTTGAAATTTGGTACAGATATGCATGAAGGATGAATCCTTATGACTTTGGTGATCCAATGACTGATTCTAGAGTCCCAGAGTGGCAAATATCTCAATATTTACCGGAGAGTTTCACACAGACGTTCATGGTTCTCAGAGGATTAATTAATCTACAGCGTGAGGTTCACATTTGTGGTTCTCAAACGTTTTCTGGCATGCCTCCCTTCAGAAGCCCAATAAAGTTAACGCTCCATAATTTTTAGGACTTATTAACGATGAAATGGGAACCAAAACTGATTTTTAAAAAAGGATCCAAGTTGAATTTTAGTAAAATAAAAGTCAACACAATAACATTAGCAAACTCTTTATTTAAATAACTCATTCATTCAGCTTTGTTCGACTGCATATTTTTCCCCCCGGTCATCTGCGTCCCACCTGCAGTGTCTCTACCACAGTTTGAGAACCACTAAACCAAAGTGCTGAACATTTTAAACATCAGCAAGCGAGATTGTAGATTTTCAGTCCATACATGCCACGGATGTAGGTAGTGGCAGATGTTACTCGTATGCATTCATCTCGTTATCTGACTCATTTTTTGGTTTGAGTCATGCCACCTCATACAGAGGACTTGTGCTGACTCACATAACATTTACTTGAGCTTAATTTGAAAATAATGGAAAGAAGATTGAGCCAGTATACACAGAAATGTCTTGAGTCTGGGTATAATTTTTTCCTCGTTTTAAAAGTTCATTTCCGTTAAGACTCTTCATTAGAATAACATCACAGATTCGTTTTTATGCATATTATTGGGACACTTATGATCTGATTAAAGAGAAAATATATGTTTTTAATAGTCCTGATTGCTGTAAAGGGTGTAAAAGCAGCAGTAACCATTAACCACTAAATCTAAAAATAATGCAGTGAAGGGAAAATATAAATATTGAAATGACTGTAACTGGGTTTCCTCTTATTTCCCAGATATCAAAAACACTTTAAAAACTCCACTTGAGGATATTTATCACCACTATTAAAGGAAACTGCATTGACGAACGAGCCAAGGAGCGCTGACCTCATGTTTACTTGCTGTGCATAAGATGAGGAGGAGAAGCCAAGTTCGAACTGGGGCATTAATATATACAGTATGATTAAAACCAATCAATCATCCGTGCCTCATATTTAACAACTTTATTGACAAGAAAATGATCCATGCAGTTGTTTCCTAGGAAGTGCATTAGGCAGGAGGAAAGCGATGTATGATGGGAGTCGTCAGGGCCCGAGCCAAATGACCCTCCACAACCTCCAGGTTTAAAAACACGGGGGCAACTTCATGCAGCCAAAGGTCCTGCTTGCGATGTTATGAATCATCGCTTGGCCTAATCACCGAAATGGATTCAGTTTATGAAAATAAGAAAAATAAACAGCTGAATGCTGCTGAGGGAAAAACTGACTTTGGGAGATCATCAACATTCTAGCCTGCCAACCTCTGGCCCCGAAGCGTCACTTTTCCCTGGTAATCCAGACCGGCTGGATACTCAGCCGCAGCGGTCATGTGGGAGCAGTCAGAGAGTCACCCGTGAGGCTCTGAACTGCAGCCAGCCATAATCAATAACCAACCTCAAAACATGTCAGCTCTCGATTTGTTTCTGCCGTTTGAAGTCCGGACCTGCTGATCTAATCCCTTCAGATGAATGTGAATCTTAAGTAACGTTTGCCTTTGATCCATTATTCATCCGATTCTTGAGAGGGAGTTATTGATACGTTTCCCTGGGCCAAATGGACACAACAGTTTTACAGAATACACAGTGAAGGTTCAGGCCGGTTGATCCTGACCAGGGGCGTTTCCAGAGGGGGGCGGGAGTGACGGCCTGGCCCCCCCTGCATTATCTTCACCTCTTTCACTCCGCACTGTCTTTCAGACGTTGTAATGGGCTCTGTTTTAAAGCTAGACTGAAGCTACTGGTGTCATATAAAACTAGACGACCTTACAATGATCCCTTGACCTCTGACCTCAAGCTATCTGAATGAAAATATGTTCTATGGGTACCCACAATTCTCCCCTCTGCAGTTTTTGCATGTGGTATAAATGTGTATTTGAATATTTCTGCAGACTGCTGAGACACACATTTCATGCCACCCCTGCGTATAAGTCAGCGCCCCACTTGTGCCACCCCAGGCAATAGTCTGGACACGCCCCTGATCCTGACTCACGTTAATGCTCGTTCATTTGAGGCCTCCGAATGAGCATTGTGTTGTGAAATTGCACATTTTTATAGCTTCAAGGTAGTGACAGTGAGTCTCAAACTAGTCATTTTATTAGTTGTTTCAGCAGGCAGGGAAGTTGATTTCATACTGGAACAAGAGTCTACACTCACAATGGTTTGTTTGCCTGAACATTGCAGGACTCATTTCTTAGATTTGTTAGATATTATAGATATTTTATGGTACATTTGTTCTACAATTCCATTAAAAAAAAATGGGATTTTTTAATAAAAAATTAGTCATCAGGAAGCAACAGCTGACAAATAACCTCAATTACTTTTTGTGGAGCTCTCGACTAAATCACACAGTCCTCAGCAGCAGATTGATTTTTATTTTCCCAGAAATGGTCCTTTCTGTCTAGTCTGTCAGAGAAATACTTGCAAATAGAAGAAAATTATGTGGATAAATAGAGTATTGATTATCTCTCTGACATCTAATAGCACAGAAACCCTGCCAGCGTAGAATATTCATGTGAATGAATTCCTGGAAATCTTTTATAAATGTTGAATTTGTTGTAATTTCACTGGAGATCCCCACACTGCCGGTCTGCAGCAGCTTCTGCCAAGAAGAAGAACAGAAGTGCAAATGAGATTAACGTCCAGATTGCTTCAATATTGATCCGCGAGTGAAATCCAAACTGTGTGTGTGTTCAATATTTACATGGATGCACTTTCCATGCACTCTAAAGGTGCCTCTGCTTAAGTGGGCTTTTTAGTGTCTTATTGTGGTGGCTGCGGGCAGATCGTCTCTTTTGGAATTTAGACACATACGGCTGTATATCGCTGTAGTATTAAAACCTTGTAACTCCAGTTTTGGGTGATGTTCATGTTTTAAACTGAAGTGAATTAACCTCCTGATGGTTTATTATGTGTACTTTTGCACAATGGAAAGTATGTTGGTAAAACATAAGTACAAATAAAAATTAGACCTATATTATATATTGTTCTGAGTTGTGTACCTATATATATAATACTTATATATAATATAATAATATATATTAAAAAATGTTTCTAACAAAATCTGTATTTTTATTTCTCTAATACTGTATTCGCCTGTCATATAATTCCATATAATTGACTTTTTATCCACATTTTTATGATAAACCTTTTAGATCTTGGTCGTTTTTTAACAACATATTTTAACCGGATGAAGGATTTAAAGTATCAAGCTGAGCTAACGTTAGCAGCAGCCCTTCGAACATCATCGAAGAAACTTTTAACTTTTAAGATGAAACTACTTTTTACTTTTTCAGTATGTACATGAAAATACCAAAAGTTTGATTGCTCCTTCAACACTTTAATGAGTTCCATTTACTTAACTTTATAAACCATAAACTGCCAATCCAACAGCATCCTATTGTGGCCTAACGATGAGTCTTATGTAATGTTGAAGCTTCATTTAATGAACTATCAAGGTACCATGTTCTTTCCCAGAACTAAATTATACATGTTTAGTGTTGGGAAAGATCCCAGTAGCCAGTTCTTATGCATACTATATCAATACTTAGACTTCCTTACCATCTAGTTTCGTGGTAGGTTTCTACTTACTAAGTAACAATGTAGTACTTAGTATCCAGCTCTTTCCTAATAACTACATCTTGTTACCGTCTAGTTTCCTAGTACTTACTAGGTAAGTAGCATCATGTAGTGCATCAATCACAGACATTGATACGTGACATTTGGAAAGGCAAGACAAATGGACGGAGCTAAAATTATATAAGTGCAGCCAGCTTTAGAAGCAATTTTACATTTCAAATTGAAGAAGGATAATGGTGCTCATTAACTGCCAATTGAAGGTATTTTTAATGGTGTCATAAAAGCTTATATCACCACATTAGCAGGCAGGAAGATGCTCATGATAATGCAACATATCCTCCTCATAAAGAACTGATATGTTGTTATATGTCTTATTTTAGCTCGGGGGGGGTTGTTTGTAACATCACATCCTGAAAGATTTACAGCACTCAGACAGGAGGGCAGCTTCGTGCATCTATTATTGAGGACTGTTTGTGCCTCTGAAGATGTCTCAAAGCGGGACAGTGGGGGGGAGAATTCAACTTTCAACACAGCAACCATGACCCAAGATGTCAAAGGTCATCGGGACTTCATTCCTGTGGTCCTGCAGCAGACAACAGCCTCTGTGTTTCACAGCACAAAGGACTTCTTAGGATGAGCCGGCTGTGTCTGCGCTCAGAGAGAGTAAGTGACTTGATGAGGAGGAGCGTTTGTCTGTGATCAGTTCTACTTAATAAGATTCATTGAATTAAAGCTGCGTACTCCGTTATTATCTTAACTTCTCATCTAGCTGCGAGGTTTGTTTAGGTTGAAGCTTGAATAAATGCAGACTAATAAATAATTTGAGGTTAGCGACTCCTTCTGGGAACACTCAACCTCCTCCGTGCCCTCGCTGTCACATATATCATAATTTTCTGATGTTCAGAGTCATGACTCAGTGTTTGCTTTGTGATGAAGTGCTGTTTATGCTTTCTTGGTAGCTACTTTACTGCAACCTCTCTCCGAGACCTGAACTGCAACCAGTGATTTCCCTGCATTTCTTCAGAATGACCTTCTGAATACATTGTTCTCAGCTGCGGGCGATGGCAAAGTGACAGTCGGTTATTCCTTAAAAAGAAGGCAATAACACACAAAACTAAATACTTACTGTATACTGTTCAGTGTTTCTGAAAGCACCAAATGTAGAATACTCACCTTCTGAACAGTGTATTATTACTTATTATTGTTATTGATGTTTAAGCATGTAAGCACTTATATGCTGATCTTACTGGATGTTTTATGTGTAAAATATATATCTGAAAACTTAACTAACTAGCAGCTGCTGTCAAATAAATTAATATAAGAGCAATATTCTCCTTTTTTTCTACTGTATGATTAATTTCTCCCCGAATAATGACTGTTGAGTGTATTGATACATAGGTAGTTGGTGTTTTACATCAAATCCTCACACAGATTTTTAGGTTTCAGTTAGACTGGAAGATTTTCTGATACAAAACTTATTAACTTATTTTCTGGACCAGACATGTTAGACCTGCAATGTAAATATTAAAGAAACACGATTAAACAACAAAACTGACCCAGAAATGTAAATTTTAACAGTGGATTGAGGAAGTATTCAGATCATTTACTTTTAAGAATACGTTGTACTACACTGAGGGACACTGGAAGTCAGAGTTAAGGTGCCGATAGAAAGTCTTACTAAATGTGAAATACATGATAATGACGGGTTTTTTTGCAAGTATAGCCTATTTAATAGTTATTAACAACATTTTAGACACATTTTTACCAGATGAAGCAGATAAATCACAAGGTAAAACCTCAATTTAAGGCTGCAACTAATAATTATTTTCATTATGGATTCATCAGCTGATTCTTTTCTTAATTAATACATTAATTAATTAGTAAAATACACCTTTTACCTGAATTATGATTACAGTTCTACTTGTATTGGATATCTAGAACAAAGCATCATATTTTATAAACTCTTCATATGTAAAAAATCTTAGTAAAATAATGAGTAACTAACGCTGTCAGATAAACGTAGAGGAGTAATAACTACAATATTTCCCTCTGACGTGAGCTGCTCAGCATCAGGAGACAGAACCACAATCTGAATACGGATCGCACAACAAATAACAGCTGCTGAGTGATTTATCTCGTGTTCCTGCTGAAGGTTCATTAGGTGCCTAATGCACATCTAATCTGATTCTAGTTTTAATCATTAAAAGCACAAACAGTAGTGCTTCCCCCTCACAAACACAGACCCTTGATTGAAGCCCGAGTCCCCACCCTGTGATATGATAGCCTTGTTAAGAGCTGCATATTGCCCATGAAAACCCCAACCAATCAGCAGACCCTGCATTAGGTGTAATTTGATTGTAACTGAGTACTTTATTTAAAAGTTTTCCTGCTGTGTCGGCGAATTCTGCACTGATCTAAAGCCCATTTTAATTTAGACACTGATCACAATTCAGCAGTTTTAAATGCTGTTGTCTTTTCGCTTATGTAAATATTTTATTGTAATAAATATAAAATAATTTATTGTGCAATGAGTTGTGTAATTTTTCCTCTACATATCATATGTAAACACTTTTGTTTTGTTTATTTAAGACAAGGAAGAGGTCATGAATACACAGAAAATCACAAATATTGATTATTATTAAGTTATATTCATTGTCAGGACTAATTTACTTAAAGGACAAAGTTGGCCATGTTATATTTATACTTTTCTAATTGTCAACAAATATCACAAAAAGACAAAAACCAACAATGAACTGATATTACGAGTATGTCTGTGTATTCAAAGTCTGATGTGAGGCAGCTTATTGAGATAAGTTTGCTAATTGATGTTCTTGAAAGCTTTGATATAAAATAAATAGGCTAAATAACATTAATATAAAGAAATATTAGAAAAGTTACAACAACCAAAGAGTTAATAGAACAACAGAACAATGGCAAAGTGTAAGGAAGAATAAAAGACATACTTTATATATATATATATATAAAGCATATTAAGTAGATAGGATTGTTAATAATTAAAATTAATAAAAACCAATCTCTAATCAATATTCACGGGAAATAATCTGATCAATATTCACACAAACCTCCTGCAGTTATATAGAGTTCACTATCTGTGTTAATTATACAGTTTTATCACTTGTTCTGTACTATTATTGTTATTTTACTGAACATAAAATTAAATATCCTTTAAAATAAACATTGTTTTAAGGGTTACAGGTTGGTTGTCATGGTAGCAGGTGCCGACAGGGGGCGTGCTGAGTGTGCGTCACATAACGCCTGGGAGCCAAGATGGCGTCTACGAAAACAACAACACCGCTGTTATTATTTTGCCTGGCATCTTTTTCAATTAAAATCACCTCCGCCAGACTTTTACCTGAGCCTTGTTACAAACCTCCTGTGACAAGGGCATATAGTATATATTATGGCAACCGTTTAGAGATTAATCTTTGAATATATAAAATGAATCTTTGAATATATGGAATGAAATTTAATATATTGAATGAATCTTTTAATATATTAATGAAATTGATGGTCAATCAGGCACTGCTGTCATCTTGTAGAAGTGAGAATGAGTAGGGACCTTGTGGGCAATCGAGCAGGGCATTCTTGGGGCTGCGGGCCAAATCCTCCTGCCGGCCCGCCGCGAGAGCCCCCCTTAATGGGGAGGCCGCCACAGGCCTCGGCAACCAAAGAAAGGTTAGAAAGTATTGTAATATTTCAACTGATGCCATTTTGTAAAACCAGCTAATTAAAAAAGTATCACTTTGAAAAAAAAAAAAAAAAAAGTTTTTTAAATTTATAAAAAAAACACAAAAATTTATAAAAAAAAAAAAAAAAAAAAAAAAAAAAAAAAAAAAAAAAAAAAAAAAAAAAAAAAAAAAAAAAAAAAAAAAAAAAAAAAAACCCCACCCCCCTTAAAAAAAAATCCTTCTTTTAGAGGAGGAAGTAAAAAAAAAAAAAAAAAAAAAAAAAAAAAAAAAAAAAAAAAAAAAAAAAAAATCTCAGAGACGGTAGTCGGACTCTGTCAGGTGAGTGGAAAGAAAGAAGTACATTGTGTACAGAAAGTGACAGTTTGTGTCTATGTTGTGCCGTTTAACGTTAAACTCATTTGGTTTGTGGAAATTTCTGTATCGACCTACTTTTATTGATCTGTTATCTGTGGTTACTCTTTTAACATGACCTTACTTTTAAAGAAAGTAATGATTAGTGGAAAAAAACCCTTCTTAATTAAACAAAATAAAAAAATTCCAAGGGGTTTATAATAAAAATTTTTTAAAAAATAAAAAAAAACCCGCCCCTTTTTCCTTTTTTTTTTTTAAAAAAGGGAATTTTTTTTCCTTTTTTTTCCCCCCCCCCCCCCTCCAAAAAAACCCCCCATTACCCTTTTTTAGCGCCCGAAAAAACCAAAAATCTTTCCCCCCTCCCCCCTTTGATTTGTGGGGGGGGCCGGAGTTTTTTTAATAAACCCAAAAAAACCCCCCAACCCCCCCCACCACCCCCAAAATAAAAACCCCCCCCCCTCCTCCCCCCCCCCCCAAACCAAAAAAAAAGAAAAAGGGAGGCCCCCAAAAGCCCGACCACCCCCCCCCTTCTTCCCTTTTTTTTATTTCTTTTTTTTACTCTTTTTTTCCCCCAATTTTTTTTTGTCAGGTGTTTATAAAGGTTTATAAATACAGTTTAAAGTATTTCACAGGCTCATATAGTGTTAAAGTAGTTGTGAGTTTATAGTAATATGTCACATGATTATAAGAATTAACATGTTGGTTTCTTTATGTTGTTATTTTGTTCTCTTCTTTCCTACTTTTACTATATTATTATTATTATTATTATTATTATTATTATATACAAGTAAGTATATGCAGCCCTCTTTATCATCAAGAACCACAGCACAGTGTTTTATGTCTGAAATAAAGTTCTCCTTCTAATAATCATCAGGACTGCTTCATAAACAATATTAAAAAGTAGGGACATCATAGGGGATTTTTATTGGATTTAATCATTCATGGAGGCACAAAATTAAGATTTTAGTGCCTTTTCTTCATGACTTGCAGGGTAATTATTATTAGTGCAGAAATACCGGTTCAATTGAGAAAGTAAGCCCTGACTGATTACCTGCAATTGTACTAAATTTGACAATTTCTCAAGTACAACGATTTAATCAAATTAATTGTACTTGCTGATTTTTTGCTTTTTCAATATGAAATGAAACTTGTTACACTGTGCTATTATGTGTTTCTGTACACTGTCACAGATGTACTGTGTGTTTAGTGTGATTACTATTAAGAGTCCCTGAGGGGAAATTTATTTGGCACAGTGCTACAATCCGTTAGTTCCCATAAAAACATCACAAAACCAACATAAAAGAGACATTTGACTTCACTTTTAACACTGACAATACGCTGTACGCCTGTCCTGATCCCTCCTGACGATAATAACCTTCACAGTGACATATTCTTTACTGATTTTCAGGACACGGCCTCGCCCACACGAGTATGTGAAGGCGTCCGACCTTCCTCCGTCCTGGGACTGGAGGAACATCGCGGGGAAGAACTATGTGAGCGTCACACGGAACCAGCACATCCCCCAGTACTGCGGGTCCTGCTGGGCCATGGGAGCCACCAGTGCGCTAGCTGGTAACTATGGCAACGGGATGGAGGAGGGAGGAGGACGCGAGATAGAGGGATGGCTGGAGGGATGAGCTTTGATGTAAAATATGTACACTATGCACATTGTTATGTGTATTTAAAATAGATTTATTACAGAATATATAATATAGATGTTGTGTTGACTACACAGTGTCACACTAGTGTGGGCAGAGTGAGCGTGGAGAGCAGCATCCACCCATATCTGTTGTTCTTTTTTCCCCTCTTAAGACCGTATAAACATCAAGCGTGGAGGAGCGTGGCCGTCGGCCTACCTGTCGGTGCAGAACGTGATAGACTGCGGCGGGGCGGGCTCTTGTTACGGAGGAGATCACCTGAGAGTCTACGCCTACGCACACAGGAGAGGCATTCCCGACGAAACCTGCAACAACTACCAAGCCAAAAACCAAAGTAAAAATAAACATACATGTGTTATATTAAGTCTGTCTGCTGTTACGATTTACACTTTATGGCCAAAACTGTGTGGACACACAGTAAGCGGAATCTCTCCACTCAAAGATATGTGTTTCTTCTTGTTCCTACAGTTGGATGTTTGAGCTTCACTCAGAAACACATCAGACAAACATTATTCTTCCAGACAGACTATTTGTAATCTTAATACATGTCTGGAGGGGATCTGTAATTCTACGTCATATAACGTTATTTTAGACCAAAGGGAGCTTCCAAGTTTGTGTTCTGGTGCCCAGAGTCCTGACCCCTCAACCCCCCCGTCTAACTGGAACATCAGCCGTGAGCCAGCTCTTATCAACCAACATTAGTGGCTGACCTCACTAATGCTCTTGTGGCTAAATGGGAGCAAATCCCTGCAGCCAGGTTCCAAAAATCCTGTGGAAAGTCCTCCTGGAAGAGTGGAGGTTGTTACTGTTCACAGCCACATGTGGGTTTAATGGTATAGTGTATGTGTATGTATTTTAATCTAGAGAGGTGTTGTTATATTGTACACAGATGGATTTAAGGTCCAGGGTTTCGGAGGCTCTATCGGCAGAAGTTGGTTATAATATGTGTTTAATCACCTGAAAATGAGAATTATTGTTACTTTAAAATGAGCTGTTTTTATCTACAGAGGGAGTGAACCACCATGTTTCTACAGTAGCCCAGAACAGACAAACCAAACACCGGCTGTAGATGAAGCCTCTTTTTTGCGTTCTTCCTGCATTTCGTGGACCGCTGTAGTTTCTCCTGCGTGCTTGGAACGAGCAATCTAAAACTATACTGCTAGATGCCACTAAATCCTACACACTGGTCCTTTAACTTTACCTGTAGTGCTTTAAAATGCTTTTTTATTTTGTCATTTTTAAGGACAGATATATCAAAAAATGACATTGTCGGGGGAATTTAAACCACATTGTAGGTTGAAGTTTGTCTCAAACTGAACAAAAAATAACAACATCACATAACTTAAAGGTTATTTTACACTGTAACAGTAAACTAGATATTTTAACTTCATGGAGATTGTATAGAAATGTGTACTTTGCACATTATAAATAACCTTCTCCATTTGTTTTCAGAGTGTGAGCAGTTCAACCAGTGCGGCACGTGCTCCTTCTTTCAGTCGTGTGCTGTCGTGAAGAACTACACCGTGTGGAAAGTGGGCGACTACGGAGAAGTTTCGGGGAGAGACGAGATGAAAGCTGAAATTTACACCAACGGGCCCATCAGGTAGAGTAAGTCATCCTCCCCAGTCATCTCTTATTATCCGTCCTCCTACATCCTCCACGTGAAGTATAAGATCGAGCCTAAACTTTTCACAGAGCGATTCTTAATCATAGTGAAGTTTTTACGAGTTTATACATATTTAATAATTCTTTAAAACCTTTGAGAGACGTAACAGCAGCGAGTGGACTTTTATTTCACTCTGATGTGTTTTAAAATGCAGTAAATTATATTAATTTAAAGCCTTAAAGTATTGATCTTATATCATATTACATACAGACTTCACTAATTAACCCAACTTTATATCACTTAACAATTTACTGATGTTCGTTTTCATTTATAGTTTAATGTCTTACATTAGCTTTAATTCTTTACGTAAAGTTCTGGTTTTTGACGGCTTTTATATCGTTTTTAAATTAATTCCATGAAGTATTAAAAAGTTTTTTTTTTTAAGTATTAAATGTGCTTTTATTTAAATACCTGCAGATGTGTTGGATCAAACTTTTTCAAAACCTTTTTCATCAGTGGTCATTTTAAATTTAGGCCTCAAATACGAGTTAATGAGATTGTGACAAAGAATTTAAAAAGTCTGATGTGTTTGTTTTTTTTAAATCATCCTTTTAGGTCCCTTAAAATCAGACAGACACAAACACACAGAGGGAAACTTTCTATTTTCTAGTGTCGAACTTTAAAGTTTGTGAGTAAAAAAAAGAAGAAGAATAGTCTATTGTAAATTGGTACATATATTAATTTCACTGGTGAAGATCCTTCGGGGGTTAAACTGCTTTTGTGAACATCTGCGTTTGCCTTTTATGTCCCAATAACAAACTCTTAGATCTTCTTTTTCTTTTCTTTTAGAAGAGTCCCAAAAGAAATCTGGTGCTCTCTGTTTTTATGGCCCCAAACTGTGGACCAGCCGTCCCCTCGGATCTTAGAACAGCAAACTCCCTCTTTTATAAAGAAATGAAAGAACTCTGTTTGTAACTTGTCTTTTAATGTGGGATGACGTTTTTTTTATGACATTGCTTTTTATTAGCGATAGTTTTTACTGTGCCGATCCGATATTGGCCAAAAATTAGGGGAAAACTTTAACCTGATACGAAGCTTTAGCCTAAACAATCACATAAAGGCTTAACTAAACACTGGGCTTTGTATTTCTTCCTTCTTGGAAGTAGAAGAATATTTGTTTCACAGTTTGAGCGTTGACTCTTGGTATCAGTGTCGACAGATACTCAAGGTTGCGGCGTTGGTGTTGGATAAATAATTTACATTTGTTTATTTAATCTGAGTGTTTTGTTAAGCACCTTGGGCTACAGGAATACAGTTATTATTATCTGACTGCACAGTCAGAGCAGAACTCTGTGTGAGACACTCAAAGTACAAAGTTTGGCTCCACTTTTACAGCCGAAATCACAGCCGACTAAATTATTACCCTGATTTTAACCCATAGAAAAGATCTTTCTATAATTCATCGTCGCATTTTACAGATTAAAATCATAAGAAAGAACAGAAAGGAAGAGATGTGTAAGATTTTACTGTTTTTCAGCTGTGCCCTGATGGCCACCGACGGCCTGGAGGGATACTCCGGAGGAGTCTTCTCAGAGTTTCACCCGCTGTCTTTGCCCAATCACATCGTGTCTGTGGCTGGTTGGGGCTTGGCAGAGGACGGGACCGAGTACTGGATCGTCAGGAACTCCTGGGGAGAGTTTTGGGTTGGTCTCTCTTTGTCTGCACCACACCCTGCCTGCTCAGCTCTGCTCAGCTCTGCTCAGCTCTGAGGCTTAAACACATTTGAAAGTCATGAATTCACTCCGTAAAGTAGAAACGTTTCTGTGAAGAACAGCCGGTGTTTTTAAATTAAATAATATTTGTTATTTGTTTCCAGGGAGAACATGGCTGGGCAAGAATAGTCACCAGTGCCTATAAAGGAGGAAAAGGCAACTGGTTCAACCTGGGTGTTGAGAAGAACTGTGCATATGGAGACCTGTTGTAACGTACATTAAACTGCCCGAGGTGATGGAGGCTTTTTTTTTTTTTTTTTTTTTTACAAATTAAAGGAGTAGTTCAACATTTTAGGAGCAAAGTTTATTTAACTTAGAAAGTCAAATTGTAAAAAAAGACAATTTACTCTTCTATTGTTTGGATGTGAGCAGTAACCTCCACTGGTTGCCAGGCAACTGGTTCAGGCCAAGAAATTGTTTGGCATACAACCGAAACGTGTCATCTTTACACTTTGTTTTTTTTTTATGGAATAAATAAACTAGACATAACATTTAATTAGTGAGCTTTAGAGGTTCTGGTAAGTGGATTTTATTATGTTTTGTTACGACTGAGGAAGACGAGTTGTGTTTCCCCCTCTGTCCAGTGTTTATTGGTTTATGGTGAGCTACGCTAACGAGCATAGTGCTACGCGTTTACCTCTCAGACGTGAGAGTGGCATCGAAGGAGGAAAGATTAGCTCCATTTTGATGTCCACTGATGTATTAAACCTGTAATAATGCATTCATTTTTCATAATTCATGGAAACACATGTAGAATCTTGTTAGTACAGATTTTAGTTTTGTTTTTTTAATATATTTTTTATTTGCTTTTTAATGGATAACAGCTGTAAAGTGACAGAAAAGTGAGAGAAACACACGAAAAAAAGGCCACAGGTTGAACCCATGGCTGCTGCAGCAAGGACTCATGGGACATGGGGCACCAGCTCTACCAGATGAGCTACCAGGGTGCCCAGTTATTGCAGATTTATACATTTTGTTAGACTAATAAATGCAACTTTAGAGCTACCTTCATGAATCTTACAAACTTAACCACTGAATTTACATAAATATCCTGACACAACATCAAGATTCAGGCCTGGAAATCCAAAGTGGACAGATAACCTGCTCCTGAATGCAGCTTAAGCTCCAAATAACTCTCAGAAAAAACCCTGCAGGTTCTTCAGTTCAGATCCATTATCACGTTTCTAAGGAAACTATTTATTCCTTCAAATGACAGGCGAGCTGAGTCACTCACATTTAAATTCACCTGTGATTAAACGTTAGTGGGGAGATTACAGATATATTGTTCTTTCATAACATCTGCACAGCACAACAACAGCTTCTGAGCGAGTGTCCGAAGGATTTAACCTCAAACCTGGTTGGATTCAGTATCACGGAGATCCAGCAGCTACAGTAACCGGCTCGCTTATAGCAAACCGGGGGGGGACTTACTTCTTATGCAAACCTGACGCATATGGAAATGTCCTCTTTATCGCCTTAGTTTGTTATGATAATGAATCTGCAGATTTTTAGAAGAAAAGGGGGCCTTTAGAGGACACCGAGGTCACGTCCTGCTCCACATCCTTCAAAATGAAAACAACCACTCTGGATATTTAATAGTTCATGGCATTATTTTTAGACTCTTTCATTATAGTTGCTTGTAGCACGAAGATCTAAATGCTGTTTCAAAGCCTTCTTCATCATATCAGGAGTGATATTCTGGTGGAGAAATATTAGATTTTTAAAATATATTAGATGAAGTTAGAGACGCTTTAAGGCTGGTGATGTTATTTTTTTTTTTTTTGTCAACAAATCCAGTGAAAAGACCAAACAATTAATTGTTCTGAGTATCTTTTATGTATCCTGGTGTGTCTTATTCCTCTGTGTCACAGAGCTCCACTGTTATAACTATTAAAAACACATCAATGAGCCACACTCTGGGTGACAGGTTTCTTTATTAAGTGGAGTTTATTTTGAGTCGATCCCACATATATCGTACTGCTGCTGTGAATACTAGAGCAGAGGCAGGTCTCCCCACGGCAGGCTCTGAACTGTTTCAGGGGAAGAAGTGAAAAAATATTACAGTTACCCAAATCAGATCCCATAGAAGAGCCTTAATGAGGGGTTTGATTAAAGAAATATAGCAGTTTTTTTTGAGAATTTTACTGTTTTTCCCACTTTTCTCAGACTCATCACCTAATAAATTCCTTAGGAAAGACCTTTTTTATGTGTTCGGTGTCGTCTGAAGTTACATCAAACAGCAATTTTAGTCTTTCTTTACTCAAACGTTAAGCTTCTATAGGATCAAATAACATAATCGGGATCCCAGAGTCATCCAGAAACTAAGCAAATGAACTAAAGGGGTGTGAGAGGAGAACCTTTTTTCCTAGCTCTGTCCAAGGTGAGGCCCACAGTCTCTTTGAAAAGCCCTGTACCGGAGCACCAGATGTGCATTAATCCGCAGTTAAAAATAGTCCCCAACAAATGCTCTATTTATTCCCTTTTAAGCCGACAGGGCCCAGCTGCTTTTAAAAGAATGAATCCATACACAGTATTTAATGAGCCGTTTAAAATATGTTTTTGTCTTAATTAGGAACCAGTGTGTGTTTGGGACTAAAGACTACATTCACCCATACAGATGCAAAGCAGTAGGTAGTCTCTGGCTGTGTGTTGCATTAAACTCGTGCTTTACATACTCTCACCTCTTACAGTTGAGCTCCATTCACAGCTTTTGAGTCTGTGTTTGAGCGGCTGCAGAGATTTGGACCACTCTTTTTTTTTTTATTAATGCGTCACGTGAGTCCAACAGCAAAACCAAATCCTTTAATCTCTTAAACATATGGAAGCCCATTAATGCCAGAAGAAAACAAAATACATTTGATGAAGAGTGAGAGGGATGATACAAATCAAAAACAGTCACGATGAGACACAGATCTGATTTTTTTTTAAAAAGAAAATTAAAGAATTACTAAAGTTTGTAATGAGGAGAGTTGTATGGAAGTCCATTAATGCCACATAAGCCACATAAAGAATTAAGAAAGATAAAAATAAATTAATAAATGTCTAAGTTATACATTTTGACTCTAGAAGTTGGAACGTATGTGATACTAAATCATCATTTTAAAATAGTAAATCAAGTAAATATACTGTATATAGTGTACATACAACCCTAATTCTATTTTTGTCTTGATATATTGTATTTCTTCTATTGTATTTTGTTATTTAATGTGTATTTCTTTTATTCATATCTGCTGTTTTGTATCTGGAGCTGCTGTAACAAGTGAATTTCCCCAGTGTGGGATCAATAAAGTCTATATCTCATCTTATTATTTTTAAAAGTCAGGGGTGCTCTATGTGGTCAACCAGCTAAATAAATATATGATAAACATCTCAGAGTGATTAAAAATTCCAGTCGCACTCAACAAAACCCATTTAGAAGTAAATTAATCCAAAAAAATAATCAAATACATCAAAAAACTCCACAAAAACACTATATATTCATCATATAAAATACACAAACATTCATGTCTGTTTGATTGAGAGTACAGAGAGGTATAAACAATAAGCTAAATGTACATTTATTACATATATTTGATGCATTTATTATCTCTGTACTTATTAATTAACGTATTATAGGAGTCAGTGTGCAGGTGTCGCCCTTCTCAGTAGCCCTGCATCTACAGTACATGTTATATGCATATAATTGGATATAATTACATTTACAATAAACAGTTAACTGTTAAATTAACTGAGAGGATTTTAACTCATCAGTATTTTGTTAAAATCTTGGCCCTGGAAGTATTTTAGTGGACTCTCTGCAGGAGTACAGGTGGAGAGGCAGTTACTGTAAACAGAGCCCACAACCTTGTAACTTGTTATTTCCCCGACATGAAGAAGTTATTTTAAATAATCTCTAACCCTAACCCATAATCTCTCTCCGTTCTGCCAGGAATGAAATACCGAATACAAAAAGAATAAATAAAATTCTTCTCTTTGTAACAAAAAGCTCCTCCAAGGTCGCTAAAAACTCCTTCAAATTCCCAGAAAACCTACAGAGGACACGACCCCGGTGTCCACAGCGGCAGCCAAGAACCCTGACTGAGAACAAAAAGATGAATTGTGATATAAAAGAGTGAGAATTGTGTTTCTTTAAAGGAGAGTAGCTCCGACTCCTCGGTGTGGGCACTCTGTGGGAAACTGGGTCTTTTGTTTTGCCACGTAATGAATTTGAAGGGCAGTTTTACAACATACAACATACTCTTTATGTCCTCAAAGCCATGAATGTGAGTGGAGCAAAAGCCAGATTGCACATCTGGAGGGGGGAGCAGAGCTTTGAGCCTCCGCCCTGTTTTTGGTTTCTAGAGCCAAAAAAATGTTCATTCATGATCACAAACCGATCACAAGTCTGAAAACTGAGATGCCACCACCCGCCCTCCGTCCTTTAATCACACTGTCATGCACCAGTTTTCCCTTTTGTGCTGTTATTGTTACTTTGCTCCACTTTTCCCTCCTGTAAACTTCCTCATTCTGCACCAAATTTCTCACTGAGCGCCTGCTGGAGGAAATGTTTCACAGGGTCAGTAAAGTTCCTCCTCTTCTTTTGTATCTTGTGAGCAGAACACATGTGTGTGTGTGGGAGGAGATCAACAATGTGTGCTTGCAGACATGCAGACCGACTGGTTGAGCAGGTCACTTTGCTTCCACGGAGGCCGAGATTAGAGACAGTTTTTGTGCGTGTGAATCAAAAAGCTCTTCGCTGGTTCCAGTTTCAGGAGCTGCACACACAAGCAGTCTCCTCCTGATTAGATTTCTGCTCTTAATCACTTAATCTTATTTGTCCCATAGTGGTTGGCTCCTCTCCAGCTCTGTTAGTGTTTGTGTGGACTGCAGCCAGGTTGTGTCATCGCTGATCAGATGATTTATCAATATAAATATTAAATCAATAAACTTTACAGACTTATAACTGGACTTTTTGTTTTTAAATAACTTCTAGTTCAAGTGTTTTAACCTGACCTCCACCTCTCCTCGCCCCCGTGCGCACGCTCACGCGCATACACGCAATTACCTTTAGTCAAGCAAGCACGAGTTAGCCAGAAGAATACCGGAAGTTGATGCTTTTAATTTGAAAGTTTAGTTTGAACAAAAAAAAAAAAAAGGGTATCTTACTTCTGGAGTTAATTTATAGATTAGAATAAGATAGAAATAAGTACAAGTTTGATAAAACTGTACTTGAGTTATTATAGATTCTTATATTTCATTAGTTTTTATATCTATTTAGTTTTTAATGTTTATTTAAAGTTTTATTTAAATCATTATAATATGGGGTCACTTGTCTCAATAAAGATATAACGCACCAATGAGTCCTTGAGCTTGTTGTGTTGACAGATTTGACCAAAAAGACTAAAACTAAAGACATTTTCTGTATATTTTTTTATCAGGTTTGGGGAATAATTACATGTAACTGAGTCACACAATCAGATTACAGTTACATTTAATTAAAATTGATGCTAAAAATCTTTCCATTTTCCTTTCAGAGGTTTAATTGTTCTGATAAACTTACATTAGTACTTGTTACTGTAATCTATCTTGTCTTTATTTACATATTTTGTGTCGAGGTAATCCAAAAGTAATCAGGTTACGTTTAATTTAAATTTTGTGACACTTGAATTAGGTTATTGATGCACATTTTTTGACCAGGTGATCAGTAACTGTATCAGATTACATTTTTTAAAGTAATCCTCCCAAACCTGATTTTATTCTCGTAAAGTGATTTAAGGTTTGATTGGGACCTTTATGGAAATTAAAAACATTGACCCAACACGTGATACATTTCTGTAATACTGAAGATTTTAACTTCCCATCTGAAGATGAATGAAGCTTTTATAACATTTAAGGAAAAGTGGATCCCTTTTTGTCTGAACCATCTGTAACATTTAGGGTGATTGCTATCAATAATTTAGGCTAATGTCAGCAAATATATCACACAATTAAATACACATGTCTTCCTGTTAATTTCTGTTCAAATGTTTTACTGACTAAAGGTTTAAAAAGTCACAACCCCATGTCTCCCCCCCACACACACTCTCTCCCTCAATTTCTCCCCCCAAAATGTCATTAAACACATTCAACTGCAGTAAAATATATATCTTAAACTCCATTTTCCTACACAAAATCGTTTCAGTCTAGCTGAATATAATAATAACCTTTTCCCTCCAAAGCACATCATTTTTACCAAACTGTGTCTACCCTTTTATTTTGAAAGGAAACCCACACAGTCCCTGGAAACGCTCGCAGCTTGACTACAAGGAGCTGAGAGGAGCTGAGATTGTGAAACAGGCTGCAGCTCTCTCGGCTCTCTCTCCTCAAAGCAAGAGGGAGCATTTTTATATTTCACTTTTTTATCCCATTTTTTATTTGGATCACCTGGATTGGGCACTGAGCTTTCTCTCTCTCTCTCTCTCTCTCTCTGTGTGTGTGTGTTGTTTTTTCTTCTTATCCGGCGCAGCCTCAGAGCAACTTGCCATGAGCATCACACGGCTGGAGACCTAAACAATCGGGTCTGGAAGAGGGGAAGATGCCTCATGGACCGCTCCATCACCGCCAGTGCGCCAGTTCAGGGCATCCCAAACGCCGAATAACAAAGAAATGCCGAGGTTTAGCGTCAGATGGATGGTCGCGGTGCTGCTGATCCTCCTGGTCGGCGGGGCTTTCTTTTTCTGCGAGTATCTCATCTACTTCCCCACCATCCTCAAGTGCGCCTGGCCGAAGATCAACCATGCACGGGGCGGCGGAGAGGGCATCGACGGCCGGCCGATGGACTCGGCGGTCCGCGCTATGGTTCTGTCGGACACCCACCTCCTCGGAGCCGTCGGGGGACACTGGTTTGACAAGCTGAGGAGGTAAAATAAACCCAATTTTTATTATAATTTTTAAAA